GTCAATCAGCAGACTTTGCATGGGCGCCAGAGAGGGCAGCGCACCGCTCGACTTGACCTACTTTGGCATCAAGCTCAAGCACATATTATTGGCCTTCAAGAAGCGCGCACTTTGCCGGGGCGCCATGTCACCGACCATTACATGATTTTTGCGTCCGGCTTTGAAGACCCTCGGGCGCCCAGGTTTGGATGCGAGATCTGGCTTCACCGCTCCTTGCCGTTTGTGGCCTTTGAAGATGGTACCTCTATTTGTGCCCCAGAATTCAAGTTTGCGGTTGTTCATGCTGATCCTAGGAGACTTATGCTGCGTGCTGATCATGTCAGCTGTTCGTTCATGGTCACCGTCTTGCATGCTCCATGCTTGGGCAAAACCAGAGGAAATGGGCATCGTCCAATTGATGACATTGATCAGTGGTGGCAAGAAACTTCTCGCCTCTTGGAGAAATGTGCGCCTGCAACGTACCATTGGTTGTGTGTAGATGCAAATGCCCCTCTTGCCACACATGAAACCGATTGCTTTGCACTTGCGCATGCCGAAGCTTCAAATCCTCAGGGAGCCTTGTTTGAAGATTTTTTGCTTAGGCATCAGTTGGCAGTGCCGGCCACGTTCTCAGACATTCACCCGGGTGAAGCTTGGACATGGACTCATTCCTCTGGGTCTAGGTGCAGACGTGATTATATCCTGGTGCCACTGCACACGTTACCCTGTGTGCATGAGTCCTTTATCATGAAATCTTATGATGGATCGTTTTGCCATGAAGACCATATTCCGGTTGGCATTCGTTTCTCAGCCTTCTTGCCTGCAAGGAGTGGTACGGTGCGCATGAGATGGGATGAACTTGCGTTTCTCGATCCGGTGCGAGTTGAGCAATTTCAAAGTGCTTTGCGCACGCTCCCATTGCCAACTTGGGATGTGCGAACCACCGACCATTGTGCCCTTTATGAAGATCAGGTCGTTCAGCTCAGCCAACAGTTCTTTGGTGGGAAGTCACGCCAGCGTGCTCGGCCGCAGCTTAGTCCGGCCACGGCTTCTATGATTGCCTTCAAACGACACCTCCTTGACCTCGGCAGGGCTTGGGAACTGATGACTGACGCCACTTTCAAAGCTGAACTACGAGAAGTAGAAAAGGTTGTCCGGAAGGCTGTTTATGCTGATTTAGCTTGTTTTTATGACCAACTTCTTGTGCGCTTGCAAGATGCTGATCAGATGGCTGATGCGAAGCAATTGTATCGCATTCTAGATCGCCTTGGTCGCCGCAAGCACAAGCAAGGCGGACAGCGGCCCCTGCCTTTGTTGAAAGCCCCGGATGGTTCTACTCTTCAGTCCTTCCAGCAGCAACAGCACACTTGGCTCCGACAATTTGCTGCCACTGAAGCAGGTGTGCCGATGTCATGGTCTGCCCTTTATGACCTGTGTCGTCCTGGCTTGGCTCGTTCTGATTTTGAGATTGATCCGGATGCATTTGTTTCGCCTTGGCAACTTCTTCAAGCCATGAGAAAGCTACGGCGGGGCAAGGCATGTGGACCCAATAACATGCCCCCCGACCTTATCAAGGCAGGTGGTGCGGTCTTTGCAATGCAGCTGTCATGCCTGACAAATAAGGTCGTTGCTCACGCGCATGAGCCCACCTCTTGGCGGGGGGGCAAACTTGTCCCGCTCTTTAAGGGTAGGGGCAGTCCGCATGATCCGGCATCCTTTAGAAGCATCTTTATCTCTGACTTTACGGCCAAATTATATCATGCCTGCCTTCGCAGACCTTTGGAGACGGTTTTGTCTGCAGGGCTGCACTCGATGCAATTTGGAGGCAGAGCAGGTTGTGGGGTTGATCTTCCCCACCATTTCTTGCAGCTGCATCAATGTTGGGCGAAGCAGATGAAAAAGCCGGCAGCAATTGTTTTCTTTGACATGAAAGAGGCATTTTATTCTGTTCTGAGGCAGGCGCTCACTTCATGCCAAGACCGTAACAATGCTTTTCAGTTTGCAATGCATCGCATTGGCCTCCAGGATGACGAAGTTGCCGATATGCTTCATTCTGTTGCTCATGAAAATGCAGTTGAAGGTGTCTCCCCGCATGTTGAACGACTTGTTCATGATACCATGTCAGGCACGTTCTTTACAGTTGAGGGTATTGACACCCCTGTTGCCACACACAAGGGTACTCGTCCCGGTGATCCCATAGGTGACTTGCTATTCAACCTTACCATGAGTCGCATCCTTGCCGAAATGAAGGAGATTGTTTTGGAAGACCATGTGGCAGATTGGTTTGGGGATCCTGAAAAGTGCAATAGCTTCCTGGAACCAGAGGCCTTGCCTGAGGCTGGATTTGCGGATGTTTCGTTCGTAGATGACTGTGCTGTTGCAATTCATGCAGCAGACATTGCCCAGTTGCAGACCATTGCCATGAGTGTTGTGACTGCTATGCATGTGGCTGCACGCAGACGTGGTCTCCATTTGAATTTCGATGTTGGCAAGACAGAGATGCTTTGGCACGTGCAAGGTAGAGGCTCGAAACAGGTCAAACAGAAACTCATGCACAACGATCAAACAATACATTGGCATGCAGTTGGTGTTGACTTTGCGCTGCGTGTTGTCCCGTCTTACAAGCATTTAGGAACATGGCTTCAGAATGGCGGATGTTTGTTGCGTGAGATTCAAACTAGAGCGCACGGCGCTAAAGCCTCGTGGGGTTCCCTGGCCCGTCAGTTCTTTGCCAAAAGGTACGTTTCTACTGAGACCAAGGTCAAAGTATTTCGTGCTCTTGCTCTCTCACGGCACATGTTCAATGTCCACACCTGGAGTTTCATCAAGCCTGCGGACCTTGACAGGTGGGCTAATGCTCTTCGGCAACCGTTATGTTCCCTTGCAAAGATGGCCACAAAAGGTTTTCCGCCTAGACTCTTCGATGTGGCGACATTGGGGGGGTTGGTCGGCCTTGAAACCCCGCAGGACCGGTTGCATGCTGCGCGTTTGCGGTACTTTGCCCGTCTCCTCACTCAGTGCCCAAAAGCCATGTGGACTTTAGTTTGGCATACAATTCCCCTTGAGGGAGCATGGGGGGCGTTGTTGATTGAATCCTTTGCCTGGTTCTGTCGGTTCTATGGCTCACATTGGACGCTGGCACCAGATAGTCCCATAGACCAATGGATCATCGCAATTCAAGCTGACACCTCATGGAAAGGCCGAATCAAAGCAGCTCTGCGTCATTGCCGTCAATATCGACAAGCGCAGGCAGAACATGCAGTTTGGCAGAAAGCCTTCGACGCTGCCTTTTATGCTGACACTGGTACAGTACCGCCGCAAGCTGAAGGTCCTGTTGCTCAGTGGAATTGTGATCAGTGTAATAAATGGTTTGCCTCCAAGAAAGCTTTAGCCACACATTCCCAGAGGGTTCATGGATATCGAAGGCTGGTTCGTTTCTTTGCCTCTGGAGATACATGCCCAGCTTGCTGTAAACTTCATCATAGTCGCATGCGCTTGTGCCAGCATCTCACACATAGCACCGCATGTATGGCAGTTTTGCAAGCATGTTTCCCTCCTATGTCTGATGCACAGGTAGAACAGCTTGACAGACAAGATGATGAGGTTTTCGCTGATTTGAAACGTCAAGGCTGGTGGCGAACCAAAGCCATCTTGCCTGCTTGTCTGGTTGAAGGGCCACTCCTACCAGCACCCGACAGTGTGTCAGCAAGAGAAATTATGGCTCGTGCTTTAGCGCGGGCTCAGCCATCTGGTACTGCATTCACCCATTTGCAGGGGCGATTAGTAGAGGATGCTTCTGCTGATTCGCCTCCACCAGCCCCTGAGGAGCAGGCCGCTCAGGGTTATGTTTTCCAGTCTGAGCAAGGCACATTGGACGGCAATGGTTTGTTTCAGCGAGATGGACTTCCGGCTCTCCATGCACGCATGAACATTCGCACGCTTGTTTTCGTCCATTTCTTTAGTGGGTACCGTCGACGGAATGATTTGCACGATATTATTTCGCATCATGTCTTCCCCGATGGCTTACAAGTTTTTGCCTTGTCGGTCGATATGTGTCTTCAAAAGGCAGCTGGAGATTTGGCATCCGATGCCTCCCTGTCCTTTTGGAAGGCGCAAGTCCTTTCGGGTCGCATTTTCGGAGCAGGAGGTGGACCGCCATGTGAGACGTTCACATCGGCGCGCATGTCCGGTGAAGGACCTCGTGCAGTTCGAACTGCTGTGGATATCACCGGCCTCCCAGATCTGACCACTCGCGAGTGGAGGCAAACATTGGTTGGAACAAGGCTTGTCCAGTTTATACTGGACATTTTGTATCTTCTTGCAAAAACAGGAGGCTGTGGTTTTTGCGAACATCCTCAGTACCCAGTATGGTATGCCTCACGGGCTCCATGCAGTATTTGGACGTTACCTGCCACCAAACAATTGCGGAAGTTGCAATGTGTCTCCATTGTTTCCTTCGATCAGTGCGTGCTTCATGCCCCGATCATCAAACCAACGACCTTTTTGCTGGTTCGACTTTGGGATTTCCGGAAAGCAGTCCTGGCCTGTGGCAAGCATGGACGTTGCCCTCATGGATTTCGTGCCCATGAGCGCCTGATTGGAAAGGACTCCACAGGCCAGTTCAGAACAGCAAAAGGGAAAATTTATCCTCCCCATTTGAACAGGGTGCTCGGGCAGGCCATTGGAAACTTTGTTGAGCGGACCTTTTCCCAGCCAGAGTCCGGCTCCATTGAAATGGCCTTGCCTGAGATTTTCCAGCGCTTTGCATACCATGATTTTGTTAGCAGTGAAGAGGTCCAACCAGACTTCCACGGCTAGGTACAGATGGTTGCAAGTGCTTCCGCATTTCACTGCAGGACCAAGTGCCATCGGCACAGTATTGCGAAAGTGAAAAAGTATATATATATATATATGTACACATGGAACATATGTGTGACATATAAGATCATGTAAGCAAGGATTTTCCCATATGTTTCCCATATTTCCCAATGATGGAGGGACTGCTCTCGTCTCGAGTCGAGGCCCTCACCCGCTCTCGGAAGCTCTGCGTGATCTTGGCCGCTTGGCATTAGAAAACCTCCTGAGGTGAGGCATCGAGGATATCAGATTTGGGCCCTGTACCGGCATATTCCGTATGAGAATCTGTATGCAATTCCATGCTAACATAGGGAATGTCTACAACTCGCTATCTGGGTTTATCATGATTTATCTAGTTACCTACTGGTTACCCACTTTCCAACAGTCTCACAGGCATGGAACTTCATCCGGTGACTCCGCCATGACCTGAGGCCAACTTACCCACTTGGCTCACCGCTGAAAGCGCCCTGTTGAGGTCTCACAGCTCGATTGCGAAAAAAATCGCTGACGTTTGGCAAACCAGGGCCACACTGGCTCCTAAGTCAGAAGTAATTAGATCGAAAAAAAACCATGGGAAACATGCCAATGTTTCAATTTTGGACATGACTGTTTCTTTTAAATATTATTTTTGGATGGAGAAGAGTTGCAGAGCATTTTGCTCAGCTGGCAGGGATTGGATTGGCTTCCATCCTGCCATTGCAGCAGAGGCTTGGACCAAGGCGAAGGCAGTAGGCATTAGTAGTTGAACCAATGTTAACTAACTGATTGTCATGACTAAGATGGACATCAGATTACTAATATTGATCATATTGTTAGTAACTAATAATCATTGGGCATCATCTCTTTTGTTAAACAATATTACTTAGATGACACTAATGGTTTTGAGTTGCGCACAATACAACTACCAACATGAAAACAACTGATCACCTAACAATGTTGGTTCAACTAACATTGATAAGATTAGTATGGTTGAACGACTGGACTGATATCAGCCAAAATACAAATATCACATGTCTGTTAATGATGATTTTCAGTTCAGATTCGATGATTAGCCATCATCAATTGAGCAAATGGATCATTTGCCACCATCAATTGGTGTACCATTTGGTTATTTAACATAGCCATGGAAAATCCCTTATAAATGGAGGTTTTAATGGGAAAAACATCTATAAACGGGTCATTTTCCATGGCTATGTTAAATAACCAGATGGTAATCGTTTGGTGAATGGAGTTCAATCCTTACCAACACATATCAAGCAGTTCAACCACTGGGTTTATATCCTATGAATGTTAAATACCAGCGGTTGGGGAGGTCAGACCAACAGACCAATTTAACTGGTCATTATGTGTTATTATACATATATGTATACACACACATGCAGACATATGAATCATATGATACAACGTATATATGCATATATATATATATATAATTGTATATATAGGCACATACCTATCTTACACACACACACATCGTTTAGGGCAGTTGGATATACAGTACGTATTCAGCCATAGCGGTCGCATCGCGGCCTTGCCGCAGGTGAAATCCTTCCAGCGCCAGGGCACACGTTGGCCCGGTCATGTTTGCCCAGAGAGCGTGGCTGTGTCCCCCCCCAAAAGTCGCATTTTTGCACCAAGACATTATAAAGACGTGCTAATCTTCCAGCTGTTTGATGGAGTTGATGTGTTTTTTGATTTTCAGAGTTCTTTTGAGTTTCAACATGATTTGGGATGATTCTTTATAAAGCGATTCCCCTTTTCCGGGGGTCTTCCCACAAATTGCTAGCCTATACCAAACGTATATCCGTCCATATATATATATATATATATATTTACTTAAATAAATATATATATATATAATATAGATGGTTATTGCCAGTTGGGTTTCGGACAAGTCAGTTATATTGGCTAGTTGCTACCATATCTGGAAACACACATGATAGATAGATTATGTTACTGCACCTCCCGTGGCCCATGACCCAGCACAGTGGGGGGCCCTTGCACCGGCAGTGCTAGGTGCAAGCCTTGCACCGTTGCCCCCGGAGATCACGGAGCAGGCACATCGATGTGGAAATCGATGGGTTTCTCGTGGAGATGTTGGAAAATGATGCAAGATGTTGGATCCTCCGGACGATCCCAGGTATTTTTTTCAATTTCGGGTTGAAACATGTTGAAACTACCTACCGGTCCATTGGTAGATCATTTCTGAACGGGAAACTTTGGGTGTTTTGTCATTTTTCTGTCAGTTTGCGCTAGGGCAAATGACAGTACATGATCCTTGATGTCGTTTCATGTCCGTCTCAGTGGACGTCATTGTTGAAAAAAAGAGGCTAAAATCCGCAGCCCGATCAGTCCAATGGGTCTCACACTCTGACCCAAAGCCAGTCCATCTCAGTGGATGGTTAGATCAGTTTGAGTGGCTGACTAGAGACCTATGACACGACCATGTCTCTTGCACCAAATGCCATCAAGCAAATGTTCGCCCTGGTGGGGGTCACTTTCTACCCAAGGAAGGTCTTTAAACGTACGGCCTTTGAAATGAAGTGGAGACATGATTCTTTTCCACAGCACTTATTGGATCTTATTGGCATATTGGTGGGAAATTCTCCCTTTCTCTGATAAGAACATCTAAATTAACCAGACAAAGAAGTAAGGCTCCTGAGATCTCAACATCCCGGACCCTGCGGATTTGCAACGAACGCACTGAATGCAATTGGCATTTTTTTGGGAATCTTCTTTAGGCTGAGATGAAGACAGAAATTACGTGTGTGGTAGATTCACTAACAAGATGAGGGAAGCAAGGGGTAGAATGATGGAAAGATGAAGAACACTATAGAGCCAACCGCACCGGAACATAATGCAGAGAACTTCATCATGCTGATAGATTGTGCTCAATTTAAATTTAAAGACGATCATGTTGTAGAACATATGTGAACTATTGGAACGGATGCTTTATTGCTTCGAATAGTTGTTCTCCGCATCCAGACTTGTTTTCCTTCTCCGGAACAGTGGCATAGTTTTAGCTGAAACAATTCATAACAAATCAAATGTTCCCAAATGAAAGCACGCAACAATGGCAAGAATAACTCCAAGAGCGTGGAATATATGGGGTTGTCTCAACCTTAATATATGGGGTTGTCTCAACCTTTGGAACCCCCAATCTGTGAGACAAACCCGGAGCTCATGAGGCTACACGGGAACAACGAATGTAGGCCTTGACACAAACCCAAAGTAACAGGAGAAAACCGAAAACGCAGGAACAAGCCTTGAGGTCAACACAGAAATCCACTAAATCCCATGAAATTCCATATTCTCCATTTTCCCACCCTTTTCCCATGAAATCTCAAGCAACCCTTGGAAAACTCAGCATCTCTCAAAATGGCGGATGGCCTATCCTAGGTGACCGTGCTCCGCGACGAGTTTGCACGGAATCGTCCTGCAGCGGTGGTGGCACCCAGACGTCGGATACTACGCTATGACGAGTCCAAAATGGGATGCCAAATGGTGCCAATGGGGCCTGCAACAATTGCAAATTCAAGTATTAAAAAATGCATTCGAGTTTTCCATTTTGGAGTGTTTAAGGAATGAATTGGAATGATGGGCAAAAAAGTCATTTTGAACGGAGTATTGCGATAGTATGACGTTTATTTGGGATTTATCGAACGGAGACATGTGAGCCATAACGAGCACCTGTGATGAGCTGTTGGCTGGGGAATCTCAGGGCATTCACCACGGATGATTACCCTGACTACCAAGCCCGTGGTGCTAATGGCTGCATGGAACATGGGTGTGCCTGAAATATCTGACATGTGGTATTCCGCCAATTGATAGCAATTTTGAGATGGAAAATGCCGATGAAATTGATGTTGATTAAACTGGGCTTTCCATTTTTAGATCAGTCGCCCAGTCCTTGTTTCACACCCTTCCAGTCTCACCCTTTCAGTGGCCTAGGCCAAATTACCTCGTGTCTCCGTTGGAGCCTTGGCAGCCTCGATGTGGGGGTTGCAGGTCACCATGGGTCACCCTGCACTCCGCACTGCCAGGTGGCGGCCAAAGGAGGGGGCACCGATTCAGCTACCAGCAAACGAAAAGCCTTGGAAGCGGCTGGCTGCTGAGATCGCTTGAGTTGTGCTGTGAAAGTTGATGAAGCTGGTATCAGTTGATGGATGTTTCACATTGTACCAGCTACTGCAACATCTGCAAGAAATACTAGAAGTAAAACAAGTAATTAAATAGAATTAAATAGATATATAGCTAACTAGAAAAATAAGATGTCAATTGTTCATATTATGCTGGGTCAACTTCATATTTGACTCTCCTGGAGTCGAGGCAGGCAGCAACTCGTTGCTGAGGCGCGGGCTTTGTCAGAGGCGATCAGCCAGTTGAACGAGGAAGCACTGGAAACCGCCCTTCTGAAGGCGTGTCTGTGGTGGATTTGGATACCCTGAAGTCGTGCTAAGGACCAAAAAAATGGCGGACATGGTGGCTTATTATAAGGGCACACACATGGTAGATAGAAAAATGGGCACCTGATGTACAGATAGAACTTGAACCGCGAACAATGGGAGAAAAATCATTCTTCTTCCATTTTTCTTCCGTTAAGTTTTCTTCTGTCGTTTAGGCCAGTGATGCTGGGATCATGAACAGCACCGTGGAGGAAGCGGAGGACAGGCTTTCTGAGCCATGGTGATATCTTGTACATCCAGTGGATGGAAGGAACATGGCTGAATAATGGGTTAATAATGGTTACCAATGGTTACTAATGGTTACTAATGATTAATAATATTTAATAATGGGATGTTGAATGGAATGCCCTTTGGTAATCAAACATGGCTGGCTGGAAAATCGTCGATAAATAGAGGTTTTAATTCGAACATCAACTACAGTATATATAATAAATGGTGGATATATTATGTAGCCATCATCAGACTGAACATATATGTACCGGAATATAGCCTGGAATATATTCCATTATAATAAACACAGATGATCCATGATGCCCATGTAAATTTAGGGTATATTGGTATATTCTATATATTATTCGATGATGTTTGGTTGACGGGAACAATCAAAGGTAATTAAACCGTCTAGAAACCCTCTGAAAAACTTTCATGGCATAGGCTTTTCCAGATCTTTTGTATGTTTTCCCAAGGGTTTTTGTCCTCGAGGACACCCTGAGGCGCTTGGTGTCTTTGAGAGAACTGAAGGCAGGGAGGGTTGGTGGCTCCCCCGAATGCCATGGATGGATGGGGAAGTCGTCTTATAAATGTTTGGGGTAAGCTATGGCAGGCTGGCAGGGTTAAACATCCTCTGCAAACAAGTCAGCCCAATTGCTTGGTACCAGGCTTGGTACCAGTGTGGCAGGTGGCTGCAAGCGGTGACGATGACTCAGTCTTGCAGGCTGTGAAGGGAAGGTGGCAGTCTTTTGGGCAGTGCAGATATCGGAGAGGGTTGCAGATCAGTTCAAGATCAGTGGTTTGCAGACCTCTGTTAGGCAGCAATCTTTTTGGCCAAGCAAGCTGACGTTAGTGAAGCGGAAATTGCAGAGGTGCGGCGGAGGGATGCAGGTGATTTTGATCCGGGCATGGAATTCATTGAAGTCTTTAGGGAAGGGATCGCGTCGCGGCATGTTGGCTGCCCAAATGAAGACCCCTATCATCTCACTTGCTTTTGCAATGGCACCTAAGCCCACATCATCCAGAGACCTGGGCCTGTAGGCAGAAGACAGCTTCAACCAACGCCTGAAGGCACATGCTGCTGACATCAGGGGCCATTGGCACGATAGGTTGACTGGTGCTTCGAAGCTGCGGTGAGCAACCGGGGGTTGGTGATGTGAGTTGCAAAGCCGTTGGGAGTGAGGACTATGCCCCACTGGTTGGTTGCTTCAAATGTTCCCTTTGTTTCCAAATTGTTTTTCCATCCGCCAAGGCGAGTGGTCATATTGATTCCACCAACTTAGTCTTTTCGACTTCGGTCCAAACATGTTGAACCCACCATGCTGCACAGTTTTCCAGCTCGAGCAGCTCCCCATGATGCTGGCGCCCTCTGCCAGCCCCACGTTGATCAGCCATGGTGGGCACACGCCCTCCAGGCCCTCCTTGCCTCGACCCAGGGTGACAGCCATGGCGCTAGCCGTGACTGGCACAGCAGTCACAGTGGCGCAGGTGGGGCGAAGGCGAAGAGAAAGACCTGTGATGTTGCGGGCATCCACCAGCAGGACTGGGGAGGTGGGAACGTGTGGTACTGCAGCTGCAGGGAGAGGATCACTTTGGGGATGGATGGATGATTTTGGATCAATCCATAGATACTAGCCTCTGGTAATTTAACATAGCTATTGAAAATGACCATTTATAGTGGATTTACCCATTGAAAATGGTGATTTTCCATAGTTATGTTAGTTTACCGGAGGGTAGATACAGATTTTGTTGATGTGATCATGTTCGGGCCAATATTGACCCTTAGACGCTTGAGTAGTGCAAACGGCGTCCAGTCGATGGTTGCTATTGTCCACTGACATTAGCTCATGGGGATGAACACCTGAGAGAATGAAATGACCTCAAAGTCACTGGTCCTGCACCCGGAATACAGCATAAAGTTTGTAATCCCATTCCCCAAAAATTAAGATTTATGATTTCTGTCCTCGTTGCTGGTGTTACCTGCGCATGGAGTCGTGAGAGTGGTTGCATTTTTAATTGATCAGTTTGTCCCCATGTTTGGCCCAGTGTATCCCACCAACATTTTTCTTGCTTACAGGTGCCAAGAAGTATACACAAACAATCATAAACAATCACAAACATGCGCGCGCACACACACACACGTATATATATATATATAAATATCCCGCCGGACCGGAAACCGTTCCCATAAAACGCACATTTTTAAAAAAAAATGTGATTTTACCGCAGTGCCGTGCTGATTTGATGATTGGAAATCCTGGAAAAACTTGGGGCGCGTTTTTTCGTTTTTCAGCGTCATCGCTGCAACGCATGCGCCGTTATCAGCTGGCAGTCAGCATTCTTGTGAATGTAGTAAACGATCCCTGAGATCTCAGCAGCGTAGCAACATGTAACGTAGTAAACGATCCCAGAGATCTCAACAGCGTAGCAACATGTAACATAGTAAACGATCCCTGAGATCTCAGCAGCGTAGCGGCATGTAGCGTAGTAAACGATCCCAGAGATCTCAGCAGCGTAGCGACATGTAATGTTGTAAACGTTCTCAGAGATCTCAGCAGCGTAGCAACATGTCACGTAGTAAGCGATCCCAGACATCTCAGCAGCGTAGCAACATGTAGCGTAGTAAACGATCCCAGACATCTCAGCAGCGTAGCAACATGTAACGTAGTAAACGATCCCAGAGATCTCAGCAGCGTAGCAACATGTAACGTAGTAAACGATCCCAGAGATCTCAGCAGCGTAGCAACATGTATGTAACGTAGTAAACGATCCCAGAGATCTCAGCAGCGTAGCAACATGTATGTAACGTAGTAAACGATACCAGAGATCTCAGCAGCGTAGCAACATGTAACGTAGTAAATAATCCCAGAGATCTTAGCAGCATGGCAATATATCATGTACGAAGTACAAGGAACGTTAACATGCCCCCCCCACCCCACCCCACCCCACCCCACCCCACAATCGCGATATTCAAAAACGTGCGTTTTACGGGAACGGTTTTCGGTCCGCAGGCATAAATATGTATATATATAGATAGTATTATATTACATTATTATATATGTTGTAAAATAGTATAATATGGTAATTATGTACATCCATACATCCATACATCCATACATCCGTACATCCATACATCCATGCATCCATGCATCCATGCATCCATCCATCCATGCATCCATGCATCCATCCATCCATCCATCCATCCATCCATACATACATACATACATGCGTATTCTATTCTATTCTATTCCAATTCTATTCCAATTCTATTCTAATTCTATTCAAATTCTATTCTAACTCTATTCTAATTCTATTCTAATTCTATTCTAATTTAATTCTAATTTAATTCTAATTCAATTCTAATTCCATTCTAATTCTATTTTAATTCTATTCTAATTCTATTCTAATTTAATTTTCATTCAATTCTAATTCTTTTCTAATTCTATTCTAACTCTATTCTAATTCTATTCTAATTCTATTCTAATTTAATTTTAATTCAATTCTAATTCCGTTCTAATTCTATTTTAATTGTGTTCTAAATCTATTCTAATTCTTTTCTAATTCGATTCTAATTTCTATTTTAATTCTATTTTAATTCTATTCTAACTCTATTCTAATTCTATTCTAATTCTCTTCCAATTCTATTCTAATTCTATTCTAATTCTATTCTAATTCTATTCTAATTCTTTTCTAATTCTATTCTAATTCGATTCTAATTCTATTCTAATTCTATTCCAACTCTATATATTCTGATTCTATTCTAATTCTAATTCTATTCTATTCTATTCTATTCTATTATGGGCGTTCAATCACTTTGAAGCTGAAGAACAACAGTCTAAACTTTTGGCCTAGCAGCTTGACCCAGGAGTCGATTTCTGCGTTCTGCTGGTCTGGTGGCTGGTGCTGGTGCTTCAGCGGCAGACGCTGAGGTGGCATGGCCGACGTCAATAGAAATGATTGTTCGTACGTAAAAAGGGAGCATCCACAAATGACGTTAGTATCACAGTTCAGCCATATATCATATGTATGATATTTGTTTTGCAGGTGTGCGTTTTTTTTTCGGAATGATTGGCGTGTTGCTGGAAGATTGCTAGATCGCGTGAAGTAAAGATATTAGAGATGGCTTACGCAACTGTGGACATGTTTTTTTGCCGCACTTTTCTTTTGCAGTGATGTTTGGTGATAGATATATTAATATTGGAATATATTGGATACGTCACACAATTTAAGATTTCGTTTCCAGTACTGGTAACCATCGACCTTTTATGTAACCTTTAGGTGCACCAGTTTTATGCATGCCCATGTCAGAGCTCATATCCTCCCATTTTACAGGTTATGTGTCTACAGCCGGCAGCTTAGCGCAGCTCTGGCAGGTTCAGGTGGTGCAAGGCATTCGGAGAAAGAAGTTGGGCTTTAGCGACGCTTGCCATGACCATAGTGGCTGAGATTGGCTGAGGAATTTTGTGTTTTCTTTCGCTGATGTGCCAACAAAAAGATACATACTCAAATATCATATAATACCTTGAACATCCCTGAGCATATTCTCCGCACATGTACACACACATATACATAATATACATATATATTTATTTATATTTATATTTGTGCGCACACACATATGTATATATATATATATCCATGTGCATTTGTATACGCATATGATCACATAGGTAATTACAAATGTACACACGTATATCTACAATCCCAAGGACATCTACGTCTCCGAGATGGGCCTCGGAAGCCAGCGTCCCTTGGAAGCGGTGGGCCATGGGTTGATCATATCATGACCATATTTTGGGTGGATGAACAAAGGTTTTTTTTTTGATTTGTTTTTATTTTCCCGTTTTGGACATTTTTTTTTGGATTTCTGTTTCCCTGCTTCTTTGCTTTTCTGCTTCTTTGCTTTTTGCTTTTCTGCTTTTCCCTGCTTCTCTGCTTTTATAGTTCTTTGCTTCTCTGCTTCTCCATTGTGCTGCCTCTCTGCTTCTCCACTTTTCTGCTTCCTGCTTCTTTGCTTACCTGCTTTTCTGCTTTTCTGCTTTTCCCTTTTTTTTGGTTTCTCATACTGCAGATAATTATATAAATAGACCCTAAATCCACCATGAATAAACCCTAAACCAACCAAAGAAACACTAAAACAACTCTAAGTAAACCCTAAACACTCCCTAAATAAATTTCAAACTAATCCCAAATAAACCTTACACCAGCCCTAAATAGATCTTAAACCAGACCTAAATAAATCTTAAACCAGCGCTGAGCACACCTTAAACCAATCCTGAATAGGTCATACACCAACTCTAGATAGATCCTAGACCAAGCCTGGATAAAAGCTCCATAAAACAGTTCTGGTCCCTCTTAACTGGATATATATATATAAATCTATACACACACACACATATATATATATAGGTACATAAATCTATACATATATATGTATATATATATATACATATACATATATATACATATTTATTTATATATATATATATATATTTATATTCATATTTATATTTATATTTATATGTCTGTATGTATATATATATATATTATATGTATGTATCTAATATATATATATATAATGGGGGTAAAAAGGTGAGGAACAAATGCAGTATGTGCGTAAATCAAAACGACCTCACGTCGCGACAGCCTTGGATTGATGCTTAGGATTCAGGGTATCTAAGGTTGGCTATGAGTTGTTGCAGTTCATCCACTTATCCAAAAATCAAAAAATATAGGAAAACCAATTTCCACGCCCCTTTCCAAGCCCTGTTTTCAGGATGGGGAAGCGCAGATTTTAATGCGCCAGACGAAGCCTTGTGTCACCAGATGATGGATCGAGCCATCTTGGAGGGTGGTGTCAATTTGGTGGCCGGGCTGATTGCAGATGGTTGAAGGATGTTCAATGCAATAGAGACATGGAATTCTGTTCGTCTATGATGTCTATGTTTGTGGTATGCTTTGATGACAAGTGGAAGGTTTCCTTGTTGAAACCCATGTTTTGGAGATACTTTGGTGTTTTGACGTGCCCGATTTGTGAGGTAGTTCAGTCACTTTGTCTCCCCTGGGTTTTTGATTGGATCAGAATCTTTACAGCCAGCGAATGCCCAGGTCGATACAGCTGAACAGTACCCCATCCCATCAGACGCCTTGAAACCAGAAGGTTTGACAGAAGAGATCATTGGCAAGTGGGTTGCCAAAGACAAGACGAGGAGAGATAAGATCGTCGTCGCAACCAAAATCACTGGCGGATTGAATGTCAATGCTCAAAATATTCGAGAAGATTTGGAAGGGTCTCTAAAGAGCGGCTCGTCATGGTTTGTTGATGTTTGTTGGAACATTGGAACGTGTGATGCTCACCCTTTTTGGCTTTGATCTTCGCTCACTCGAGGGTGTGTTTGACGTGGACGGATAGGGTGCAGATCAAACGCAGATTTGCATGGGTTTTGAAGGTGATAGTTGATTTTTCCAGTGGAAAATCCACCATTCAGCAAATCTATGTGCATCATTTGCTTATTTGGTCCGCTCAGGCAAACCCAAATTTGACCCCCAAAGCTATATAGATGGCACCAACAAGATGGAACAAACATGAACAAAAAACATCAAAAAGACAGTGAAACCATTGAGAGATCCACGAGCACCCATCCCTAGACGCAGAATCCATTGGAATCCAAGGATTGCAAATGGACCATGTGGATTCTGAGCTGCAAATGGGATGCGTATATCGAAATAACGTTTAGGAAGTCCATTCTTGTGAGCGTTCACTGTCATGAGTGGATTTTTTTGGGGAACTGAAAATCTATGAAATCTGGCCGTGCATGAGAAAACTTACCATCCTTTGGCGTTTGGCGCTGCCGGTGCCGAGGACCTATACTTGACGCACTGGTCCTTTCGGATGTCGCAACCCCAGCAGAACTGGGGCCAGTCGCTGCAATATCGACAGACCCTGGAGAAGATCGCTCGCCGCGAGGGACAAGCAACCTTTGAGGAAGTGGTAGGAGCCATGGATAAATTGGCGACTTGGCGATGCAGCCTGGGTTTCCAGCAACGGAGCTTTAAATCCAAGGATACCATAGCTATGGCATCTAGAAAGATAAGTTTCTGGAGGGGGATGCAACATGACGTCAGATTGCATATACCATCTGGTTATTTAACATAGCCATGGAAAATCACCATTTGTAACAGGTAAACCATCTATATTACATGGCTATGTTAAATAACCAGGGGGTAACACTGAACAAAAACTATATGTTGGATCTTGATGAATCCTGGCTGTGAGTCAGAATTCGATCGGCTAATGGGGTGCTAGGCTGGCCAGAATATTGAACGCCATGGAATCCTGAAACCGAAATATTATTCAATACGGTCATGGACAATTTGGGTTTCAGATTGAGCAAGGGGTGTTCAGGAATGTTCAGACATGTTATGGAATGTTCAGGAAAACATGGAGCAACACTACCCCATTGAAATTTCATGTGCACCCCCCAGGGTTGCTTCCTGGAACATGTTTTAGCATATTGAAATGACCCTTAACCTTGGGATTGTGGGTCAAAACGATGTGAAGCATCATTTGCCCTGTTCTTTAGGGGCCATGGATCTGGGTCCACAAAAAAAACAATGGTATATCAGCATTCCCCATTTTGAAATATATCAAAGATGCTCAACATTGGGGCAAACCAATTTGGAACATACCTGAACCTCCGGGATGGCGATCAAGAATTTAGAACATACTAAAAATTAACCAACCGTTTTTCCTTTAAAAAAAACGTACTGTACTAAATATGGACATATCTTGGGATCTACCAGCCATGGTTTCCATTTGTTGAGGTGAAACAAGGCAAGATCCGCGGCTGGGGCTGCTGCAACGAGAGCCCCTATGGCGCCACGAGACTGGTGGCGACTGCCAAGGCGATGGGAGCCACGCCGCCCTGTGTCTTTCAGAACCTTGGAGGATGGTTAGTAGTGGTTAGCCTCTGGTAAATTAACTAACATAGCTATTGAAAATGGTGATTTATAGTGGATTTTCCTAATAAAAATGGTGATTTTCCATAGCCATGATAGTTTACCAGAGGGTAATATCAATGGATTGGTGTAAGGGAAAATTTACAGGAAACCCCCATATTTCATGGGAAAATCGATGGTTTCCAAGTTTCCGGTTAAGATTTTCCCTCAAACCAGTCCATTGATAAGAATGGTTGGTTCTGGAAGATCATCGAAATACGGGTGATTAATGATGGTGATTAATGATGATCAATGGATATGAATGGAACTACCCTCCGGTAGTCATGTGGCTGGCTAAATCCCCGCAGTGAATAGGTTTTAATGGGAAAATCATCAACGAAATGTTTTTTTCCAGCAAGCCATGTTTGATTACTGGAGGGTGGTTACCAATGTCAAGTTAGGATTAATAAACCCCGCGGTATTCATCAACCCCCTCTGCCCCAAAAAATGTATATAATTTAAAAAAAGGTGGTCCCCAGGATTCATAAACCACCCCGATTAAAAAACCACCAGTGCTGAAATCAATTTTTTATCCAACAATTTTTATTTCCAATTCTATTTATTTCCAATTTGTTTTTACCTTTTTTTAAGTTGATCATTGAAAATTTCAAAAAACGACTGTTCCCCAAATGATCGATTTCTAATTAAAATCTTTATAAAAAATCATCAGTTTGGATAGCTCCCAAAGGATACCCCCCATGAGCCCATGTCCCCCATTAATAATAACCAGGGTTTGCCCCTGATTAATCAACCACCTTTCTGATCCATGAGATTTTAACAAATCCAATAGAATTCTATTAAGATCTAATTGACGTAAGCCATATCCAAATTTTTATGGTTCAGAGTTGCTTATTATTAAGGGGTGGTCAAGAAACTAGCCAGAAGGTACCCCCTACCTACCTGGTGGGGGGGGGTTGATTAATTTGATGTTGGCATTACTATAGTCATCCCATTGGTTAATCCAGCAGAAAGTCAATGGTTAATCTCACCCAAAAATGGTTGGTTTGTAAGATTTTCTCAGGTTTTTTCCCATGACAGGAGGTGAGTGGCTTATACTCATCCCCCCAAAAGATAGAAATTGTTATTTATCAATTTATCACATTTTATCACTACGTATTATTATTAGTAGGATTTTACTTCTAATCTATTGTGGGCTTCTACACGTATCATATCGTATCATCCTATACTCATCTAGTCACAATGAATCACAATGATATCATGGTCAGATCTACTACTATCCAGATCCATCAAGCATACCCATTAAGCCATCAATCACAATCCCAAATAAATACAATGAGAAATAGTGGGAACGTAATATATATATATGTATATATATATATATATATCTATGTGTGTGTATATGCCAGATGGATACGGGATGGAATGATGTTCAAAACCCAACAAGACCCGTATTCGCGAAAAAATCGTGTTGTTTTGGTGTGTTTTCCCATTGATTGATCCACCGAAATGGAGAATCTGTTTCAGGGCTCTTCAGCAAATCCAAGGAACGACTATTCCATCCTGAACCGCAGATGCGTTACTGGGACATGGAGGGAGAGAGGATGGTTGGCTCCATAGCTAAGTTGGTTGAAGCAACCAGGCTAACTAGGCTTTATGGGGGGAGATATCTACAGTTCGATGGGATGGGGTAAATATCTGAGTTGATCAGCTTAATGAATGTGATTTGGTTGAGTAAGCTGCCCTGTACACAGCATGACAAGATACTGTAAGGCATGAAATCATTGAAAGAACCTCTAGCGGTGGGATGTGTTTCGGCATTGGTCAAAGCGGAAGGCAAGAAAAGTCCTTCTCCTGGAATATGGTATGTAAGCAGATGCCTTCCCGAAAGCACTTGAGCACAACAATCAACAATGCACAGGGGCTGGTTACGGCTGGTTCCATATATTCTGATGGCTGGATATCCACAGAAAAGAACAAGATGAAGGACCCCAAGATGTGTGGCCCCTGCCTCAAGGAAGAGAATGGGCTTTTTGAAATGTGCTCGCCCTTCAATGAGGATTCCGCATCCCTGGGTGATGTTGGAGGGATTTTTCTGGGACGCCTGGTGGGAATCCAACCACCGTGCGTTGCCACCTTTTTCTATCCGCAGGATGTTGGCTTTATGGCCTACAATGTGCTGGCTGGTGGTATGCTTACGGGCAAGTATTTAGATGCTCCTGCTGCCCCGGATGAACCGAATCCCATGCAGAGTTTTGCGCGCACAGCCAGTCCTCGAGGGCGAATGGATGACATCTCCTGGGGTACCTCGATGGTCGCGATGGATGTCGCTGGTTCTTTTTTGTATCACATGGATTGAACAATGCACACAGAGATACCCTCTGGTAAACTAACATAACTATGGACAATCACCATTTTCAATGGGTAAATCCACTATTTCTATGGCAATTTTCAATAGCTATGTGGCTGTTTGCCAGAGGGTGATGATGTTTAATGCAACATTTCTAGTTCACACAGATTGTGACTCTGTCAGAAAGTCAGTTAAAAATCTCAAAATTCAGTCCAGTGGTGTACTTACCAATCTTACATAACTATGGAGAATCACCATTTTCAATGGGTAAATCCACTATTTCGACTGGGCCATTTTCACTCGCTTTTTCTATGTTTTACCAGGCCGGGTCTCCACAGTAGGCCTCCCCGGGATGATCAACACATCGAGGTCCCACTTTGTACCGCTACCGCAGTGCAGCGGCCAGCGAAGCCCTTCAGCGCTATGCGGAGTTGGCCAAGAAAGCGGGGCTGTCCTTGACAGAGCTCTCCTTAAGGCCCCGGGGACGATGGTTATACCCGGCCTGGTAAACATACAAAAAACTATGGAAAATCACCATTTTTCATGGGAAAACTCACTATAAATGGCAATTTTCAATAGCTATGTTAAATTACCAGAGGGTAGATGTTATAGATGCATAATGGGCCCATATCAATGATAATCAATGATTAATATCAATGATTCAATCATATATAAATGATATATAATCATCGGATTCTCCCAATGGTAGTGGGTGGAGTTATCATAGGTTGTCCCAATCTACAGACTATCATACATGATGACCTTTGGATGATCTCAAGTCATTTTTTTGATACTCAGACATTCGGCGGAAACAGTTTAATAAATGGCCATTTGAGGTACCTAAACTGGAGGTACTGAACCATATAAAGCCGTGTTTTGTGTGCGTATCCTCTTACAGAGCCTTTAAATAGACCTTAGCTACTACCTCCAATTTAGGTTCCTGACATGGCCACTAGCTATAAGGAGTTTAGGGAGGGAGGATGGCTTCCAACCAGCGCAGCGACTCTTGCAGTTGACTGCTTGAATGATTTGCATTTTCTGCGGTTGACCCAAGAACTTGCAATGATCGCCATATATTGCTATGATGCTCGAATACTCCTTCCTTCTATCCAGGACATTCAACCTTGAGGGTTGTCCAGTACCTTTGGTCCAGGGAAAATGTGGGCCATCACCGCGGCGCAGATGGGCTGGACATGACCTTGCACAACCTTCTGCGATGACATGCCAGTATATTAGCCAATGCCATAAATTGACTTCGGAAGTCGGTGATGCCTCGGAATATTTTTGGGTTGCAACTGCCAAGTATACTACCCTCTGGTAATTTAACATAGCTATGGAAAATCACAATTTTTAATGGGTAAATCCACTATTTCTATGGCAATTTTCAATAGCTATGTGGCTGTTTACCAGAGGGAAACTGGAGTTAGAAATCCAGACCCAACATCCCCGGGCCGGCCCGAAGTCCCTCGCAGGTGGGCCAAGGAGCGGTCAGGGATGACCACAGCACTGGTGGGGCACACCTCGATGGCGCAGCTGGAGGAAGACTTGAAAGCCATGAATTTCACGCAGGACGCGGCTGGAATTCCGGGGAGGCACTGGTACAGCATGGTACAGCATGATTTTTTGTGTTCTTATGGAAGCTGAAAGATGGCATGTCTCAGGGGGGAAAGGTTGGAAAACGTATGTTTTGATTTGTTTTGACTATTTAAATATATATATATACATATTAATATTATATAACTATATATAATAATAATAATACATAAACAATAATAGTAATAATAATAGTAATAATGATGATAATAGTAAAAATAATAGTAATAATGATAATAATAATAATATATATATATAATATGTTTTTAGATAGATATACACATACACATTATGTATAGTACATACATATTTTCCTTTTTTTGTTGTGTTTTCAGGGGGTCAATGTCCTGTTAACTGTTGGGCAGTGACATTCAGGAGGCCGGAGTTGATTTTTTCACCCCTTGGAATCCCATCCCGAAAATGATCCTGACAGGGCATGAACCGTCATATTGTATATAGTTACCCTCTGGTAATTTAACATAGCTATTGAAAATGGCCATTTATAGTGAGTTTTCCCATTAAAAATGGTGATTTTCCATAGTTATGTTAGTTTACCAGAGGGTATATTATTGTTATGATATATGACCATAATATGACCATATAATTATACATCATAATTAATAATTATATTGTTATTATATTGTAATATTTCATCAACTGAACACAAAGTGACCTTGAGGTCTGACCCGCCAAAATCAACCGTAGCCGGGTCACCTGGGTCATTGTTCTTTCGGCAGGAGCCTCTTTCCGACGATCTGATGTGGGAGATCGACCGCGTTCACATGCGAAATCGGCTTCCCATCTTCTCCTCCGAGCGAACGGAATCGTCGTCGCCCTACAGTGGCGAGATTGGCGAACCCATCCCGTGAAATGGGCCATCGCTTCTGACAGCACCACGTGAGGTGCCAGAAAAAGATGCCGCCTTGGACGCTGTTATTGAATTTTATTGAAGAATAAGCTGATGCCACAATTTGCCAGGAAGTCACTACAACCAATCTAATTCTGAAGATATTTCATCTCACCTCTGGAAGTCTGAGGTGTCCTCAATCATCCCAAATCCACGATAACCATTGGACATCATTGGACATATGCGCAAATGTATGTATTTCTATATATGCATATCTTTGAGATATACAGATACACATAAATTGCCTAGGGATATCCCTACTAGTAGTTGGTTTACCTGGTATTCTAACCTGGCAATGGGAAATTTATCCATGATCATCCCATACTGTTCGCTGAGCTTTTCGAGCTAGCCACGTGGCCACAATTGCTCGTAGAAGAGCCGGTATCCCCAAGCGACCGATCAAATTCCATCCCGTGGTTCATCATTTTCCCCAAGATTCTCCCCACGAATCAAACAATAAACCAAAGTTCTTCGTGGGTATTTATTGAATTTTATTGATTGATACTAGTGGGATAGCCATATACTCCAGGGTTTATTCTGGTTTCCAAAAATCAATTCTCCTGGGATGCCGCTTAGCAGGCCGCCTTGGCCGAAAGGTTGCAGGAAGAACGACAGGATCGAGTGACCTGGCAGAGTCGTGGGTGGCGATCGCCAGAGATCCTTGGGATTGAGTGTATAGCCAGCCTCCCAGGGATAAGCCGACTCATTGGAACTGCAAAATGATCAAAATCAACACGGAGAGAAACCATGATTTCTTCTTGGTTTTTCTTTTAGATGTTTTAAGTGGACTTCATCTGATTTGCTCAAGTATATTCCCATCATATTCCATCATGTTCCCAGTATATTCCATTCTATCCCCTTGAATTCTCATAACAAAAGATAGCGGAATGGGAATGATATCATTGCATTATATCCCCTTATACTATATGAGCCGCAGTCAAAATGGTTGAAGACATTTGAAGACCACTTTAGTCTTGCAGGAATTCTTTTGTCAGAGATGTGCACGAAACACTCCAAAGCGATAGGCCCCCCAAAAGCCATAACCTGGGACCATACACGACAACCCATTAAACTTGGCGTAGACCAAGCAAATACTGTGCACATTCACAGAACGGGCAAAAACAATGAGGGAAATTCAACCTGTGGTGCCCTGTTTCCTGCAGTTGCCATATCATTTGGCATCCAACTCGCTCGCTCGCTCGCTCGCTCTCTCTCTCTCTCTCTTTCTTTCTGTTTTTCTTTCTTTCTTGATTTTTTTTTTCTCTCTCCCTCTCTCTCTCTTTCTCTCTGTAGTTTTGTGGAAAATTTCCTTCGTACAATGTCATATGATGGAGGGGTTATAGCGATAGCCATTTATGGCACTCGGTTCCCTGGCCAAGCCATAGAGCCATAGAGCCATTTCCACAACTTTTGAAAGGAATAAAGGGACATGAATGCAAAATGAAAGGAACATGCGTGCAAATGAAAGGAACATGAAGGAAGATGCATGCAAATGCAAATGAATGCAAAATGAAAGGAAAGTGTTGCCGAAGCACCTGAAACCAACAAAACAACTCCTCCCTGTTTAGGAATTGATTTTGGCTTCATGTTGGATCTCTAATATGCCCCCATCAAAAGCGATAACCATAACAATAGCAACTACTCAGATGTAAGGGATTTTGACGGGAACTCACATGATATCATTTTCCCTTATATTCCCCAGTATCTTCCCCAGTATATTCCATATATTCCTTATATTCCCATAACATTTTGGGGTAGCCTGAAACTTCAGACCCATGTCCTGATCAGCAAGGCCTTGGCCATGCTGAAAGCCGTGGGGAGGCTCAGGTCCAGACAATCTTGAAACCCAAGGATCAATAAGCCATACTTACCCTTTGGTTATTTAACATAGCCATGGTATAGATGACCCATTTATAGATGGTTTACCTGGGTTTACCTATTAAAAATGGTGATTTTCCATGGCTATGTTAAATAACCATATGGTAATTGGTAACTCTCCTTAAACAGAAATGTCATGAAATGTATATGCCATAGATCTTATCACTGTTATTATATAGTAAGCTTTGACTTTCCCTATTGTTTTCGGTTAAAGTACCTAGATCTAATGTAGTTTTGGTACCAGTTGTTTGCTTACAGACACCTCAAACAGTTTGTACTTATTGCTGAGTTTATCAAGTTTACCAGTTGCCACATCAACTGCATCAACTACTTTCAACTACTCTAGGTTTCGAACCCATAGATTTCCTTTCCCACGGATTGATTTGTTCAAAGGGGCTAACTATGCCTAAATCTTCTTCACAACCAATGCAGGAGGACACCCCTAGATAGGTAAGCTGTAAGCTGGTTTATGTTTATGACCTTATAACTAGGTTAAGTAGGATTAATGATGTATATATCCAAAACCATACGGATGGAATCATAAGTAGACTTGCACATGGGGGGATCACGTCCTATGATAATACAAGTGTAACATGTGTAGTTATCTGATTAACTGATGGCAATAGAATACACATCTATAGTTGTCCCATTTCCAACCATGTAATTGGTAACCATTAAATACATGCTTACCAGTGCCATGATTGTGTTATATCATATGGTTATGTGATGGGTATAAACATATACACCTGGTTGATGGTTTGGAACTTTTTTCCCATTCAGTTGGGAATGTCATCATCCCAACTGACGAACACTCCATGATTTTTCGGGTAGGTGAACCACCAAGGTCATATACACCACACATAATCCTTACATATGCCATATGATCACCGAGGCGGCCAAGGGCCAAAACATCTCCGTCCTGGGGCCCATGGGGACGGTCGACGGTCGTTGGGATGGTTTTTTGGTCCCAAAAGCCCGGCACAAAAAAGGGATGGGGATCATGAGGTCTTTGATATACCCTCTGGTAATGACTAACAGGTGATGACTTTACCGACTTTACCGACTTTACCCTTTGGAAAATGGTGATTTACCCATAAAAATGGTGATTTCCCCATTCATAGCTATTGAACATGAATGAACATGACCATAGAAACAGTGGATTTACCCCCTAAAAAATTAGTGATGTTCCAGTTCGTTATGTAAACGTTTACCAGAGGGTAGGCCTCCATTGGAGGCCTATCAGTGGGACGTACCATTCTCCATCCTTATCGTGGATATCTTGTGAAACCATATGAATCAGAAAGAGTGTGAAATCAGATAATCATCTTCCTTAAATGAACCCATTCATTTGTTTTTGTGGGGATGGGTTGAAATCAGGAAGCAGAAACCCATGGGGTATCAAGGCCCTGAAGCAAGCCATCGAAGAAGCGCGCTGGAAATCTCAGCTCTCAGTCGGGAGAAAAGGGAAACCGTGGGATTTGTGGTACATTGATACTGTGGATGGAAGAAATCCTGCATCGCCTTGGATGGTTGAAACCCTACAAATAATGGGATAAACCACCTGTCAGATATGTCTCAGTATTCCGTATGATCTCATTTATATATCTAGATTTATCTCACAATCGCCCGCAATCGTCTCAAAGATGTCTTGCGGATGGGAACATGGACCCATTTCGGACGCTGCTTCCACCGGCGCCTTCAAGTGACCAATGGGTTGAGGTGCTGCAGAAATTGCAGCTGGAGAGCTTCAGGTGGGGATCGTGAAGATGGTGATGCTGGTGGCACTGCAGTTTGTACAGCAGCCGCAATACAGCATTTTGTAAGCGACTATCTCGCCAGCATGAGAAACATCATGATAGACGTTGCCAGAGAGCTTCTGATGAATCAAATCAATACGACCCCTAACCCCCAAGGTCTTCATGGTCATTGAGTCATAGATTATCAATGATTACGGTGAATGATGATAATGAATTACAGTCATTCATAGTGTAACTCTCTAAAATCAAATGTTCAACATTGAAATTTATAGTGACTCGAAAAATGAAATGGCAGTGAGTTATAGGTATAGTATGTTATAGTTGTCTAATTCCCCAAATGTCACATCAGTGGGAATTTCATAGCCCTTAGGGGTTATGTATGGTAGGTACAGGCCGACGACCACATGGAATGACAGCAGGCTGCCGAAGAGACACTCACAGCCTTGCTGCAAGAGGAGGAGATACGAAGGCCTGCGTGGAGCGTGGAGGTTAGAAACGAGGGTTGTTACCCATAAAGTCATAAAGTATCACATGCTATCATGAAATGCCATGAAAATGGTTGCTTAATGTTGATTACTTCACTAAGTAATGACATGTCGTTGCCAAGGAAGTGCAAGTTTACCGTGGGTTCCCTGAACTTATTTATTTTCTCCGAGTGGGTTATAGAGGTCAATTTTCTGCAATTGCCACCAGTTGTCGGAGGGCTATTCTCCAATTGTAAGTATGGTCGGGAGCCTATGAGACCATTGGAATGGAGAAGGGCAATCCATGACCAGCTGTTCTTGGTGCCATGGCTCTCAGTTTTTCACTATTCAAAGCGTTGATCGCCAGCACCAAATCTGGACACAGCATAAATAGCTCTCCATCCCACCCTCTGGTAAACTAACATAGCTATTGAAAATGGCCATTTATAGGGAGTTTTCCCATTCAAAATGGTGATTTTCCATAGCTATGTTAGTTTACCAGAGGGTAAGTCCATCCCACAGCCAGGATGTTGCAGCAAACCCGATCTGCCCCAGCTGTGGCCCCCGCGGCCCCCGCGGCCCCTGTGGCCCCCGCGGCCCCCGTGGCTCCCGTGCTCCCCGCAGCCACGCCCAGCGGCGCGGTGAAGCGGGAAGCGCCAGAGCCGCCGAAGGCGGAGGAGTTGCCAACAGGCCATGACAGGGATCCCAAATGGAAGAGGAGAACCAACTGGTGATGGATAGTTTATCATAGTTCATCTTTTGAGATGATGGATATGGTTGAGTACTGCTCAAAGCACTTCTTCTTGAGATGGTTTTGAGAACCTACTGGTGGTCACAGTTAGAGATGGATAGTTGAGTACTATGACATGATTTTGCATTCTTTGAGTCATGAATTTGGGTATGATTGGGGCTTGATCCCAAAATTGTTTGATTTTTTGTTGTTTTTCTGAAATGGTGGCGGATCCCATGTACAAGCATTGTTGCCAACTTAGATGACGTATCTCAGCTGGTCCATGATTGGGGTCAAAAAAATTGCAGAGGCAAATCACTTCCGAACGTCCCCGGGCTCAAGTAGAGGCCTCAGCAGCTGTGGATGGTCTGTCACTTCAGCTATTCGGGGTTGAAACATCTAGACATCCTGAGGGGTTGGAAGCCCACTGGGAGAAAGACACCCAGATCAAATACGGTAGAATCCGGTAGAACCGCCCTAGACAAGTTGATGGTCCTACTGTAAAAGTGGGCATGGCTCAGAAATCAAGACCCTGGGACCCTGGGACATCCATTTGGATCCATTTGAAAGATATTGGGAATTCAAGCACCCGAAGATTTGGGGAGACACCATTTAGACCATGTCCTCCCCACGCCCAGGGGCCGATGGATGGCCCTTGGCAGCACGGCACCGAGGCGAATGCAACTGCGAGTGCTTGACAAAGTGGGTCTGGATCCCGGAGCGGAAGTGGGGAGGTGGTGATCGGCTACGGCTACCACAAATGCTACACAACATGGCAATGCCATGTGGGTGCTGCTCAAAAAGACTGCACAATGACATATGTATATATATATATTATATATTTAATATCATGACATTCTCGTCTTTCATGTGATATTCCGTGAGATGCTGGCTCGGAAAAATCCTGAGTAGCCATGTCATCCCGCTGGATAGCCAGGTTGTGGTATGATCCTGCAACCCACAAGATGGGGCATGGTGGTGGAGGACGGCAACTCGTTACTCGGTCGCGCATGTCAACCTAGGATTTAATAGATTCTTCCCCAGTTGATTCATTTTTTTGGAGTCCCATTTAATTCTTAGCAAAGTTTTGTCACTTGAGGACTTCGCCTTGTGACCATCGGGTAATCAACAATGGTAATGGGAAAAAAAGACCATTGAGGTCCATGATTTTCCCATTGAAATGGGAATGTCCATGAATGTCCTGATTTTCGCAGCTACAAACACTATCAGTTTCCCAGCCATTTTTTCCATCAGTTTCCCAGCCATGTTGGAGTACCGGGGTCGTCATTTTCAGTGGAGATCTCCACTTCGCAGGAAGTGGACGAGAAACCTGGACAGCCACTGCTGCAGGTAGGCGACTGCATTCAGGAGGCCCGGGCACACCATTTCGAAGCATTTTGAACCGTTGGTGTAATTTATGTTTGAGCCGTCTCGGATGGATACGAATGCGTGTTTCATCAATGAACACACACTGTGGGATACATATATAATACCTATAATATATATAATTTAATACCTATATAATATATATATATATATAATACCCATAATACACACACACATATATATATATTTGTTCATGTGATATGTTGTACTAGATCTATAGACACTATAAACCAACAATTGCCGTGCCTCGAGGTGGACAAGCTGTCGCTGATTGGCCTTCCACCAGATGTATGCGAGGCGCTGATGAGTCCAGCGGAGAAACTGGGGAATCCAACCAGAGTAATGTCATCTTATCGGTGATATATCCATATATATATATATCCATATATATATATATATATCCATATATATATATATCCATATATATATATCCATATATATATATATATCCATATATATATATAATATAGAATCATATCCCATTAGTATCCACTATGTATGGTTATATAAGTTATATATCCCATTCACAATACCCCATTAATATCCCATGAATATCCACTCAATATCACCTTGTTTGTTATAGTTTATACGTCTAATTCGTAAAACCCAGCGTCCATTTGCTACATTGTTGGTTCTATATCCCATTGTATCCCCATTCTATCCTCTATAAGTGCGATGGTTTCATAAACCACCATCTCTCATTTTCAACATGATTGGATGATGAGAAAACATGGGGATACAATTGGGATATACCGTCCAGTAATCAAACATGGCAATGGAAAATCCACCAAGTATAGCTGATGTTCCCAGCTAAAAAGAACTCCATTGCAATTGCCAATATTGCCATGTTTGATTATTGAAGGGTATCTCATGAATATCCCAGTGATATCCCATTTTTAATCACATTCAACCCCACTAAATCACCATAAACCTCTGGTAATTTAACATAGATAGAAAATCACCATTTTTAATAGGTAAACCATCTATAAATGGGCCATTTTCCATAGCTATGTTAGTTTACCAGAGGGTAAACCTCATTAGAAAAATGTTGAAAGTCCTGCTGAAGTTTTCACCACGTCAGGATACCTTCGGAGCGTCTTTCCGCCACGGGGCGTGGCTCATGGCTCTGTCGGGTCAGGAGGCGCGTTGAATCATGTTTTTACAATATGTTCGTATGTTATACATGTTATACAATGCAAAAAATAGTATGATTATGTTTAAGTAATATGATTATGTTTAATCTTTACTAAAACATATTATGAATTCAACATAATATTCAATATTCAGCTTACATAGTAATACAATGTAATACATTGACAAAACATTTCATTACTGTGATATGTAAATATGGCATAATATGGGTTTGATAATGTAACCTATTTGGGGATGGAATTGTTGGTGCATCCCATCCCATGGACGCAGAGTTGCCAGCCTTGCCAGGCTGGTGTGGACCTGAATGACCTGGACGCTGTCCGGAGCCGCAGAAACTGCAGAGTTACCATGGCTTTCGGGGATCAAACCCAGATCTACCCAGATCTACCCAGATCTATTTGATGATCTTTGGGAGTTTGATGGGGACAGGCTGGGGACAGGCCCTCGCTAGAAAGAACGCGGAAGATGATCCTACGTCATCGTGATGTAGAATGATCCCTCCCCCCAAACAACCCTAAAATGGCTGGTTCAGAACCAAACCCCTCTTCCCAGATAAACCCTAAATGGCTAGTTGATCACAATATCTCCCAAGAATAGCTATTAGAGTGGAATGAGCCGTTGAAACTGCAATGAGGATGTGTTCTGAAGTGATGGCTAGAAGTGCGTTCCGAAGTGATGCAAAATGGGTTTGTTCTGAAGTGATGGCTGGGACTGTGTTCTGAAGTGATCCTGTTGCCGATATGAACGGGGCTGCTTAATAAATATGAATGATGGGATGGGATGATATTTTTTCAGGATCCCCAAGTGCAGGATCTGGAGCACAAGACATGGACTGAGATGGATTCCCTGTGAGTTGCAGGACGGCAAACCCGAGTTTCGTATGGCATTCTTTGACCATTCGAAGGGTTGGGAAACGAAATGTACCTTTTTGTTTGTCAATAAAGATGCCATGCATTCAAGTACATTCAAACCTGAAGGGGAGACTTTCGTCATTTGTCATGATGGAGGAAAGATTCACAGCATCAGACACCACATACCACTTGAGGCGGAATTCGCCTACGACAGGTTTTTCTCCAAACATGCCATGCTGCAGGCTGGATGTGGGAATTATGGAGGCCTACCTTGTAATTAATCCCTTGCCCTGGCATTGAACCCCTTAGAGACCGTGGTTTAATATTGGATCTATGGCCATTTTGGGTCCTGTCCATAGGGAGTTTGAGATTGGACGAGTCCATTGGGTCATGAGAACGCTGGCTGGCCCCAGGCATGTAGCCGTTGAAAGGCAGAAGACACCCACCTAGATATGAAGATAGACGTCGATTTCTCATTCGATGTACAGTATAGTATCATATAAAATCATATAAATATATACATATACGTTATATGTATATATAATATAAATATGTATTAGATATAAATATATATGCACCACACACTCATGGCATATATATATATATATATATATATATATATATTTCACACACACACATATATATGTACACATATTGTGTATGCATGTTGGCGGTTGATGACAGCTGGTTTTGAAGCATCAGCTACTTTTCCATCACATTCCATCACTATCTAGGATTTCCTCAAAATGACCAATGCCTCCAGATTCTTTTGGGTTGAAACCGCCCATGAATCATCATTTGATTCGAAGCAAATTTGATTCAATGACCCGGTTCCTGGGAAACTTTCGAGGAACATGCTGGTGACTATTCTAGGGCTTTCCTGGAGTGATTTCACTGGTGTGTGACTATTCTTTTCTAGGGTTTCCTGGAATTGTTTCCCATCATTTTGGGCTTTGAAACCACCAGGCGCAGGATGAAGCCTCCCTGAGATCGTCTATCCAGGAGGTGGGGCCCATGAAGGACTTCAGATTCGCAGATTGCCAGATTGTTTTTTTCTTTTTTCTGCTATTTTTATTGGATAATTTCACCAGATATTTTCATTTTATTGGAAGGCTAGGTAGGTAGTGTGTATAGAAAATTGTCTCTATTTTTGGTTGGAAAGTATTGGGAAAAGTTGGGGGATTTTCGGTGAGTACTACAAACTGACCCAACCTTTTGTCGGGATACATTTTCGCACCATGCCAACAAATCATGCCCTGTCGGGGCGTCGCTGGCTAATTCCAGCGACATTTCCGTTCTGCTGCTGGCACTAATCAGATTGGGGATTGTTATGGTTCAAATTTACTGTATTTATTCCCCAAATCGCGCGTTAGAATTGGATGGTTCTAATATATATATATATATACCTTATATAATATTCGTAATATTCCTTAATCACTGGATGGTTTTCATATTCTATATATATGCCGTATGATCTTCGGAAATGGCAATTCCCAGTTGTCAACTTTGTGGAGGAAGTCAAGAATCTTGAGCCAATCCCATTTCATATATCTTAACACCATTTCATGGTCAGTATTCCCTCAATTTAATAGGAATAATCGGAATAATTGGATAATTTTCATATGTTTTAATTCCAACACAATGACCAGCCTGGCTCTCCATTGCTGCCACCATGAAAATCGCAGGCCCGCGCGGCCGGCGTGGAGGCTGGAGACCTGGCTGAAGCTGAAGCGAGACTGAGGCAGTCGGCGGCCATGGCGATCCACTGAATCACTGGTGGCTTCGCTGGTTTTTGATGGAATTGGATGGGAAAATTTACAGGACACCCTTATATTTGATGGGAAAAACATGGAACAACCATGGTTTCCGGTTAAGATGTTCCCTTCAATCCAGTGATGGTAGTTAAGAAATGACAAATAATAAACAACCCACCAGTCATGGGATATAATGGGTGTTCAACCGGCATGGAGAGTGAAGCATCTAAAATGGGCATCGAATGGGTATATAATGTTGCCCAGGGGAAATACGTAATGCACCACCAGCCAGAGCACCCTCGAAATTCGATGGCAAACCACGGCAAACCCCTAACACCGGGATGTTTCTACCTTTCAAATAAGATGGCTTGTTTCAAGCTGTTGGAATCTGACTTCCAAAAGTGGATTCTTGATGGTTGATACAAGCAATGCTAAAACCCAGCAGCATTTCTGGGTGCTCCAGGACTCTCACGGCAGAACGTGAGTTGGCAGATGCCGGCGCCCTGCACCTAGGGTGTGGTGAATCTATTCTTAGGGATCTTGGGGTGATGGGAGCAATAGATGTTAGCTAGTACTTTGTTCCGATTGGGAGTCCGGATGATAGTATGCCTGGATAGTTTCTTTTTAGGTGACCGTGGTTCCTCATTTCACAAGCCACCGAACATGTTCCAGTCCAAGTATTGTGTTTGTTGACGGGGGCCCTGCACCAAATGTAAGTAATGATTTGTGGTGATTCAGGCCTTCACTGCACGCTATAGCTTTAGTTACACAGTTGTGGACCCACAACTTTGGATGCCGCATCCCCTATGGAGTACCGTAAATAAAGTGCCCACGCAACCACGAAGAGTGCCAAACCCTGTCCGTGGCAGGTGCAGTTGATCATTTCAACTTGAAGGTTCTTTGGAAAAACCCAAGGAAAGAAGCATATGTTGGAAGATGACAGGTTGTGTGGAAAAGATCTTGCTATTTTTTTGTCATCAATCACTGGATGGCAGCATCGCAATGGAACATCTTGTAAGGAAACCATGGTTGTTCCAACAAAGAGTCGGTCCCTTGGACGCTGGGCCCGGCTGCGATGATGCCATGTCTGGCCCTGCGACGTCGTCGAAAGCTGCTCTTCTCCATGATTTGGAGAAGAAACGCCAGGAGCCGTCGGAGCCGTGGAGATCTTTCTGCAGTTTTCTCAGGTCAGATTTTGGTACCCTCTGGTAATTTAACATAGCTATGGAAAATGACCACTTTTAATGGGAAAATCCACTATTTCGACTGGGCCATTTTCAATAGCTATGTTAGTTTACCAGAGGGTAATGGTCATAGGATGTCATAGGGATTTTGGTAAGGATCATCCCCCAAAGGACCTGAAAAAATCAGATTTCTGCGACATCAAATTAAATGGTTACAGCATGTTAGAGCATTCTCTATAGCATACACATTAATACACATGAGTAATGGTTGAAGTGTATATATACCCTCTGGTTATTTAACATAGCCATGAAAAATGGCCATTTATAGATGGTTTACCTATTAAAAATGGTGATCTCCCATGGCTATGTTAAATAACCAGATGGTATAATATAAATATATATAATCTGAGGGAACCAGCCCCAAATATCAATTCTAAATGGTTGATATAGGAGCTACATTCTCCAGGTGGGGCCAGGCCCTGGCTCCAAGCCTTTCTGAGCCTGGTGGAGCCTGGTGGCCAATTCGTAAAGCAACATCAATAGACATGTGGATGCAAGAAGCAAAGACTAAATATATAAATAAGACCAAGTGACTAAGGGATACTAAGGGATATTGATATCACTGATATCACTGATATCACTGATATCAATTGATATCAATTGATATCACCAACGAATTCAACTTCCAACTGAAGGAGATTTGTCCGCTGCACCAGAAAAGCGCTGTGCTCCAGCCTTGCAGGAGCGAGAAAAGCTGCGCCAGAGCAATGCCAAGGACTCACGGGTGGATTTTAAATGACCCGTGCATGATTTGATAGCTGTCTTTTTGCAGGAGTTGGAGATAGAAACACGTTCGGTATGGTAGATTAGATAATGGTTTATCATGATATGATGCGATATTTAGGTGGCCTGAAGCCTCAAATATCCTTATATTGGTTGGCTCTGTGTGGGAATCATTTAGTTATTTTTGAAAATGCTTTCTTGTGAAAAATCCAGGGCCCATTATAGGGGGCACTTGGAAAGCAGGGTCCTAGAATTAGTCTTTTAGTATTGGATCTATTTATATCTATCTATCCATCTATCTATCTATCTATCTATCTATCTATCTATCTATCTATCTATCTATCTATCTAATCTATCTATCTATCTATCTATCTATCTATCTATCTATATAATTTGTATTAATATTTTGCGCAATTATGTTTAATATTAGGGTGACGGGATTCATATCCTTCCAGATTTTACCCGTGGACTCTGGCTTTGCCACAGATTTCGCGCACGGAGGAGGCTGCCGAGGAGACTCATAAACACAGTGCAGCCCTGCGCATTCAGAGCTTTGTTCCTTGATTGGGGAAGTGGCTGTTCCGGAAGTTGGAAAACTTGAGCACGGAAACTATGAATTCTAATTTTCACTCTATTTCAATCTCTTTTCGAACAAAAGAACGTAGAGTCATGCAAGAGGAGTCTAAAAATCATATATATATATATACTCGTAGGTTACAGACACACACACACAACCCTTCATTGACATGTACAATGTACACGACTGATTAGCATGCACACTTGTGCACTCCTGCACTTGTTTATCATACATACTCAGCATAGGGGCACTGGCTGCATCTATGGGGTTGAGTAACAGAACGGTTATAATTCATCCGGTCAGACCACCTTTTATTATTTCCATTGGGCTTGCGTTGTGGTTTGCAGTTTGCATTGAATGAATTTGCAAGCTTTACAACCTTGGGGTTGGGTGATGATACAGATATCACACACACATAATAAATAAACAAACCAGTGAATAAACGAATTGGATTAACTCACTCTCTCCCCTCTCACGTGTGTATATAATGTATATCATAAGAGCCGGATCATTTCGATTCTGATATTAAGTTTTGATTCCAGTTCTTCAGAATTGACTACTAATATTAGATCTGATAATGATCTGATAATAGAATCATAATTTAAAACAATGATCATAACAATATGTTTTTAAAACATTTTTTATGATATATAATATAAGGGCAATGCATCATATAACCTGAGTATTTCGTATTCGTAGGTGCATGATGATTCAAACACTGTTTCTTAGTCTTGGAACAACAAAGACCGAAAATTTCATGTATCGAGCAGCAAACGCAGTCGTTTTTTTGTGCAGCTAATTTTCAACTGCAATTGGCAATTGCTTGCAAAACTTTGATTTGGAGTAGGCAGGAAGTGAAAACTGCTGGAACAAAAAGCTTTGATTTATTATTCTAAAGTTGCAGTTATGATTCATCTGTTTCTTTTCATCAAACACACAATAGTAAGACAGTTTAAAAAAAAAAATGCAAAAAATCCTAAGATAGTAGCAGCTTTCATGCCATCCAGCCCGCTCTGAAGTGGCTGGATGAAGCATCCAAATAGGGATGGCACGCTGCAGCTTCCGCAGGGGTAGTGCTGTCCAGTTGTGGTCACTGTTACAGCCCCGGGGATTATCCGAATATATATATATAATTATATATGTATATCCACATTGCTTATTAGATTTTCATAGGTTTCATAGATTTTCATTATCCGTCACCAAATCGATCACTATAGTTCCACACGTGTGCCCACAATCTCCATTACCCAAGGCTTACAACGGTGCGGTAAACCGCTGATAACCACCCCCGATTCGAACAGAAACGGGTCGTAGAAACTCATCCTCAATTTGAGGTTTCTGGCATTCGCATGATAGTTCACCCCCCAAAAGACCCCCCCGAATAGCAGTTGGTGAAGATTTGCACTGAAACAAACCCCTCAGTATCAATTATATGATCATCATCCCAGTTATACGTAATACCTAGGTTTTTCATGTTTTTTCCCTAAGATATCAATAAATATAACCCCAAAATCACCGAAAATCACCCAGCATCACCGACATTTTTCCCGAGAAATCACTGAAAAATCACCAAGGTCCGGAGCGTCTTGGCACGGAGCCGTTGGGCAGAGCTCGAGTGGAAGAGCATCCAGCCGCTGGGGCGACATGGATTTTTTTGTTTCTATCATCTCTACAAATTCTATCATTTTATATTTCATAATGTATCTATATGTCTATATCATTTTCAGTTGTTGGTATAATCTCTAATATTACTGTTTTTTTTGTCGGTACCTCCTTTTCTTGCAACTGGGGTAATCTTGGATGATTCTTACCCACCTAGTACGTGGGATGCACATCCGAGAAGCACCCTCAAACATAAGATTGGTCATAAAATGTCATGAGTCATGAATCTTCTCGAGCATGAATTTAATTTCGGATTCTAATAAGTCTAAGTGGTTGAAACTTGAGACAATACTACAGGTAACAAGTGTAGTCAGCAATTCAACACTAGTAAACCATAGCAAACGACACTATAGTACAAATAATAATACAATGAAAAACAATATACATTGATGAACAATCATAACCACTTAACCAAGGTAAGCCGTCCCAATTTTATGAGAAATGGGTGGCATAAACTTTACCAATTGGATCCAATTGGAGGTTCACGGTTGGGTTTACCTGGGTCAGTGGGTCAAGTTGGTTAGTAGATGTTCATAGGCGCTGATGAATTAAAAATTAACAACAGATCTTCGCTGATCATACTGATCATCGTGTGTTTAACGATCATATTTCCTTGAAACGGAACAATGACAACAAGGTGATCCAACGAACGGGAGATCAGGGGGAAACCATTGCCACATGTTCGATGCTTGGAATGCCCAGATGGCTCCCCAAGCTTTAAACGAGAGATAAAACATATAAAACCTAGCAAAACTTAGAAGACAGAGTGCTGATCCAGAAATGCTGGAAGTGGAACATCAACAGGAACACCGTATATTTCACGGTAAACGAAAACTGGGTTTCTTGTTTTAAACCAATCCAGCTGGTGATCGGAGATGACTTCTAGGGATTCTAGGGCTGAAAATGATTAAAAAGGATCCCCAGCCGCCAGTGACCGGCCTAGGGCATACCTGCAACCGGCGTATGGTGTTGTCTGAAAATGGGGGATACACTGGGATAACTGCCCAGTGGACTTGAGCCCCGTTTTTGGACATCCAGATCTCAGGAAACAGGTGCAAGACCTTCAGACCCTTGCGAAGATTGTGCAGATGAAAGGCGGTTGGACAGGAAGATGAGGGTACTGAACTGGACATATCCGGACATGAACGTCTAAAGAATATTAAAGAATGATGTTGGATGCGAATCATTTTGAAAGGACAAACAAGAACTGAAACTCAATGACAGCTGTTTTATTTTTCTGTGCATTTCCATCAGCGCTCACGGCTTTCCAAATGCATCGTTGCTGTTTTATCATAGGGTGCACCTTGAGACCTTCGGTGGAATGCCCTGGCAGGCCAGCCATTCTTGGCACCAGGAAAGGTGCTCTTGACCCTGATGCGCAGATCGCATTGGCAGGTGCCTACCCGGGGGGCGTCGGGGCCTTTGGTGATGACATTAACATATTGTCCCAAAACTTAATAGGTTAAATAATACAGGTGCAAGTCTTATCATGTCTTATCTTTTATTATGTTGTAGATGTTAGTACCCATGTGTATTTGGCATAGGTATCTTGACTTGATGCCTGTAGCGTAGCCGTAGCATAGCACGACTCCAGGTGTCGAAGCACTTGGCCTTGCGAAGCGCTGATGATCTGGCTGAGGTGCTGGGGATGGTGGGGGAGTGGGTGGGGGTGGGTGGGGGGTTGACGTTGGCATATTTTGGTCCCGTGATCTTTCAGTTTTGGTCGTTGTGCCTTGATGTCTTTGAGAGAGAGTTTTTACGGATCACACCCTAGCTCATCCCCTTAACTACAGGGGTGGGGTAGTGGCCCGCCTGTCCGCCTAGTGTTGCACCCGGGTATTGAACCCGGGTCTGACGCATGAGGGATGCGTCTTATCCACTAGGCCATACCGGCCCTCCCTTAGATGTCTTTGATGTCTTTGGTGGTGATGATGATGATGGTGGTGGTGGGCTCCCCGTTTGGCTGGCACCAACAGATGAACCATCCCTGGCCTGGTTTGTCGGGATGGGTATATATTCAAGTTGCTTAGCATTGTAGCCCGTAGCCCATGGAAAGGAGGCTCAGGGTCTCTCCGGACAAAAATCCCCTGATATCCTCACTTTCCACATGAAAGCCAAAATGAGTTTATCGTCCACTTCTGGACTTCTGCTGGGGTAGTGAACCACGGGGCCCATGTTGGCAAAAAGCCAAGGATTAGCAGTATTTTGATGATGGTTTATAGCACCCATAAAAAATGTAAAGTTGGGGGTGGATCAGGTGCTGTGCGCCTTGTCGGGCTTCGTTTTGGATGCCTTGCGCGTGTCACACCGCGATGTTCATCGAAGTATTTGTGTCCGGCTCAGCTGGAAAAATGAAACCCCACACTGCACCACAAATGAAAAACACCAAGATGCAGCAGATTTTGCCTTCACTTTTTGTTGATCATTTTTCGCTCTAAACCTACGATTTTCCCATGAATGTGAACTGCCAGAAATTTTGATGTGAAAACCAAAGTGCTCACATGCCACGCCTCCCAGAATCAATCTGGCCTCTTGAATGTTTTTTAGCTCAGGCTATTTGATGACAGATGGTATGGAGAAGTCTGCGCATTCACCAGTGTCTTGATGATGCACCAGTGGCTTTACCTCTAGAAATGGCAAATGTCCATTCCAATTTCAGGGACACTTAGCTACCATTTTTCCTTTTTTCCAAGGAGCGAACTGCATCCAAGGCGGCGGCCTGGACGCTGTACCGTTTCTGCGCCGCTCTGCTGCAACTGGCCACGACGGGGCGCGGCGAAGCGCCCGCGGCCAAAAGCTTGACGCAGCTGCTGGATGTGGCTGCCTGGGGAGGTGAAAACTGGGTGATTGTGGGGAAATTGACTTTGTAAAATTAGATGGACATTCATAGAGTATCATAGGGTCATATACTATATTGTACCAAGTAGTCATATAACTTGATTATCGATGAACATTTTTCCATCGAAAATTCATGTGGTCATATATAATATAATAATAACAATAATAATAATAATTCCACCCCTCTCATATTATTAAACACCCCCATTCTATGGTCCCAAATGAGTGTAAATCCCCTACTAAACCATGAGATTTCTTGGGGGGTGTCTAATATTAACGGGGAAGGGATTAGTTGGGCAATGTTGGGTATGGAAATGAGAGTTTGGATATTCATATGTAGTTTCCTTGTGGGTTCTGGCAGTTCATGGAGGCTTCAGAAAAAGCCATGGGGTACCCAAAGAGGAATAGAAGTCGGGTGTTCCAGGATGACACCATGCAAAAAATGTCAAACAGTGGGCAAAAGTAGTCGGTCTACAGGATGTTCCATTTCCACTGTACAATTTTCCACTTGAAACAGGGTTCCCCGAACCCATTACAGGTAGATACTTGCCACAATTGGCGGAAATGAGTGATGAACTTCTAAACATTCTAAACTAGATTTTGAGGAGTTGGGCAGCTGCAACCCAGTCAGAGGTGATACTTTGTTGTCCTAACATAACTACGGAAAATCACCACTTTTAGTAGGTGAATCAACTATAAATGGACCAATGTTCATCAATTGTCAATAGCTATGTTAAACTACCAGAGGGTAAACAATTACATCCCATTATGTATATCATATATATATATAATGTAATACAATATAATGTATACTATATATCATATACATACATATATATATATATATATATCCCCATGGTTAGAATCCGTTCAACGACCAGAGGGAACCCTTCACTGCAGATGGATCCGCTCAAGACATCCCAGCCATCAGCGCCTTTGCCTCGTTTCTCCTGCAGCGCTTGGCGGATCCGCAACGGTGTCATGGCAATGGATCATCTGCTTGAACCGCAGCGGGAAAAATGTTGGTGGAAGAAACAACTATATATATATCATATATATATATATAAACTATATGTATATATAATAATAATATCTATATATATATATAACTAAAACATACTAAAACTTTTCCAAAAGTTCTCGCACACTAATTATTAGTATTATTGCAAGTCGTATATTAATATTGTGATTATGATGATTATTATATAATCATATATGATTTTGATTTTGAACCATTCATCATTCATCAGTGCTACAGACAAGCGCTGCATTCATCAGTGCTACAGGCTTCACAGTTGGCGGGTCTGTGCCAGCGGCTGCGCCTGGGGCCGCGGTGATGCCCCAGAGAAGCTACAGCAACTGGTGCCGGAGCTATGATCTGTTACGAACATCACACACGCTGGCGCATGTATGTATGCATGTGTATATATAATATAACTATATATATACACACCTCTGTACAGTTATACGTATGAATTATCGCCATCACATAGATTCGTTTTAATTTATTTGCGTGGTACATGTACACACACACATATATATGGTGCAGCGTTGGCCACCCCCCCTCCCCCCCCCCACCAATGGGTATGGGTGGACAGTATCGTCTGGTTCTTCTGGCCCCCCCCTGTGGCCTGTGGTGGTGGTATGGTTCTTCTGGTCCCCCCCCCGCCCTGTGGCCTGTGGTGGTGGTATGGTTCTTCTGGTCCCCCTCCCCCTGTGGCCTGTGGTGGTGGTATGTTGGGTATGTTGGTATGTTGGTATGTTGGTATGTATGTATGTATGTATGTATGTATGTATGTATGTATGTATGTATGTATGTATGTATGTATGTATGTATGGAATGTAAGGTAAGGTAATGTAAGGTAAGGTAAGGTAATGTAAGGTAAGGTAAGGTAATGTAAGGTAAGGTAATGTAATGGTATGTATGTATGTATGTTCTGTAAATGTAACGTAGGTAATGTCGTTACTTTATGTTATTATGTATTTTATTTATTGCAGGTACACCAGTAATGTAAACATTTAAGGTTAAGGTAATGTAAGGTAAGGTAATGTTAATTGTAATGTTATGTAATGTATGTAATGTAAACGTCAGGTATGTAAGTAGGTAGGTAAAGGTAGTATGAGGTATGTATGGATGTATAATAACACCACCACAGGGGCATCATACCCCCCCCCCCCATCCCATGGGGGGGGGGTGGGAACACGGGACACGGGACCATATATATATATATTATGTGTGTATATATATATATATATATTACATTTATACATATATACACACATATATATGTATATATAACAAATATGTGGAGGACAGAATCTCCAAACACATCCAAAGGGGCTACTCATATTCATGTTCGTGCGTATGGGCATTCAGCGTGCATATTTACATAGGGGCAAGCAGATGCATTTTTTTTGCACATGCGCAAAGATGTGTACACTACATTTCTGAGGCCTATTCTTGGGTTGCAAGCAGCAATTGCCAACATTTTATGTCATTGGGCCACGGTGGTCCAGCCTTGGAGAGCTGTGCACTTGGTCATTTCCCTAGGACTTCCCCCGCCTTGGCCAATAGCCGTCACATCATTTTATATCCTTGATTCAGTTGAAACCAAGCCAGGCCCAAGACTCAACCAGTCGCTTTCTTGTCCAACTAAGGTGGCAGTGCAAGTGGCTCTGCTTCGCCTTGGTTTTCTTTCGCAGGACAGGGTTTTTTTCGACTGTCGAATGGTGCCGGTAGCTTTGCAGAATCAGACTTCTTGGCCGTCCATAGATCCTAAATCAATCTAAATCATTGGTTTCCATGTCCAAGTTGAAAAACTATTGATCTTGGTCCTTTCAAGGTAATGAATACTATTATACATAATCATAATCTAAGGAGCATGATTGCAAGAGCAAGGTTGGCTCTTGGCCAAATGACAATATGATCAATATGAACCTTGGTAACCTTTAAATAGTTGATGTAAATTGTATGATGTTGCATGTTTTGCCGTGGCGTCCATTTTAGGACTTGCAGGGCCATCTTGACATGATGCTAAGACTCAAGAAGTGATGAACCAGCAATGTCAGCCCCCCAAGGCTGAACCCTCCCTCGAAATCATGGTTTAGTAAGGGGTTTACACTTATTTGGCACCATGGAATGGGGGTGTTTTATATTGGGGGGATGGGATTACAATAAACAAGCTCAAGCCTTGGAATCAGAAGAGTTCTGGCATATTCGATCAGAATGGAAGGACGACCCTGAGACTCGCAGCACCTTTTCAGCATGTTTATAGCCAACCCCTTTTGGCACCAACCATTTCATGGTTTGACAGGGTTTGACATTTTCGGGGGGTCCAATTTTGATCCACCCGCTGCTTAAAAATGTACCCTGCCATCTGTGGCTTCGCAGGACCGTGGAAACGCAGTGCGCGGCGTGGTCGCTGCAGCCTTGCAGGCTGCACTGGCAGTGCCACGGGCGGCTGGGCCCTTGGGGAGACAGTTTGCTGTGCTGCCGCGGAAGGAGAAAGTGGCCGAGGCAGGGGATTTAGCCAGCCTTTGGATCGCTGGGGTTACCCCCCAAAAAACACGCTCACAGTGGATTGTAATGGGGGGCCCCCGGGCCCCAAAAATCAGAAGATCCTGGTATATCCTGGTAGTGACTGGAATTGTGGGCGAGGGAGGGTGGCAAGATGGACCCCAAATCATAACCCACCCCCAATGACTTACCAAAAGAGGTAGTGGAATGCGGCATAAACCATCCAACTGGAGGCTTTTCTCTCGTTGGGTTTGTGACTGCAAGAAAAAGCAGTGCAACCAGCAGTTGGAAGCGGTGAGTGGCGTGATCGCCGCACCCTGATGGGGTGGCTCAAATGATTGAACCTTCAAAGGAATTAAATTCCGTAATTACCTCCCCCAGAGCCCGTGGTTTGTTATTTTTTCTTTCTTGCGTTTTTTTTTGCTGGGTGGGAATCCAATCTAATCTTAGGCGGATGGGTTTCCAACGCGTGACATGACAATCCCTTTCGCACGAGCAAAGGATTTGGTGTGGTCAGATGTGCTGGCACAGCTACCACAGAAGTATCAAGAGAGCGGACAGCATCGACAAGGCCAGAAAGGGATGGAATATGTCGCAGTCCTGACGTTTGACACTAAATAATCATTGAACATCATGGACCGGTTCAATGGTTATCAAGTCCAAGAAATTCTGATTTCCTATCGTCTTCAAGACATGTCCGTTTCCAGGGAATAGTGCTTGCGCATCCATTGCTGCCCTGGAGGTTCTGCGAAGGCTTTGGAGCAAGAGTATGCCATGGCATATGCTGCAGGCGAAGAGTGGGCAGTGGTTTCGATTGACCTTGTCGTTAGCTTTAAACATGTTTCGGGCGGGTTTCTCAGCCACCAACCAGATTCTTGATGGTTATATCATAAGTTATAATTGGTTGGTGGTTTCAAAGATTTTTTTATTTTCCATTTCATATATGGGATGTCATCCCAACCCCATTGACGAACTCATATTTTTCAAGATGGTTATTGCACCACCAACCAGATATATAATATCTTGGTTTACCCTATAGATTCTTGATGGTTATATCATATATCATAAGTTATAATATCCCCAATGAACCTTGTTGTATTAATATCAGCCTATCCTACGGCCGTTGAAGCCATCAACCAGTTGATCTACAGTAGAGTCGCGACAGGTTCAGAGAAAAGCACTTTTGAACTCCAGTGGGTCTCACTGGAAGTTTAATCTTTGAGTAGGGAATAACAAATCCTCAAAGACAAACAAATGATATCAAATGATAATCAAGAATCAAAAATCATGAGACATACAACGAAAAATCATCGAAAAGCCATAGCAAAATCCACCAAAGCCATAGCAAAAGCATCCAACATCCACCAAAAAGTTTCAGAAACATGCACCAAACCCAACAACTACCCTCTGATAATCCAACATAGCCATGAAAAATCACTATATTTATATTCCGCGCTGCAGAGAGCAGAATTATAGGACTAACGGTCATCAGCCCAAGAAATCGACTTGCATACTGTGATGCAACCAGATCTGTGGTACAGTAGATGCACCTCAAAGATGACAGGTGGAGTTCGCCTTTTGCCTGCCAACTTCCAACTTCCATGCAGCCACCGGAAAAGCATTAACATCCGGCTATAGGCTTTTGTAAGCCAGTACGCCCAGCTAGAAAACAACATGAATTTGGGCACTTAAGCCCACAGAAACGACTAGATAAACCTAGAGGAGGAAAAGGCTGCCGGGGGCCACCTCCAATCTCAAGTCGTCGAGCTAAGGGACCAATCCTCGCAGCACTGGACGGCTGCCAACCACGGATGTCCCCGTCAAGTTTTGTAGGTTTCCAGCCTGTTGTGCAATGCCATTGTCTCCCAAGTTGACAACACAAGGAGCTTAGTCATTTGATGTTCTGTCTGAACTTGTGGACCTGGAACTCGCGAGCATTCTGCCAAGTTCATTCCAAAAGCATGTGGATAGGAAGTTTGGAGCACCCAACGATGACAAAGACAAACACTGCATTCAATGACAAGATTGCCAGCTTGGTGCTGTGCACCGCCCAAACGTACGCATTTTGAGTATCCAGCAAATAGAGCAAAGAGAGCCCACCAAACAAGTCACGAAAGGTAGCTCCAGAGGGGCTACCTTGAGTTTTACTTTACGAAGTAAAGGGGAGGGCGGCCAGCCCCGTTACCTGATTCTTCAGGAGATTGCTAGTCATTTTAGTACCCCCCCCCCTCCACACCTCCCACGCACCCTAAGAGCAGACTCAAAACATTGTAATTTACAGTATTTTTGTTCTTTTCGGATCAAGAAACCACATTTTGCTACATGGTGAAACCTCCGTAAATACCAGTGTTTTTGCTAGGTGCTGGCCAAAAAACACTGTAAATACCGTGCTTTTTACTACCAGAGGCAAAAAAACATCGTAAATACCGTGGTTTTGGGCTTCCGACCCGCCAAAAACATCGGTATTTACGGTGTTTTTTGCTCCGAGAGTTGCAAAAACACGCGAAAACACCACCGATTTGACGATTTTCCACTACACCAACAGCAACAGCAACAGCAACAACAACAACGACGACAACAACAACAACAACACCAACGCACAACGCACAACGCACAACGCACAACGCACAATGCACAACGCACAATGCACAACGCACAACGCACAACGCACAACGCACAACGCACAACACACAACGCACAAAACACACAACACACACACACAACACACACAACACACACAACACACACAACAACACACAACAACACACAACAACACACACACAACCACACACAACAACACACACACACAACAACACACAACAACACACCACAACACACAACAACACACAACAACACACGCAACACGCAACACACAACAACGCAACAACGCAACAACGCAACAACAACACACAACAACACACAACAACACACAACAACACACAACAACACACAACAACACACAACAACACACACCACCACACAACAACACACAACAACACACAACAACACACAACAACACACAACAACACACAACAACACACAACAACACACAACAACACACAACAACACACAACAACACACAACAACACACAACAACACACAACAACACACAACAACACACAACACCACACAACAACACACAACACCACACAACAACACACAACAACACACAACAACACACAACAACACACAACAACACACAACAACACACAACAACACACAACAACACACAACAACACACAACAACACACAACAACACACAACAACACACAACAACACACACACAACAACACTCAACAACACACAACAACACACAACAACACACAACAACAACAACAACATCATCATCAACAACAACAACAACACCATCAACAGCAGCAGCAGCAACAACAGCAACAGCAACAGCAACAACAACAACAACAACACGAACACGAACAATACCAACACCAACAACACGACCAACAACACCAACACCGCCAACAAACCCAACCACACCAACAACACTAACAACACTAACAACACCAGAAACACTACCACCACCAACACCAACAACACCAATACCAACAACACCAACAACACCAACACCACCAGCACCACCAACACCACCAACACCACAACCACCACCAACCCCAACCACATCGCCGAATCCTTTCAGTCGCTTTTACCAGACTCCCCTTCATATTTTTGGAAAGAAAATGGCCGCGTCGCTTTTACCAGACTCCACTTTATGTATTTTTCCCTCCCCTCTCCCCTTCATTTTTTCTTCGGTTCCTTTCTTGCTTACCTACCTTTCGTGTTCCCCCTCTCAAGTATCATGAACGAACCATTGCAATCAACCACTGGAAGGTGCTTGAGCCCAGGCTGAATCACCATATTTAAAGGGTAAATCCACTCCCCCGCTGGTAAACTAACATAACTATGGAAAATCATCATTTTTAATGGGTAAATCAACTATAAATGGCCATTTTCAATAGCTATGTGGCTGTTTACCAGAGGGTACATCCCATTAAAATCACCATTTTGTTGGTTAAACCCCATTAAACCACCATTCAACCACCATTAAACCAGCATTAAACCAGCATTAAACCACCATTAAACCAGCATTTTGTGGTTAACCATGGTGATTTGCCATAGCTTTGACCTTTTTCCCAGCAGGAAACCTCCTGGAGCTTCACGCTGAGCTGCAGCTCCCTTTGCCAGCGCTTCTGCCACTCCTGGCGCTGCTCGTGGAACGGGCTGTAGAGGTGCAAAAGGATAAGGGGGAGAACGGGAATATATCTATGTATAGTGATGTAGTATATGAATATACCATATCATGATGGTGATATTGATATACTGTAATATGTATAACATTATGTACCCTAATGCCATGTTTTTTTTGGTTTGTCGGTTTGTCTGGAAAGTGCGGTGCATATATACCCTAAATGTGGTTGTTTTCATAAGGTTTGCATGATGATCAATAGATTAATCATAGAATGGAGTATATACCTATTTTTCAGACAATTTGATGTCGATATCATGTGGGATGTCCAAACAATGTACAGATGATCACACATTTGATCAAACAGAGAGTTTTTGCTGCTAAATCCGCCAATGTATCCAGAAAATATGGTAGAATTATATAATGATAATATATGATAATTATATAAATCATTTGGGTTCTTGTGAATAACTGCGGAAAATATTTGCACACACACACATATACACATACGTATGTATACATATATATATATATATTATATGCACATATATATAAGTACTAGATGTAGATGCGGCGAACTAAGTAGCACTTGATTCTGATTGTTTTCATGGGAAGAAGTTTCTGATCAACAACATGGGAAATGACCTGGCTGATTATTCATGATTGTTCCATTGATGGCAATCACTTGGTTGCGAAAACGATACTAAACCAGCTTGATCGCAGGAGATTTTTGCTGCCCAATTCCTTATCCCTGGATTACCCCATGTATACTGTCCACGAATTGCTGACCACTTACATCAATCAGGAATGAAAAAGGAAGTGAATTCTTCGGAGTGTCCAGCTTGGGGCAGATTTGGTGAAGGCACTTAAGGCGCAGAGAGAACCAATGCTCTCCGTGCCATTTCTATGTTTTCTGATGTTTCAATTTTGCACGCCCCGTTTCGCGCAACCATCCAACTGGGCCAACCAAATTCTTCCACCGTGCAGAAACGAGGTCTCCATGCTGCCTGGTTCAGCCAGTAGCGGCGATGAGCCTGTGGCTTTGCAGGTTGGGGTGCCCCAATCTTCTCCATGCCCCATGAAGAACTCAAGATGTCGGCTGGTGTAGTTGCAAGTTGCGCCTTGCAGAGTGGGACTGCCCCAATATATATACATAAATATATATATGTATATATATATATATGTATATATATATATGTGTGTGTGTGTGAGTGTTCATTTTTTGGACTGCAAATGAAGATCCACTGACGTCAATTGACATCAACATCAATGACCCCCATGCCATGGCCTGCTGGGATGCTCCACCTGGTGGCAGGAACTGAGACGACAGCTGAAGGCCATGGCCGAGCCTGTTGCCGTGGTGAGGATGTGGAGCGACATCTTGTGCCTGCGCTTCCGGCCCAAGGACGGGACTGCTGATACCCAGACTTCGGTTTTTTTCCGAGAGGAAAGAAACCACAACAAGTACAGCACAGGTTTCTTGAATTTCTACAGTAGCCCTTGTGGCCTGCGTTTCAGGGGCAAAATGAAGTCACAAAGTGTAGACAGTGTAGACTCAGATGCCTTGCTCGGCTGCAAGGAAAACCTCGCCGTGCCTTTGCGTGGCTACCAACGTCACTGCTTAGCAGTGGTGAGCCACAAAGTTTGCCCCAAGGCGCGCACTGTGCGTCATTGGCCGGCGAGTCAGACATGGAGGATTTTCGTGGGGGATTCAGACTCCCAGACCTGAAGAAAGCTTAACCCAAAGGTCTTGATGCTTGCAGCTACCGTCATGATCATACGTAACTGACGTGTTCACTATTTTTCAATCTTTTTGTTGGGGGCCCACGGGTCGGTATAGCTTCGAACCTACCTCTATAAGCAGGCTTCAAACATCTTCAAACTAGTTCCAGTCAGTTTTTGGAGAAGGCGAAGATGGTCCCTGGAACTCATGGAACATTTTTTTTCGCGATTCTGGTCGTCTTGCCCGAATGTAAAATCTTATCGAATGTATATCTACAACTGATTTTGCCATCACCATTCTGGTTGTTTCGGTCGTAGGTCCCAGGGAATATTCCACAGGGCACTGTGTGTTTTTCTCATCAAATATGGGAACTTTCCTTTCAAACTTACCCTTAAGATATCCCACTGCCTGCCAAAATTTGAACGAAATCATCAAAATCATCCAATGCCCAATGATTTGTTGGTTTTGACTCCAAATGTTTGCTACTCCCAACTTGGAGGCGGGACAAACCGTCTACCAACTTCATTCGCTTGACCCCCAAACACATAGGTATCAATGATTTTCCTTAGTTCATAAAATTAACATATAAGTTAACTAATTATAGTAAAATTAGATAAACTTAGATAACCAGGGACCAGATAGGTAAAAAGTTAGATACAGTTAGATACAAGAGAGAGAGAGAGAGTTAAATTTCGATAATAAACATTGACAAAATTAAATACAGATACAAAGTTACATAAACAGCTTGACAAGTCTTTAAAGTTACATCGAAACAGTTAGATAACAGTTAGATAAAGTTACCCCCACTTCTTCTTTTCCGCAGGCCGTCAGCTCCCTGGCCCAGCTCTACAGCGTGCTGCTGAGCAAGGCACGAGCCGCGGCTAAGGCTGGTTCCAACCACCAGGCCGGGGTTGGTTTCCATCGTGGCTTTCCCCACGGTGGAAACCGGGGAAACCCCGGGCCAAAACGCAGAACTGGGTAGATGAACTGGGTATGACATGGTATGACCATTAAGAATTGGATTCTATCTATTTCTATCTGATTTGATGATCAAAGATATCCAAAAGATTGGGAGCTACGCCATAAAATTGGAATCTTTCTGGCCAACTCTCCAGGTCGGTGAGTTATCGTTTACCGAGAAGAATGGTACCCTCTGGTAAACTATCATGACTATGGAAAATTGCCATTTATGGTTGAGTTACCTAGTAAAAATTGTGATTTTCCATAGTCATGTTAGTTTACTAGAGGGTAATATCTAGGTAAACGCAGCTGTTTTTGGAGGATCAAATCTGATGAATTTCCCCAGAATTTCCCGCAGCTTGGGATGAACTTGGCGGAAGGTTTTCCAGGGCATTGCAAATGCCATTGCCTACATGGAGGGTGGTGATGTGCCCAAGGCGTACCATGGCAGCTGTGAAGGGTCGTTGGAACATGTTGGTACCTGGAAGTCAGCAGTGGTTGGCGTACCAAGGCGTCACAAGTCTGATGATATCTTGTGTGAAAGAATCTGCATTGCACCCATGGACATGAAATCCCTGCACATTCCATCCGGTGCTTCTGACATGTATCGGCCCGAGGGCCCTTGAGTCAGCTGGTTCGCAAAACGTGCCATGTGCGACTGCAGCAGCTCGCTTCGTCGAAACTCTGCTTTCAAACTGGTAGCGGAGCATTGGCTCCTGCAACTAACAGTGCTCGCTTTGCTGTCCCTGGGCTCCTACTTTTGGTGCTTGGGAGCGATGGCATTGGATACCTTGCGGTATGGAAGTTTCAAGCCCACCTATGTGGCGGCGGACACGAAGGCACTTCCAGGATATGGTGGAGAAGTTCAGTCATGGGCTGACTACCGTTTCGCTGTGGAGGCCTTGGAAAAGAAGGAGGCGCAGATCGCAGAAGGAGAGAGGAAGAAGTTGGGACCATTAGCCCTTAGGCTGACGGAGCGATTGGTTGGACCCGCCTTGCAAGTGGCAAAGAAGGTTGGAGTGGAGAAACTATCCCAACCAGATGGTGTGAAGGTACTGCTGGAAGCCTTGGAGAAACAATTGCTTCCACTCAGGAAGCAAGCGGCCTTGGAGTTGTATCGAGCTGGAATGCGCGAAGGGATCCTATCGAGGCAAACTGGTGAGCCGATGAGTTCATACTGCCTACGTCGAGAAGCATGGTGGACGCAGCTTCGAGACATGGACCCGAGCATTCAGTGCAGTGATGCAATTCTGGGTGAGCAGTTGCTTCAACATGCAGGACTGGGCCATCTGGAACAGCAAATGGTGAGGACGGTGTGTCAAAATGACTTGAGTGACATGGACCGTTTAGCCAATACCCTAAGGGATCAGTTTGGGACACTCCATGAAAGGGAAACCAATCGGGGAAAAGGAAAGGGTAAGTATGAATACAAACCCTGGTCTCAACGGACTGGCTATATGACGGACTTCGCAGATGACAACTCTCTGGAAGACTCCTCTCAAGCTGGCTACAACAATGTGGAGACCTACCAGGATTCCTATGCCAACCACCAGGAGGATGACGAGACCTATGGTGATGATGATGCAGCATGGGAAGATGACCAGCGTGAGCGGGAGATTGAAGAAGAGGTCGTGATCTGGTATGCCAGCCAGAACATCGATGCGCAGACCTGTGCGCAGGAAGACTTGGAGCTTGTGGTCGACGCTGTGGAGGTTGAGATTTCGGCCTACTACAACCGTATGCAGGCTGAACATCGTGGAGTCACCAGCCCGGCCAACAGTTCCAACTATGCTGGTGGATCATCGACCATGTCAAGCCAAGAACGTCAAGCCAAAGTTCTAGCTGCGAAGCAGCGATCTCACTGTCGTGCATGCGGACAACTTGGTCATTGGCAACGTGATCCAATTTGTCCCCAACGAGGTCGTGGAAAAGGATTTGGAAAGAAAGGCAAAGGAGGCAAGTTTGGGAAGGCCAAAGGTGACTATGGAAAGTCTCGTGGAAAAGGTGGAAAGAAGGACAAGCCAAGAGTGGTCTACTTCGCTGTGGGTGAGGCCAGTGGCAGTGGCGATGGACATTGCTACATGGTGCTTCATTCGAGCCTTGACGATCCTGGGACACCTACAGGTTCTGCAGAAGGACGCCTTGAAGGACGCCTCGATGCAGAGCAGCAACGAGCCTTGGAAGCCGAAGTGCAGCGTTTGATGCAGCTGCCGAGGGATGAGATTGACCGGAGACTTCAACAGGAGTTGGAATTCATGCCCCCGGTTTCGAAGGCTGCCCCACCATTGAAGAGCCCTACACCTGTGCCGAAGGCCATCATGCCACCACCTGACTTGGCTACATCATCTACTTCGAGGACACCTTTGACGGCTTCGAGTTTGTCATCGATGAGACCTCCCGTGCCACCTATGCCTACCAGAAGCAGTGGACCAATCCTTGAGAGTGAGCCTGGAGATCCAACACCTGGAGATGGAGGAGTGTGTGCCCACCGGAACATTACGAGAAGAGGAAGCAATCAGTACCTCACCATGGTGACCTGCAAGGACTGTGGACAACGACTTCAGATCGAGCGGCGTGAGCCGGATGCAGACAGGCCAATGGCAGTTTTCACCCCTATGGAATGCCCTCATCCTACAGATCAAGTCTCGTGGAGAGGAAGCAATGGCTATGCCTGGAAATGGAGCTGCGCTGCTTGTGGAGCCAGTGATTCTGTGAAGAAGCAACCTGGCCAACCTCGTCCTGTACCTGGACAAGGATCTACGTCAGTGGTCATTGAGGCTGACGGGAACACCGGCTACAACATCAACAACGAAGCACAGGCCCTGATGGATGAAACCCTTTTTGTCAGTTCGGCAGAATGGGAGCAATTTCGTGGACTACTCGGACGCATGGTGAACAATCACATCACCTTGCATGGAGCCATCACACAGGGCGAGTTCTTGCATGTGGTCAACGCTACCTTGCTGTGCTACAAGACTCTTGGATCGACCTTCACTCAAGCTATGACATCGATGCCAGTGGCAAAGGCATCCCCAGGAGCAAGATCTACGACAAGTGCGGCAAGATCTACATCGAGCGTTGGAACTTTGAGGACTGAAGCTGGAGGAATCGATGGATCCAACATGATCACTTTCGGACGTTATAAGGGCTACACCTTTGCCGACGTCTATGAGATGGACGCTGGGTACGTGCAATTTGCACTGGATGAGCGTGCAAAGGGATCTGCCTATTGCACCAACATGCTGAGGTTTCAGGACTACTGCTTGCGGCGACGGGAATCAGAAGGCCTTGCTGTGGCCTACATGGTGGACGATGAGTTCGCAGTGAGCGGACCTGAAGATGACGATGTGCTGATGTACTTGGACAGTGGCTGCAACTCCACATGCCACGGCCAGTACTGGATGGAGAAGTTTGAGGATGCCACCAACTATCGGCCGCAATGGATGTCCCGAGAGCGCAAGAACCTGATTGGAATTGGCGGAGCTGCCTTGAGCTTGGGCATCAGGAAGCTCTATATCGCCCTGGAGACTTTGGAGGGATATAATGTCCCCGGCATCATCACTTCGATTGAGATTGAAGGATCTCATGCCCCTCTTCTACTTTCACTTCAAGCTCAACAAGATCTCGGCATGGTGATCGACTTGGTGGAAGGCACTGTGAAGTCTCGCACCTTGGGATGCACCTTCAACGCAGTTCGAGGACGTCGCAACAGATTGATCGGACTTCGTTTGACCCCTGGTGACTTCATGGACGACGGTGCCACGATCCCGGTGAGTCTCATGGCGGAGGCAGACGATGGAGACCGAGGAGATCGAGATCGAGATCAATGGAGGAGGCATGCAAAGACCCTTATGACTCATGAGGTGAAGAAGCTGCCGATGAAGAAGAAGCGCCACAGAGGACATCAACAATGTGTCCGAAGAGGAAGCCGACAGGATTCAGCTCGTGGAAGTGCAGACCCACCGAGCTTTGAGACCTACAATGGCCTGGAGGATTGGACTGAGGATGATGTCTTTCCTCCGGCACCACAACCACTACCAGAGACGGAGGATGATGAGTTCGTCTATGTGGAGGTGGACGTGACGGACGATGAAGACGATGACGTCATCATCACCGAGGACAACCCGGAGAATGCCGAGTCCGAAGAGGAAGAGAATCCGGAGCGTCGAGATGAGTCGACTCAGGACATCATCAATGAGCTCGAGGCGCTGCCTGACGAGGTCTTCGACGCATTCCCGGATGAGCTCTTCTTGCCCGGAGGTGGAGACGGAGATGGATCGCCGTCGAGCCCTACGTCTCAGCAACACCCTGAAGAGGACGAGGCAGACTGCTGGGAGCTGAAGGATGACCTGGTGATTCGACACCACTTCACACCCAGGAAGCAGTTCTTCAACCCGAAGGACGCTGAGCTGTCCCTTCCCATCGATCTGAACCTTCTCAGTTCAACCAGATGGACTTTCATGGAATACCTTGACAAGGAGGAGAAAGACACTGAGATCGATGAGTGGAAGGAGAAGCCATCAACTGCTGGACGAGATCGGGTGTGGGTTGGAACCACGGAGTTCCGTGTCATCCCAATCGATGAGGAGTTGAAGACCCAGAGGATGTCTTGGGAAGATGGACCTAAGAAGGTCATGAACAGAGGCCAGCGCAAGAAGATCCACGCTGAGGTGCAAGACATTGAGAAGGAGGACTACGCCTTGTGGAGTGTTCTTCGACGTCAGCGCCCAGCTATGCCACGTGGATGGAAAGCTCTTTTGGAGTTGTTCGCTGGTGCAGCGGTTTTGACCGCGACCTTTCAGGCTCAGGGCTACGAGTGCTGCCAACCTTTGGACATCAGATCTGGATGGAACGTCTTCGACAACGAGCAGAGGAAGCAGGTTGAACACACCATCGAGAAGGAGAACCCCTACTTGCTGAGCTTAGCATGGCCGTGTGGACCTTGGTCGCCTTGGCAGAGACTTTGCCCAGACAAGGACCTGGTATGGGCCAAGCGCCGTGATTGGCTGGAAGTTTTTCGCTGGTTCAAGAAGATCATCAAGAAGCAACGAGATCGAGGAGGAGTTTCGATGCTGGAGAACCCTTGGCCAAGTGAGGCATGGAACACGGAGGAGATGCAGCAGGTGATTGCGCTTGGACTGGAGTGCAACAAAATCGACATGTGTTCCTTCAACCTTCGAGATCAAGAATCTGGTTTGCTTCACCGCAAAGGGACGTGCATTGCCACTGACTCCCCTGGGATCAGCGAGACCCTTCATGGAAAAGTATGCCACGGAGGACATCAACATCAGCCATTGGAAGGCAAGAATGCCTATGGATCACGGTGCCAACAAGCCGGCAAGTACACTGTGGAGTTCTGCAAAACTATTGTGAAAGGAGTCCAACGAGATTTGGAGAATCAGCTATGCTACGCCTTCGCTGCTGAGGATCTGCTGGAGGATGTGGAGAACCAGGATGATTCCGCAACTCTTGATGGAATCCATGGTCCTGACGATTTGGGGAAACTGTCTGCTTCTCAAGAAGTTGAACGCAACGTGACCCATGAGGAGGACCTGGAGTTTTTGGACAAGGACGCAGACCCTGAAGGCGAGAAGCTGAGGAAGCAGGAATGGAGAAAGCTTTCCAAAGCTGAACGAGTTGGCATTCGCCGTCTTCACCACATGACGAGCCATGCCACCAAATCTCAGATGACTCGGATGTTGAGGTATGCCAACGCCGACAAGGCTGTGATCAGAGCTGTTCGGCATTTCAGGTGCCCTTCTTGTGACCGAATTGCACCTGAGGCAAGACCACAAGTCGTGAAGCCACCGGACCCCTACGTTTTCAATGATTCCATTGGCATGCACATTTTTACCATCAAGGACGCCTTTGAGCAGCCCTTCCATGTGCTTCATGTTATTTGCTTGGAAACCCACTTTCATGCTGGCGAAGTTCTTGGAGTCGCCCATGGAGTGCCGAGTTCCAACAAATGTCTTCAAACCTTGCTGAGGATTTGGATGAACTGGGCCGGACTGCCCACGCACATTGTGTGCGACCGCGGCACCCACAACCGTGGCGTGCTGATGCAACAACTGGAGCAACGTGGATGTAGATTTCGCTTTGCTGCTTTGGAGGCACCCTACCAACTTGGGAAGATTGAACGTGGAGGTGGCATCTTGAAAGGCATGATGAAGCGTGTGATTGCAAGCACCACTACAGTCGGAGAAGATGAGCTTCGAATGTGCTTGGTGGAATGTTTGGAGACCAAGAACCGCCAAGGAACTGTGAATGGATTCAGCCCTTGCCAATGGGTTCTTGGACGCAATCCTCGCATGTTTGGATGGCAAGACGAGGTGGACGATGACTTTCACAACGTCTTGGACCCTGATCCAACATCAACCTTCAATCGACGTGGAGCCATGAGGGAGAGTGCACGCCTTGCTTGGGCGATGGAGGACAGTCATCGACGTGTCCGAGCAGCACTACTTCGTCGTGGTGGAACCCCTGAGGAGGTCTACAGACCAGGAGACCTCATTGCTTTCAAGAGGAAGCAGAAGACTGGTGGATGGGTTGGACCAGCTCGAGTCCTTGCCACGGAAGGCAAGAACCTATGGATCTTGCACAGCGGCATCCCCATCTTGGTCGCTGGCAATCGAGTTCGAGCTGCCAACGCTGAGGAGCACCTGGAGAATGAACTTCTCGACAAAAGCAGACTGAGCAGGAAGAGGCCATTTCTGGACCCAGAAGCTGTTCGTCAACCACATCGCTTTGATGACCAAGGACAACAACCCTATGTGGACATGAGAGGACCGACTGGTGGAGATCAATCTGGAGCGGATCGATCTGGAGGAGAAAGTCCCAAGAGGGTGAGGTCTAGCGATGAGGGAGCCAGCAGCCCTGCCAGGAGCTCACGGGTGCCATCTGCAGCAGCTTCTCCAGCTGCACCTGCCAAATCAGATGATTTGGATGAACTTCTGGATGCGGAAGTTGAGGAGAGTGGAGGACCAGCCAGAGCGGCTGCCCCTGCTGTGAATGACCAACCTCAACAACCATCAACCAATCAGCAACCTGATCTACTATCGACATCTCAACCTTATTCCGTGCAACCTGAGGAGCAAGTTCAACAACATCAAGAAGAAAGACCCGCAGCGGTGACTGCGAGACAAACTACCGCTACTTCAACAACTGGACCCCCAATGGTGCGCACACCACTGGCCAAAGCAATGGCAATTGACGGAGGAGACCGACTGGACTTTGGTGTACTCCGTACAAGAGCCATGAGAACGGAAAGAACTGGGCCTTATGAGAGGATTGAACCTCAGGCCGAGGAAGATGAGCGTCCTGCAGCTCACTTCAACTTTCCAGAGCCGACTGAAGCCAATTTGGCCTTGGCAAAGGAGTTCGTTTGCTTCATGGTCAAGCGCAAGAACAAGTCGGACTCTCACGAGATCAACTACGGCCGAGCCTCTGATGAGATGAAGCGGAAGCTCAATGAGAGCAGGGCCAAGGAATGGTCCAACTGGCTGAAGTATAAAGCCATCCGCTTTCCGACTCAGGCCGAGATCGAATCCCTTTTGCTGGCCGGTGAGAGTGTGATCCCAATGAGATGGGTCGACATTGACAAGAATGAGAAATTGAGAGCACCTGGCGACACAACAATTCCTGAGAAATTGAAGAGCCGCCTGGTGATCAGAGGAGACCTTGAGGATGGCAACTTCAGGACAGATTGTCCAACGGCATCAAGCACAGCCGTCCACATCTTGCTGAGCTATGCCAGTTGCAAGAAGCTGAAGCTGAAGTCCGGAGACATTTCAGCGGCTTTTCTGCAGGGAGCACCTATCCAACGTGTGCTTCTACTTTCAGCCCCTCGAGATGGAATTCCAGTGGAAGGAGGCCCGTGGATCTCACCCGAGGAGTACATGATTGCACTCATGAGCGTCTATGGCTCCAAAGACGCACCTCGTGGTTTTTGGCTGGAACTACGCCAAACCATCATCGACAACGGTGTTGTGGAGATCGAGCCTGCCTTCTACGCCCTGATTTATGAAGGAGAATGCCATGGACTTTTGGCTACACATGTGGATGACCTTCTTTGGACCGGAACACCTATGATGGATGAAGTGATGAACAAGGTCCAAGAGAGATTCACTTTTGGAGCAACGGAAGAAGGGAGCTTTCGTTTTTGTGGCCGAAAGATCGTGGACACCGAGGACTACATCTCAGTCTCTTCACCGGAGACACTTTCCAAGGTGAAGCCAATACACATTGACGGAGGACGTCAACGTGAACCTTCATCACCGGCTTCGGTGTCTGAGCAGAGCCAAATGCGTGCAGTGCTTGGTAGCATTGGATGGGTCGCTCGACTTTGCCGACCTGAGCTTTGCTATGGCTGTTCTTCGCTTCAGGGAAAACAAGCCAAACCAACGGCTGAAGATTTGCGCAACACCAACAAGCTGTTGGCATCAGCGCAGAAGACAAAGGACAATGGTGTCCGATTCGTGAAGGGCAAGTTCGACTTTGAGGAAGCCATCTTGCTGTCGGTGACGGACGCTTCGCATGCAGCAGAAGTCAGCGTGACCGAAGATGGGAAGACCCAAGGCCACCGTTCACAAAGTGGCAGGGTTCTTCTCTTGGCTGGAGCGGCGCCAACTGTCAGCCAGCCGGCATGGTGTCACGTGTTGGAGTGGCAATCTCAAACTTTGAAAAGAGTTTGCCGTTCGACTTTGCAGGCGGAGGTTTTGAGCTCTATGCTGGGATCGGAATCAGCCCAACAGGTGCGGATTCTTCTTTACTCCTTGAAGTACCCACGCATTCCTGGTGACCGTGGGATGGGATGGAAGATTCTGGCTGCCGATTCGAAACTGGTGCTGTGGTATTCTGACTGCCGATCGTTCATCGATTACATGTCTGCCACGACGCCTGGGAGCATCACCGACAAGAGATTGGCCATTGACATGACGGCCCTTCGACAAGAGCTATGGCGTGGAGAGAACGAAGAGATCGGAGATCCTTCATCGAGTCCGAAGATGCCCATTGACGCGAAGGACCAATTGGTATGGATTTGTACAGCCGACATGTTGTCGGACCAATTGACAAAGTCAATGCGCTGGGACTCAGTGCGCAACCTTTGCAACACCGGATGTTTTCCATTAACGGTCAGTCCGCTACGGGCGGGATTTCAGTCCAGTACAGTTACAGGGGTGTGAAAGAATCTGCATTGCACCCATGGACATGAAATCCCTGCACATTCCATCCGGTGCTTCTGACATGTATCGGCCCGAGGGCCCTTGAGTCAGCTGGTTCGCAAAACGTGCCATGTGCGACTGCAGCAGCTCGCTTCGTCGAAACTCTGCTTTCAAATCTTGTGTGGACTGTCTATAGGTGCTCTAAAGTGTTTTTACTAGACGGGACATAATGTCACTAGACTGGTCTATCTTAAAAAAGTGACAAGACGTATAATTACGATCGTTCGGATGGTTTTCCTGAAAAGGGCAGGACATGATCCGAGATCAACTGCATCGGCTGGTATGTACGGTGCTGGAACTTTCAGATCTATGACCTGGCGCTCTTGTCCTAACACAATGCCCTTTAGTGACGATGATAGGGTTTTGGAACTGAAGCCAGACTCAGGTGCTTCTACGGCTTCATTTGCACTCATATGATACGTATTTCTATAGTTGTTGTATGTTGTTGTCATAGAATTGGATGATGGGAAAATTTACAGGAAACTCATATATTTGATGGTAAAAACCATGGTTTCCTGTAGGTTTTCCCTTAAACCAATCCATTGATGTTGGTGTGGGTCACAATGTAATGGGAAGGCAAACCTCCTATTCAAAAATCCATGGCCCTGCGGCTTCGTTGATCCATTTGCGGAGACCGGGTGGCGGCTGTTTTTATGGCAGGCTGAATTTGATCCAATATGTCCCATCTTTGATCCATTTAAAGGTGATTTTGAATACCACCCGGTAATTTACCGCTATGGATAGCTATGGAACATAGCTATGACATAGCACATTGATAGATATTACTAGATATTCGATGACTTACCTCTGAAAATGGTGATGCTCCATAGCAATGTCAAATTACCAGAGGGTATCACCCTGAGATGTTGATCAAATTTATCGGAGATGCTGTGCTCTCCAAGCACATGAGAAGACAAGGCTGTGGAGGCACATTGAAAGCGTCATCACGGACATGGACCCGTCACAGCTGAAGGTGCAATCGTTGGGCATCCCTGTGGCATGATGGGGTGCACGTGGGTCGGGTCACATGTTTTGTTGTCGGGAAAAACACCTTTGGCCAATATGTCCATTGTATGATTCATCTTCGGTTGGGATGCCTCGGGTATGGTATTTTTTCCATCCAGTACTGTAGTTGTTGACAGTTTTCACACCTTTCCCATTTCTATGGTTGTGCATCCGCTTGTTGGCAGTGGCCCAAGACAAAGCGCAATAAAATTTGCATGGGGACAACAAGAGCCGAAGGGTCAACTTCTGTACTCGGTGATTGAAAACGAACGCATGTTTGTGAAAACCATCCGTAGTTGACAACAAGATACCTTCAACTACCAAGGGTCTAAAGTACCCAGACCCTAGGGGTTTCCGTCACGGGGGTCTATAGAGGTCAATATTCTTACTTCAGACCTTTGACATTTTGCGTCATTTAGACCTTTGGCACTTTGCATATGTTGAGCTATCATGTGGCAAATGGCAGATGCACATTTTTGTATATTTTTTGGGCCAATCTTTGGCATGTTTCTTGAATGGATCAAAATCTTGGAAAACCACACTAAAAAAAGATGCAGATCCTTCATGAAAAAGAAAATCCTGCACAGCGGTGACCATGCAGGCTCACTGCTGTTGACATGGAAAATATCAACATAATGTTAAATAATAACATGGTTCTTCGATTTTCTTCATATTCATTTTGTAGGGACAGTGCTGCTTCGAGATTCTCCGACCATCTTTTTGCTAAAAGGTTATTTCCTAGAGTTTTGTATGTTTTGTACCTGTTGTATCCTGTTCTTATTTCATTGTGCTCTCTACCTTTGCCTGCTTTGCATTTTTAACCTTTGTGCTGGAACGCCTTACTTGTTTGCTTTTGTTGCCCTTCTTGTGCAAAACAGTTGCTGCTGATGCTGGTGCTGGAAGGGATTGAGACTGAGAGGAATTCCATCTTTCAAGAATGCTCCGGGGGGATTGGCCCAAGGATTTCTCCTTGTGAGATTGCATGGAGACTGAACCATGCACATTCTTGGAAGGAGGGATGCAATCATGGTCACATTGCTTTCTGTGTTGCCCTTTACTTTGCCACATGCTTCAAAACTTTCATGCTTCAAACTCCAGCCACATGCTTCAAACCCACAAAGACTGCGTCGTCCAGTCTAGCACTGGCAATCAGTCACCACCACCTGTGGATCTAGAATGGTTGCCTTCGGGCTTAAAACGCATTTTGACACGCATTGACCTGGGGAAGATGATTATAGACCCGCGTCCTTCCTTCGAAACGGTTTGGTTGAACCAAAAGTGCTGGTATCTAAAGATGTGCAGAAGGATGTAGAATGTAGAAGGGATGCCGAAGGATGGCTAAGCGGCAAAGTTGGGGTATAGCTGGTAATCAGTCAGCACTGAGTCAGCACCTGCGGGTCTAGAATGGTTGCCTTCGAGGCAAAAAAGCACTGTGGCACGCACTGACCTGGGGAAGACCCGCGTCCTTTTTATTCCAACTGGCTTGGTTGAACCAAAGTGCTGGTATCTAAAGAACGAAGGTGTTGGCTGGAAACAAGGATGCACATCACTGCAGGTTGCTCACCACAACTTGACCAGAAATTTGTACTTTCCAAACAAAATTGGCATTGTGTGGGAGGTTGGAGGTAATGGTAAGGCTGGTGTTAATTCAATTGCGGATGTTGACGGATATAATTCAATACGTTGTTTATCATTGCACATTACTGCAGCTGCTCATCACCGTTTTTACTTCCTTTTTTCAGAAAGTTCAAACCAAGCGACATTGAAATCACCTGGTTTTGAAAATGGAAATCTTGATCGACCAAAACCATGGGATGCTGATTCCAAACATGTTTTGTGCCTTTCTGCAGATACCTCATCACGACTTGGTTACTTTTTTTTGGCCACATAATTCAAACTCCAGCCAACAATCGTTGATTTTTATGATTGTTAGACAGGTTGCCCACATGAGGCACCAAAATGTACCACAAGGATTGAGCCATGGGAGAAGACCATGAAAAAACATGGGACATCGCGACTCAGATGAACATTGGTGACAAAAGTCTGGCATCACATTTTTTTTTTGACAAAAACAATGAATGAAATTAGTTTGTGTGTTTTGGAGACTTGGCTACTGCTCACGCGGCGTGGGGTCATCCTCGGTGATGTATGTTAGACAGGCTATGACAGGCTGCCCATCTGGGGCACCAGTACGATTGTGAGCAATCGGGAAACATGTGTGCTTGATGGTCAAAAACCCAGGGACCTAGGAAAACCTTGTTAGACCTAAACGAAGGAAACAAAATTAACGTGAACTGTAGCCAGATAACCCAAATATATCCGTGATTTAGGGTCTAAACGAAAGTTGCCAAGGTCCCCGCCAAGTACTTGACGGTATACAACAAGTACATGTTTGCGGAAAAAACATCTAGCAATAGTATATTATGGTAATTTATAAGAATTGAGATGAATTGCTGAACAAATTCCCTAATTAAAACGCATACGTGTGAGAATTGGCTCTCAGCACTTCCCCTTGAAATTGAAATGCAAGCTAAACTAGTTTGAAATTGAATAAGTATTGACCGTTCTTTGGCATGTTTTACGAAGGTCCCACGAATTGGTCCACTTCTTTGGGGGGGGTCAAGCAGAGCTGCTTATTCTGCCTTGGCTACCCCACTTGCGAGTTTGTTGGGAGGTATTTTTAAAACAAACTTTAATAAAATAAAGAACATGACATTTCAGGACCTGAAGGTTTTTGGAGGTCAGATGCAAGACAAACACACATACCTCCCAAAACGCTTGGCGTGGTCTCCTATGGCGTGGTTGAGTAATCGGCCCCGGGATTTGGCCTACTTTATTGTGGCGTGGATTAGTAACCGGAGGTGTATATGTATGATACTTCTTTTCATCCACATCCGCCAACGTTAAACCATTGTATATATGTATATATTGTATACTTATATTCTAATCGTAAAAGCAAGGTTCCTTGGATTCAAATCGTCATTCTAGACATTTTTACAAGCTAAACCTGGGCAGCGAAATCGTTATCGTGCCGATTCGCCCCAAAGTTCTTTCTGGTTCAATCCAATTCTATCTTAATTCACGTCTCTGAAGTCCAAGACCCACAAACTAGAGCCAAGTCATGCCAAGTTTTTTTTGTTCCTGTGAAAGCCCCTGTTCCTCTGTTACATCAACCTCCAAATAGGCAAAAGTAAACTCCAATCCAATTTTTTTGCTGTTTAAATCGAACCTCTTCTGTCAAAAATTCAGGAGGTTACGGTAGGTTCATAAGGTTTTATGGCAACGAGAATCTTCTTGTACCGGAGAAGAGGATATAGCGCAATAATTTAGGGGTTGCTAGACTATGCTAACTTAGAACCTCCTATGGTCCTATAATCGACCTCCGTATAGGTTATAGGTTCACCGTTCACCACCCCCAATCACCACGACCGGGATCACCGGGTCCAGGCCGAAGAGTTGCACCTTCTGCACCTGCAGGCGCTGCTGGTGTCGCAGACCCTGGGCGTCCTGTCCTCAGAGGAACTGCAGGGCGCCACAGCACCGCTGTGTCGCCATGACATGCCCAGCTACGTGGCCAAGGCGCCAGGGCGAGCTTAGGGCCGTTTAGGGGGAGAGAAAGATGGTCCTGGTCGCAGTGGGTTTGGACCGGGGAATTTATAGCATTTTCTAGCTTGTCATGTCCCAGGTTGAGACAGGTCCCAGTCCAATGCCATGTTCTCGCTTCAGAGCCTTGTTACGCTTTCTTCTCTGGGCACCTTCACACCAAGAGCCTGGTAGCCTGTTTTAGGTTACCCCCCAAAGTCATCGGCTATTTCAGGGTCCATTGTAAAAAGATCGTATAGGCTTAGGCAGAACTTATTCTGGTAGGCCTTCTTCCCCCAATTCATCCAAGTTTATATGCGCCCAGGTGTTCCCTATAGTTGCCGTATAATTATATAATATAAAGCAGTTGCATGGAGTTGCCTGTTCTTGGTCATTCTCCGGTTCCACCCCAGACCCCAAGATGGATCCGTCCACCCTAGGGACCTGCCCTGTCAATAGGTGAGCGCATTGGCTTCCACCATTGCTTGGACTTCCTCTGGATCACAGATTCGCCCCTCAGCTGTGCTGTGTGCTGCTATGTGCGGCATGGATAGCAAGCGAACTGGAAAATTACTGCAACACCTTAAATTTAATACTTGGCCACATTTGTGTTCTTCAAGTGCCCAGCTGAAATCGAAGAATGGTTCAAAACAAAAAGCAAATCGCTTGGACAATCATAGTGCAAGAAGGCCACTACTTGTGGGATGTTGTGGGTGCCTGTGGCCTTTCCACATCTCTTTTTCAGGAGAAGAACTTCTGGAGACTGCAGGCCGTGTGCTTGCTCAGCTGTACCGCATTTGTGATCGGAAGTGGGTCCCAGTGCAGAACTGGCACGCTCCGGAGCCCATCTTAGATGGCTTCAAGGCGGCCATGAAGGACCCCAATGCAGATGGGAAACTGGAGGCCTAGTTGAGTAGAGGTTTTTGGTGCCTGCGAGCGTGTGGGAACTAAATGGAACTAATGATATCCAATGATATCCAGATCCAACTAATATCTGCAAAATTCAACTGATGGACCCATCAATTTTCACCGGACATTCGGCATCCACACGGTGCACTACCCTGGGTAACCTCGGGCCCCAGCTCCAGGAGTTGACCGAACACATACAGCTTCGCAGCCCCGAGCCTCGCACCCTGCCACTGACAGCGGAACGTTTGCTGCGACACGTGCCACAGGTGCCTGGACGATCCATGGCACAGTGGCCTCAAAGATGGAGATTTTGGGCCAAGTTCCGTGATAACCATTGATAACAAACTGGACCATGTTGGTTCATGTCTATCACTTTCTTCATGATATATGGTATATAGGTATATATATATATGTATATTATATATATATGTATTAGACCGTTTTTTTGTGCTTCCTGCTTCGTGTGTTATGTCCTGTCAGAACAAAAATGGCAGTGTTTGATGTGTTTAAAAGATAAACTGTGAAACTGCATGTGAAACAGCAGTGACATAGCATTCCACCTTTGCAGCATTCAGTCTTGCAGACATTCCATGCGCATCCCAGAGCGCTCTTTTGCCCAAAGAAAAAGGTGCCTCACTTCCCGCACGCCGCAGCCGGGATTTTGATGGTAAGCGGAGCCCTGTTCACTCAGGGCCTCTGCTAGCTGGTGCCTAAGGTTCCAGCCCCTTGCGCTCGCTGTGCAACCTGCTGGCAGCCCTGCGGCACCAGCCTCCTACTACTGGTTGGAACTTCACCATTGAAGGTGTCTACAACCTCCCATGACTTCCTCTACTGCCTCCAAGATCATTTGCGATCGATACGGAGTTCCTCAGTATGCTGGCGAAGTGGAAGCTTTTGAAGAATATGTAGAGCGTGCCTGGGACTTGTACTTTGGAAGAGAAGGTCAGGAATCCCAGGTGTCCACTCCGATCCACCTTCGCTCAGGCCTTACAGGCCATGCATACGAGGCTGTCAGAAAGCTGGAGCACTCAAAGCTCCGAACTGCGACTGCTGAAGGAAAAGCCACTGAAGCGGGAATGAAGTTGTTGATTCAGACTCTCAAAGAGAGCATAGCAGCTGAGACGCCAGTGAAGATCAACGAGCTCTTCTTCACTGCCTTCTACAGCGCTGATGTCTGGAGAAAACCGCAAGAAAGCATGCAGCAGTATATCATCAGAAGGGAACAGGACTTTGCTCGTCTCAAGGGGTCCTCCCAAGAGACCACCGTCAGTGACAACCTGAGGTGCATGATGCTGCTGACTTTCAGCGGGTTGGATCAACGTGAACAACTAGGAGTTTTGGCTTCTGTTGGAAACGAGTACGACTTCAAGAAGGTCTCCCATGCGCTGAGGATCCAGTTTCCTCAGATCAGTGGCAAGCCAGTGTTTCGACGTGACTATCTAGGATGTGCACGTGGAGGTGGTCAACATGGCACTATGAAATCGGCCAAGTGGAAGGTCGGTCAGGGGAGGTTCAAGCAACATGCCTTCCTGGCTGATGATCAGGCCGAAGATGATGAGCCTGAATATGATGGCGATGGATATTACGAAGATGATGACGCTGAGGCCGAGGACGACGAAGCAGATGACAGCTACCTCGCCTACAGCGACGACGATGGCCTTGATGCTTTGATTCAAGAATGTGGTGGATCGCTGGATGATCCGCATGTTGCGGAAGCCTTTGCAACTGTGGCTCAGTTCAGAGCCAAGAAGAAGGGTTCTGGGAAGAAGAAGCCACAGTCCAGTGGCAGCAGCCATAGCTATCCGTTCAAAGCTCATGGCGACATCCAGTTCGACACCAAGGCCAAGGAGAACCGGAAGAACGCCATCAAGTTTCTGAAGAGCATGTCAACCTGCACCTCTTGCAACCAACGAGGTCACTGGGTTGGAGATCAAGAATGCCCCAATTTCAAGCCGAAGGGGAAGGGAAAGGGTCAGAAACCGAAGAAGTCAGGATCTCCGAAGAAAGCCTCTCATGCCATGTTTGTTTTGCACGATAGTTTGGAATCTGCAGATGAGAACGAAGTTCGTTTTGCATCCTTTGGAAAGCTGCGACCTGTGCACTCCAACTCTGAGCCCAATGCAGCCCTTGTGAATGACGCAGCCCCTGGGTATGACATCCCTCCAAAGAATGCCAAAGTTTTCAAGCCCTCCGCAGTTCCAAAGAATGACATGGTTTTTGAGAATGCCAAAGCCCCTGACGCCACTGCAGTTCATGTGAATGCCCTGGTCCCTGACTCCAACGAGTACAAGGTTGATGGATCTCAGAACCAATGCACTGCGACAGAGAAGAAAGGCCCTGCTGTGCCTGATGGACCAAGACTTGCCGATGACAGCAAAAGTTTCACCGATACAAGTTTTCATGCGGAATGTTTCATGGTCTTGAAAGAGACCCAGCACTGCGAGCATCTGAGCTACTGCGGCGGAGATGAGAAGCAAATCCACCGTGGCGCGAATGGCCACACTCGCCATTTGACCTGCAAGCAATGTGACAAGACTGTGATTTGTGGCCGTCGCCGCGAAGCTATCCAAATGTGGTCATACCTCGTGCAGGTGGCTTTGTGCACGAAGTTTGGCAGCAAGCTCAGATCGACTTTGATTTACCGGATCTGCTCCAGCGGACTCACAAAGATGCTGGAGGACAAAGACAAGCAGAAGGCTCTTGGCCATGTTGCGTCCCCTGGCAGCCCTGGATGGATTGTGATTCCATCTGAAGCTGATTCCAGTCAGTTAGGCCAACGTGGCTATCCAGATGTGCCACGACTTCCAGCTCGGAAGACAGCAACGATTGTGAGGTCGCCTGAGACCCAATGCTGGCTCTTTGGTGTGCTGCTCGCTCCAGGCGTCGACTTGCCGCCGTTTCCGGAGCTGAAGCCTGAGGATTTGGATGTTTTGCAGCCCTTGCCAGGTGACGACACTGTGATGCCTGAAGGACCATTTCGTGGCTACAAGTTTGTGGACATAGCCACCAACTTTGAGTCCGAGCCCTACTGCAAGCAAGTGATGCACATCGCACTCAACCTTGAGCCCATGTCACCACCTGTTTTTAGGCTTGCTTCGTACTTGTATGTTCGGTTGCAAATTGCCTGGCAAGCTGGTGTCAAGCTCAGTGGAACTGGTCAGGTTCTACCTGCTGGCAAACGTCCTTTCAGCCCTGAGGACATGTTGACAAGCCGGACCATCAAGGTTCCCTTGCAGCTGGATTACTATGATCCGAGCTCTCTCAAGGTTCATGAGTGCGAAGTGATGATGGTTGATGAAGACCTCAACTATGAGGCCTATGCCGTGCAGCCTGCAGACCCACCTGGTCTTGCCATACTGGACTCTGGGTGCAACCGCACCATGCACGGCGAAGAATGGGCCAAAGCCTATGAAGAGAAGCTCGCTGAACTTGGACTTCAACCTTCAATCCGAAACAAGACCCAGCTGTTCAAGGGGATTGGAGGACATGCTGAGTCCAAGGTCGTCAAGGCCTACCCTGTTGGACTTGGTGGAGTCAATGGCGAGCTCCACTCAGCAGAAACACCAGGAAAAACACCAATGCTGATTTCACGTCCTTTCATGCAAACCCTCGGCACAATCATCAACCTTGGCGAGGGGACAGTTTCTTTTTCCAAGCTCAACATCAGAGATCTTCCCTTGAAGAGAACCAGCCGTGGCCATTTAGCCATCTCTCTTTTGGACTTTGATTTGAACACCATGTCAGTTTTTGACGAGCTGGTCAAAGGATATGATGAGTTTGATGTCAATGCGGCAGAAACTGAGGCCTTGGACTTGGCGCCTGGATTTGAGCCGGCCTCTGAGGCTATTGGATTTCCTGCTCTTGGACTTGAGCAAGCCTCCGAGACCTTGGATTTGGCTCCTGGACTTGAGCCGGTCTCGCCGTCAAGTGATGCCCTCAGCCACGACGATGGATTTGATCCGGACACCAGGCGCGAGTCACAAGATGCCTGGGATGTCGTTTTTGGCATCGATGAAGCTGAGTTAGAAAGGGTCATGAATCAGCATCATGAAGGTTTTCACTGTGAGAGCACAGATGCTTTTCTGGAAGAGGTTGAAAAGGGTTTCTTTTCAGTTCGAAAGCCCAGCAGCCGAAAAGCCAAAAAGATTGCTGCGATGGACACCGCACTTTGCGGGATGGATGCTTTGGTTTCCAATCAGCTCAGGATGCAGCAAGCCTCAAAGGCTGCCAGAAAGCCTCCAACCGGAAAAACATGGCTCAAACAAGTTTTTGCTGGACAGATGGGTTTGACCATTTTGGCAGTTTTCCATGGTATGGTTTTTGGTATCCCTCGCGACATCTCCTTGGACGGCTGGGACGCTTTGACTCCTGCTGGAAGGCGTCAGCTTCACCAAGACTTCCAACAGGAAGATCCCTTTTGCACTGTGCTGACGCAACCGTGCGGTCCATGGGGGAATTGGTCGAGGTTCAACATCTCCAAGGGTGGCAGCGCTTCTGTCACCGTCCTTCAACTGCGAGAAGATGGTCGTCCCTTGCTGAAAGTTGTTAACAAGACCATCAAGGATAGACTCCGTGCCAACAGGCACATCTTCATGGAACAACCTCTGGGGTCACAAGTCCTTGATGAACCTGAAATGGCAGATGTTAGAAAGTTGGTTGAGGACGGCACTTTGCTGTTCATCGTGGTTGACGGCTGCATGGTTGGCTACAAAGATTCCGTCACCGGACTGCCCAACAAGAAGCCTTCCTTTTACATCACATCAATGTTGTGTGCTGAGAGCGTTTTTGCAACATGCCGATGTGATCATAGCCATGAACATCAACCACTTGAGGGCAACAATGAGTTTGGCCCCAGAACCACTCAAGCTGCAGCATGGCCTTCCGAGCTCAACCAGATGGTTTTGGATTGCATCATCCAACAAGCCGCCATTGAGGAGCACCTCGCTGATGAGATCTATGCTGGTGATGCTCAGCGCCGTCCTGCGAGCGGTCTCTCTGGGAGATCTCCCAAGCGCCGCAGACAGGGTCGAATGGCAACGATCTCAAGCCCAGCTCCGCCAGTTTATGTGCGACCACAAGGAGCTGAAGCACCTCAACCAGTTGGCGAACTTGGTGATCTACCTCCAGATGATGACTCATCTTTTCGAGCTCAACAAGCTGCAGCACTGGACCCAATCCTCAACCAGACAGAAGCTGATCGCCGACATCAATGGCTTCAAGTGGATCCTGAGATTCGCAAGTTGCTCAGGACCTTGCATGTCAATTTTGGACATCCAACCTCAACAACAATGCAGAGAATCCTGCGACGTCAGGGGGCAAAGCCGGAAGTCGTCCGAGCCGCTGGACTTATGGCCTGTGACGCTTGTGGTGAATCGATCCGGCAGAAACGTCCCAAGCCTGTGAGAATGCCATCGGCCTATGTGTTCAACCAGCACATCCTTGCCGACACCTTCTATGCCAAGAACAGCCAAGGCAAAAGTTTAGCCTTCCTCAACATCCTTTGCGATGCAACTGGGTTTCAAGTGGTTTCTTGCCTTGGAGAACTGACTGGGACGCCATCATCTGGCATTGTGCTCCGTCACTTTTTGACTTCATGGTCATCTTGGGCTGGACTTCCCCATTCTCTCCAAGTTGACCGTGGCAAGGAGTACATGGCTCAGTTCTCAGACTACCTGAAGCAGTATGGTGTCGAGCAGCAAGTGATTCCTCTTGAATCACCTTGGCAGAATGGAAAGTGCGAACGTGCTGGTGGCCTTTGGAAAGAAGTCTGGGCCAAGACAGTTGTTGATGTTGATGTTTCAACACTTGCAGATGCAATCACTGCTGCGTCAATTGTGACGCAAACCAGAAATGCCTTTCCACGCACCAATGGGTACTCGCCCAACCAGTGGGTACTTGGCCATCCTGAGACCCGCCTTCCAGGCAGCCTTCTCAGTTCAGATGAGAGCCAACAACTTGAAGTTCTCGAAGCAGCTGAAAACCCCCACAGTGAAATGGCAAAGACTTTGGCCGTTCGTGAAGCTGCTCGAGTGGCTCAAATTCGTTTGGATTCAGATAGCCGTGTGAGGCGAGCACTGTTGAGAAAGAGTACACCAACACGTGGACCTTTTCCTATTGGATCCTACGTGTACTTTTACAGGCGCCAGCCTCAGCAACGGCAACAAGATGGCCGACCTTACAACTGGTATGGACCTGCGAGAGTCATTGGACTTGAACTTCGAAATCCACGCCGCACTGAAGACGGCGATCCAGCCACTGATGGCTCAGCCCCAAGCAGCTATTGGCTCCGCTATGGTCCCAGCGTGATTTTGGCCTCTGGTGAACAATTGAGGTTTGCAAGTGAAGATGAGCTTTTGGCAGCTCACTATGTGCCCCCCACTATGCCGTGGAGCAGGGAAGCGACCGTGGAGCCCGCAACTATGTTGACATCCGCAACCAGCTTCAGCAACCAATGCTTCAGCTGCAGGGGGGTGGTGTCAACGCCGATTTTTGGCGAACTTTTCCAGATGGACGAGTTGTTCGGGTCCACAACGTTCCCAGAAAAGCACTTTATGTTCCTGATGCTTGCCCAGTACCACTTGACCAACTCCAAGATGAACGAGTGACTGAGGCCATTTATGAGGCTGAGATGCGTGATCACGTCCTCACGGACACCATCACCGACAACTGGCGTCAAGACCTTGGACGCGAACTTGTGGCCAAATGGGTTGGCGAAACAATTTTCAGGACAACACCGACTACGACCTTGGCAAGTTCCTCAGCCCGGCCTGCATCAGGACAATTTGTGTCCCAACCTGCAATGCCTGCGATTCCTGAAGAACGACCAACAGTCTTTGATGACCCGCCTCCAGATGCAGAGCAAGAGATAAGGACGGGCGATGTGCCTTTGCAACAACAGCAGCAGCAGCAAAGCCATGCTGGCCATATGAGACAGGTGACCGAGCAAGAACCTGATCCTGGTCCGCAGACCCCGAGGGATCAACAACTTCCTCAACAACCTGCTCCTGTTGCTCCCTTCATTGCTCAGCTTCACCAAGCGATGCGGAATCCACAACGACTTGATGGGCATCCTGGCGGAAGCTATGGACTACCTCGAACAGCACCAGAACCAAGCTATGGTCCTCAAGGTGGAGGTGCCAGAGTTTTCACTGGGCCTTATCTTGGAGAAGCTGTCCAAGAGAATGATTGGCCTGCTGGATGCGAAGATCTATCTGACCGACTTGCTCATCGACGTCTGGCTGATGCGTCAGAGCACACTGACGATTCCATGTCTGATGACTCCACATGCTACGAGGAGAATCCCAAGCTTGAAGCGTTCCTGACTGGCAAGGCAGTTCGGTCCGAGATCGACCTCAACGACCTTTCAGTAGAAGACCGTGCCAAGTTTGACCAGTCCATGGAGAAGGAGTGGAACTCTTTCAAGAAGTTTAGCGCTGTGGAGATCCTCTCAGAAAGCCAGATCGCAGCTCTTCCTCAAGACGCTGAGATTGTGAACACGCGATGGGTTCACACTGACAAGAACCAGAAGCCGCGCTTGATGGCTGGTGCAATGCGGCGACGCACTGGGAAGTCTGAAGCTCAGATCAAGAAGGAGTACCCCTTCGAAGCCAAATCCAGAATGGTTGTCATTGGCTGCCAGGAGAAGGACACTGGCATCAGATCTGACTCTCCCACTGCATCACTCCTGGCCTTCAATTTTGTGACTTGTTTGTCAGTTATTTTTCAGTGGATTTTGGAAGCGTATGATGCGAGCACAGCATATCTCCAATCTCAAGGAATAGCACGTCTCCTGCTTCTCCGTCCTCCTCGACCACCACCTCCTGGAGTTTCCCCACATGACTTGCTGCGTGCGAAAGGCAGCATTTACGGCACGCGAGATGCTGGCCGTAGCTGGTGGAAGAAACTTTTCAAAGCTCTCCAGCGACTTGGCTGGGTGATGTCAAAATTGGAAGCTGCACTGTTTTACCTTTTTGACTCTGAAGTTTTGGTCGGTGCGCTCGTAGCCCACGTGGATGACCTTTATTCCACTGGCACCGGAAAGAAGTATGAAGAGTCCCTGAAAGTTTTGGAGAAAGAGATTTATTTGAAGAGGAAAGTTGGTGATTTTCGTTTTTGTGGAAAGAATGTGAAACAAAACCAAGATGGATCTGTTTCTTTGGACCAGATCGATGCAATTGAGAGTTTGGAATATATGGTTTTGCAGAAGAACAGGCGCGTCATGCCGAATGCGCCGTTGAATGAGGATGAGAAGTCAGCCTTCAGAGGGCTGATTGGTTCACTTGGATGGATTGCCCGTCAGACCAAACCTGACGTGCTTGTGAACGTTTCCCTGGCATCCCAAACAATGGGAAATCCGACGATCAAGGATGTCGTGGAGCTTAACAAGGTTGTCAAGGTTCTAAAGGAGAGCTATGACTTCAAGTGGAACTTTGTCCCAAGCTCCAACCTCACTCTGGAGAATGCCGTGGTGTTTTGCATGGCTGACAGCAGTTTCGCAAACACGACCAAGCTGCGAAGCCAATGTGGCTATGTGGTTGGTCTGACCACTGCTGACTTCACCTCCGGCTATGACACGCCGGTGATGGTACTGGAGGCTTACAGCGGAAGCATCAAGCGTGTTTGTCGCAGCACTTTGGCTGCAGAAACAAACGGGTTCCTCACCGCGACCGAGGCCGCCGACTATGTGAGGATGCTCTTGCTGGAAGTGAAGCATCCAGGCGTTTCCATGGTTGACTTGGATAGGTTTTACCTGAAGGGCCTGCTGATCGCGTTGACGGACGCGAAGTCTTTGGAAGCCACCTTGAACAAGGACGCTGGCCAGCCTGCTGATAAGCGAGTGAAAATACTTGTCAGCCAGGTGAAAGAGTTTCTTGGCGGCGACAGCTATGAAGATGATGGTTCAGTACGCTGCCATTGGTGTGACACATCGCAGATGCTAGCCGACGTTTTGACGAAAGCTGGATGTGAAAGAGAACCTCTTTTGGATGCGATGACCACTGGAAAATGGCGCCTGAAACCAAGCGCCGAAGCCGAAGAAACCAAACAGAAGATCCGAGATGGAAGGAGACGCAGAAAAGCTGAAAAGCAAAACGCTGCTGCAGGTGAGGACGGGTGTGAAACTGCATGTGAAACAGCAGTGACATAGCATTCCACCTTTGCAGCATTCAGTCTTGCAGACATTCCATGCGCATCCCAGAGCGCTCTTTTGCCCAAAGAAAAAGGTGCCTCACTTCCCGCACGCCGCTGCCGGGATTTTGATAAACCCAACATGAATATATACAACAATCAATGCATTACAAAGACACAGCGACGGAAATATGCAGAGAAATATACATCTATTAGATGTGCGAGATATACATAATGACATATCACTGGTTGGTGGTGTGGAACATTTCTTATTTTTTCATAATATTGGGAATAATCATCCCAACTGACTTTATTTTTCAGAGGGGTAGGTATACCACCAAACAGATAATCCATGATAATCCCATTATTGACCATTATTAATCCCACGATAATCCCCATAATTCCCATGACATATCATGTCCCGAAATTTGGTTCATTTCAAGTTGCGGTTGAGCTCGCGAGGGCGCAGCTCGCGCTTCACGTGAGGCCATCCCTTTTGAGCAGCGTGTCGCCTTACTCCGTGCAAGGGTGCAAGTGGCCAAGGAGGCCGTGTCATCAAGGGGGATTTTTGGGCGTCTGATTTCAGGTGTCTTGGGTGAAATTGGATGCCGCACCCTCCAAAATGCAGTCAAAGTGGAGTAATCATAGAAAAGAACCAACATGTGTGGGGACTTGGGTCTCAAACAGCTCCCTAATCAACTGATTTTATTTGTTTGAGGTTGGCTTTTCATTCATCGTAGATGTACATTGACTCTAGTTTTGTATACATTATTCCCCACCTGCCAGATGAGGGTCTCTGGATTTTATCAGAGGTGCTGCCCCCCTCCGCCTGCCTCCGCCTGCACCCGCGTCGGACTTCGCCTCTGCTTCAACTGCGAGCTCCAGATCTCAGTGGGCAGTGCCGGACCTCAACTTCAACAGTGAGCTCCAAACTTCAGTGGGCACTGCCGAATCTCAAACTGTGAGAGCTAGATCTCACAGTGGGCACTGCCAGAATATATGTCAGAAATTGTCTGAATATATGCCAATGCCGTGAAATGCGATGGTCGGGATCACTCGAAGTCGAAGTATGTTTTTTTTTGCTAGCCTTGGCCATGAAGCAGCGCGGTTTCATTGCTATCCCCTATGTGGCATATGGGCTGAACTAACAGGATGCCGCCCAAAAATCGCCTGGCGTATTGTACCACTGGGCCAATTCCACTTTTGAGGAGTCCTGGTTCGCTCCAGGAATCCCAAAAAATAAGCGCTAAATTGCTAAATCAACTGAAAGGTATCAGGGGTGAAATCACTAGAGTGATATCCAAAGTGGCATAGTTCCACCCAGCCTCGGCTGGATTGCTTTCGCAGCTGCTTCACAGATCAAGAAGGCAACAACAGATTATATACAACAGGACATAGCAGGACACTGTTCATGTCCTGGTGGTACAAAACCCACAGTCCCATGATCTTTTTGTCTTCAGTTGCATCGCACGTTGCTGTCAGGGCCTTCATGTAAAATGATCGTAGAGGTTAAACCCACTCAGCTTAGGATTAATTCTTTTTTGGTTCTGGCACTCCATGGAAGGAAGAATGCTTTATACGAAACATGGCTGCGGACTATGGCCCCCCACCAAATGATGGTTCAATTCGAGCATGGCCAAGCCTGATGGCCTTCCACCCGGTGGAGGGCAAGGCTGTTGCTGTCATCGGCGGAGGCATTGCTGGCGTCGTTGCTGCCCAGACGTTGTCGGCACAGCATGAGGTCTTGGGTGGTGCAAGTGGGCGCTTGGGGTGGGGTCGGGTTTCAACCGGCAGTAGGAGGAGAATTTTCTATCAAGTAAATCATACCGCTAACAACGTGGCGGCAGGGTTGCTGCGGATACATTCATATCATTTAGACATGCTGAATGAAACCATTTTTGTCCTTTGATGACAGATATGACAGTGTTGGCCAGACCATTGCGAACACACACGCACACACACAAACACATAATATATATATATACGATTATATACGTATACACACACATGTATATATATATATATACACATTATATGTAGTGTATGATGCACATATTATAGATCATTATCGACATGTGCAGTAGGTGATTTTGCAGCCCAGTATTGACTGACAGGAACTTTTTACGTACCGTGGGTGTCCTTTCACCACTAGTTGATTGGTTAACAGAGGGTTGCCGCTCATTTATCTTGTATATATATATGGTCCCGTGTCCCGTGTTCCCACCCCCCCCCCATGGGATGGGGGGGGGGGTATGATGCCCCTGTGGTGGTACATACCTACCTACCTACCTACATACCTACGTACATACATACATACATACATACCATTACATTACCTTACCTTACCTTACATTACCTTACCTTACATTACCTTACCTTACATTCCATACATACGTACATACATACATACATACCTACATACCTACATACCTACATACCTACGTACATACATACATACATACATACATACATACATACATACATACATACATACCATTACATTACCTTACCTTACATTACCTTATCTTACCTTACATTACATTACCTTACCTTACCTTACATTACCTTACCTTACATTCCATACATACATACATACATACATACATACATACATACATACCAACATACATACATACCAACATACCAACATACCAACATACCAACATAGCAACATAGCAACATAGCAACATAGCAACATAGCAACATAGCAACATAGCAACATAGCAACATAGCAACATACCAACATACCAACATACCAACATACCACCAACATACCACAGGCCACAGGGGGGGGGGACCAGAAGAACCATACCACCACCACAGGCCACAGGGGGGGGGACCAGAAGAACCAGACGATACTGTCCACCCATACCCATTGGTGGGGGGGGGAGGGGGGGTGGCCAACGCTGCACCATATATATGCATAAACGACAGTAAGTTAGCAACCCGTACTGATAGGGGGCAAGCCCCAACTGGGTACGGGTCAAAGCTATCACCACCCCCTGCCTGTTGTCCTTGCTTGATTACTGTAAGTCCCCACTGTTTGGTGGTTAGCCCCACTGCTTCCAAAGTTTGACAACCCAGGTTTGTTAGTGAACATTTTTTTTCTCTATAGACCGAAAATTCAAATAAACACATTTCCCTTTCAGCCAATCCAGTGAATAAAATTATCCGACAATCTTCCACCAAATTCGAAGTTAAAGAGACGCACCTTTTTCCCCATTGACCCAATATGACATTATCATAGATTAGCAACTGGCAACTGTAATCATCGAGTGTCATAGTTTTTCCCTTCCAACCAATCCAGTGAATGTTGGTTGAATCCCGAGTTCTGTTGCTTAAGCCCCGATTTTCCCATAAGCATAGACCCAATACAAATTGTCACAGTTGTTCCGGTTCAGCTAGAGGGCTTCAAACTGGTTACGTCCCTTCAACTACCATATAATGAATGGCTGGTGTTGTGGCGACTTGTTTCGGGGCCCGCCATGGTTGAAACATTGAACCAAAACACATGGGTTCGAACATATCCCACTATCTCCCAATAGTGCTCATAAATTACCAAACAAGTTACAAGGTGAGGCTCCCCAGTTACAAGTGGGTTTAAAAACCCATTACTATAGCTATATCCTCCATAAACCATAGAATTTAGCATAGAGTTAACCAAGTTATTTGTGCCAACTTAGGGCTTCTCACCGGTAGCGTAGTATCATCCAACCACCGGAGGTGGTCCTCTTCGACTTCGGATCCCGCGGTTTGGGCGGTCGCTGTGGACACCGTGAGGATCCAAAGGACGGGCGGCGCTTCGACCACGGGGCGCAGTTCCTAAGCGTTGGCGCCACGGATTCGGACAGGTGGAAGGAGTGGGTGAGGGATGCTCCAAAGGAAACATGTTGAACGTCAGATTCTATGTCAGATATTTCAAAGAAGAGGTTTTCTTGATGAGAAAAATGTGACCATCTGAAAGTGTTTTTCTTTGCGGAAAATGTAACCAGATCAATCCATGTTGGGGGATCAATCCATACGTGGATTAGAGATCCCTATGACCCATAGGATCCATGTATGGTATATATGCTAACATTGGGGGTATATTGATGGTAAATGTTATCATATATAGCATACATGGATCCTATGGGTGATAGAATAGTAGCCTGAGTCTCAAATCGTCAGTGGATTTCTTCTTCCTCGAAACCGCGGAGATAAGTTCACCTTCAGAAAAATTGTAGGAATGTGTTTCTTTGGTTGCAGCTCTCCAGAAAGTAGGCCATTGGTATTGTTGAATTTTGATTATATCGATTATATAATATCGTTTATACTGATTTATACTATTATTTCAATTATTTCATCATTTTCCAAGCGGTCTCGTCCAAAATCCCCCTGAGGAACTCATATCTTCCTGGCTCTCCGAGGGCCTTGTACAGCTCTGGACACCAAGACTCCGCGAAGTCGGGGAGGCTCCCAGCATCAAACCTCTGGATGAAGATGCCACCGAGTCCTTCTTTGACGTGGCCTCTGCCACGGAACTCTATGTGAGCCCTGGAGGGATGCGAAACCTTTGCGAAACTTGGCTGAAGATATGGCAGTGTGTCAAAACCTTGTACCCCTGGTGAACATCAAAATAGCTGGTAAATGGATGTTCATTCCCCTAAAAATGGTATTAATAGGTATTGATCCATACCAATATGGGGTTACTGAGTAACTGAGCCAAGAATGACGCCAAGACTGAGGGGAAGTATACGCCATTTGATTGTTAGGGCTGTTCCATGTTGTGGTTTCAATCATGAGCCTCCTCACTCACTCTGATTTCCTTCGATGATGAAGATCCCAGCCCTACCGTTCGCAAGAGGTTGACGGCTTGATCCGATACCTAGGGACTTGCAACGAGTATTTGGTAGTGTTATGTGGAAAACTAGTGCGGAAATCTATGGCAAAGTGAACAGGAGAACCTCTTGCTTGTCCCCCGCACCAGGAGGGTATCGCGGGCAAAGGCAGTTTTCAGAGTGTGAGGGGCTGTCGCGTGCGTCGTCTGAGCCGGGGAGCCAGTGGTCACTGGATGTTGTATGAATCCTGGAAACTTGGATGTAGATCTGTCAATCCACCTTTTGGATCCCTCTTGGTGGCTCTCTTGAAAGGCAAACCTGTAAGCCCACCAATAAACCATTTCCAATTGGGACTATGAGGTTTACTACACTACATTTAGTTTTACTTTTTGCATCTTTTTGTTTTGATATGTTTACTTCGCCATCTAAAGCGAAGGAAATGTGGCACATCACGAGGCGTCAGAGGCTGATGCTCAAGCGGCAGATGATCAATATTTGGGTATCGTGGTCCTCACACTTTGGCCACTGCGGGGGTTCCCGCATGACTCACACATAGATGCTCATAGAATATAAATGAATATAATGGCCCCCATCTACTGAATCTACTATCTAATCTATCTACTTGTTTTTCACCAATGGCACCTATCCATCATTTTTGTTAGGCATTCAATATTTAGTTTGATATTGATGGGTATACTGTTGCAATGTGACATCTGGTGACCCATATGACATGATTAACATGACGAGGTGGATCCGATTTTGTGAACAGTTGCTGCAGGTAGTTTCAAGGCCCTCATTCTGACGGATGTGATGCTTTCCTTCCCCGAATGGCATCGGGCCTCTCTGCTAGGCTTGGAGGCACATGTGCCAGAGCTGCTAGGGGTCCTGAGGGAAACGGACACTCGGCAGCCATGACGCAAGACCATAAAAAAACCAAAGGTTTGGACGGTTTGGATGTGTGAGTGTTTTATTCCCCAGCAGTTTTAGAGCTCCAAGTTGCTCATTTTAAGTAGTGGTATTCAGAAAGGACCATTGAAAGATATTGAACGCCTTTGCGCGCTGCTCCATGATCCCCGATGATCCCAGGAGATGGCGCCCCTCTTTTCTCTCATGGTTTCCTTTGACCCCGGTGCCACGGAGAAAGTGGATCTGGATGCGGCGGTGATTCGGAGTCCGGTGCTGCAGTGGATTTGCCGCATGATCTTCGGTGGGCAAGAAGAAGTTGCCCCTTTTGGCAGCTATCTCAAGTCATGTCCCTGGCGGTTTGCCGTAATTTTAGTTTTTATATATATATATATAATATATATATATATTATATATATTTATTTATTGTTTATATCGTATAAATAGTATACATACACAGATATATAAACTGGAAAAACAGATGCAACTGATACAACAGTAACTTATACTAACTCACATTGTTTTTGCTGGTATTCTACAAGTCCATCTTTTTGGGGGGATGCCTTCTGACCCTGGAAGTCTGGAAGCCCAGAAATCCTGTACCAAGGACCTCAAAGCCAGGGCCATCGTTGAAGCAGGACTGCTGGGTTTCTAGGTGAATTTGGCAAGTTCAGTTTTTTTTTTCATTTTCTGATTGGATCGGCAGAGGAGAGGACAGCAACTGCAAACTGGCAACAACCAACACTGAGCCTCCTGCAACATCGGTGATGTTTGTTTTTTTGTTTTTTGAAATGGAATTTCTTCACAGATTTCAGAGCTGCAGAGCGTACCCTTATTTTCAACCTCCTGGTTCGAAACCGCAAGGTTTGTGTGAGCACCCGCGAATTTGCTGAAGCGTGCCTGAAAGACGAGCCTATGTCGGTTCTTGGCAACAGAATTGACTGTTTATCCATGACAGAAGTGGCCTTTGAATGCCTTTGAGAATAACCATATGAAATGGCCAGATCTATGTCCAAGATATGTGGAAGCAGTGAATCATGTGGGGTTCCATTTGGCTTTAAGTGGTGCAGTTATATTCAGGGACCAGTATTTTAGCTTATTTACTCGGTGCTTGATTTGGACATTCTCAGTCGTGGCCAGTCCTGAGCTGTATTCTGTCCCCAGGTTGAAGGGGCAAAAGGAAGAATTTACAAGCCGCAACGGAAAGAATCCGGGTTTGCAAGATGTTTCTGAGTTTGCAGCTTTCTGTTCACTGGGCTCTTTTGCTTCTAAGGCTTGATTTCCTGTTATCCTTTGTTCGTTGTAGCAGTTGGAAGGATGAAGATGATTCTCCAAAGGATCACCACCCCAGAAAACAAACGAACACGTCCCCAGGACTATCTCTCCGCAGATCCAGCCGACCTGATGTTGACTTCCTTTTTGGACCTCCTTCAACTTGGAGCCCTGACACCCATCACCAAGCAGTGCCAACGTTGGGGCGCTGCCTACGTCCATCGCAGCCCCAGGGCTTCTAAGTTTTCGCAGGGGCCCTGCTTGGTCCAGGCCTCTCCGGCCATCGCCGTGTGCGGTGACTTCCTTTCGGCTGCGCCGCGGGGTGGCATGGCCTCTGTGCATTCCGCGGCGGTGTCGGGCCTGGCAGCGGCAGATGCCGTGGCAAAGTTGGTGTGAAAAGATGGTGCTGGGGGCATCTGGGGGCTAGTGGGGCTAGTGGAAGGGAGTGGGCGAAGAACATCGAAGAACTAGGGAAAGTGATGGAAACGCAGGGTTCTTCATAATCTATGCGGGGATTGGATCAGATCTTGGCAGGCATTTACAAGACCAGTTGCGCTCAGCAGCACAATCCCCCAGGAACCCCCCAGGATGCCAAGGTCTTCCCGCGCCAGGCTGGACTCTCCCGACCTGTGGTGAAGCTCACCGTGCGACGCAGCCACTTGTTTGAAGATGGCCTCATATCGCTGATGGCCAAGGACATAAGATGGATATAGATGGATCATGGCTCGGGATGGTGGTATCATGATGTATCATGGGGATAGCACTTACCCCAATGGGCATGGGCAGAGGCTGGAAATAATTGATGAACCGCTTGCTGCTTGACTTGCACCCACTAACTCCGTGGATCCTGTATGGCAACTGGTCAGTTGCTACCACTAAGCCGCAGATCCCTGATATCCGTGGGCACCTGCCAACGACACAGAACTGTTTGTCCATTGTTTCTTACAATTTTCTTAGCTGGTGAAACATCACGCTTGTAGTCACCAGTTACAGGACCACCCATCACCGCCCAAGAAAGATATAAAAGTTGGACACCCATCACATCATCCATACCATCCTGGAAATTCGTTCCATTTTTGTTGTTTCTTTTTGGAACTTAGTATAGTAGGTTTCTTCAGTCTGTTTGCAGCTGGCCGCGCACAGGACGCAGATTGGCGTGCGCGATTTCAGGTGGTTTTTGTGAATTCCACGGGGCGACCGGAACAAGGACAAGACGCAGGTGGCTGGCAAGATGGGTTTGTGTGGCCCTGGAGCAAAACAAGACCTTCCGCCTCACCCACCCCACCAAACTGACCTCAAATTTATGTGATGTTTGTATGTTTGTATGTAAACTTTGTGTTTGGTACAGGAAAGGCCACTTCAAAACATCCCAAAACTTATCCAATCTTGTGGATGTTCACGACATGTTTTCCGAGCCTTCCCCGATAGTGTCAGGTGGTCTTTTCAAGGAGTTCTGGGAGAAGTGCCTCAGATGGAAGGGAGGTGGTTTCCCACCAGGATCTTCCAGGTTCGACATTGCGATGGTTAATAACCCAATATATTGTATATATTCATAGATGAAAAAGGATATACTCAAATTCACCAGTGTAAACCAGACTTAAGACCTATTTCGATGTTTTTATACCCAGAAGTAATCAGATAGATAGACTCGAGAAGGCGCTGCCACTTCAGGTTGGCTGAGACCGCATTCAACCCCGAGTATGGCCTCTTTCGTGTCACCGAAGAGCGGCTGCTGTTTCCAAACCCAGAAGCTTGGAAATACCACGATGCTTGGCGTTTACGCGCAGCGTCCACGCCGTTCCGTTCGCTTCAAACCGGGTCATGGGACCGGAGAAGATCCTCCATTGGTATCTCTAAGTGCTTGTATGACAAGATGTTACCGGTGTATACCGGTGTCATGCAGCAGACAGTACAGCCCGTACAGCAGTTCCAATTCCAGGACTCGTTGAGAAAAAGGACATGTGCAGCTGGCCACTCATCTCGGCATATCTCGGCCATGAATGAATTGCCTCAGGAAAACGTCGAGACGCTTCTGGAATTCCTGGGTCTTGTGATCGGCAAAGCGATCTTTGAGGGCATTGTAGCTTGCCAGAAAAGTGGAACCACCTGGAGATCCACGTGACATATGGATACATGTGGCATGTAGAAGCACCGCACCTGCAGGGACCCATCCACATCATCACTGCTATAAAATTTGAGATATTCTGTGTATTTCAATCAATCAACCAAACAAACAAACAATCCAACAATCAATAAATCAATAAATCAATCGATCTATCAATCTGTCTATTTATCTATGCGCACACGAGATGCACATTTTTTAGAATAATGTGACATTATTTGACATACTATAATATCATTCCAAATTATAATATACTTTATACTGTATATATATATATATATATTATACACACACATATATATATATATATACATATGTGTGTGTATACATATACACCATATCTACACATCCATCACATCCATCATATCCACCCCCAGCTATTGAGGTGGTCGAGCCTTGTTTTGCCACTTTCTTCTTGGCCAAACTTTTGGGAAAGCACAACTTCTACTACGATCTGCAGTCCTTAGATCCAGTGGCTGGGCTCCGAAAAGAACATCCCGGAAGGTCCCCAATATGCTTGGATGAAAGGATGGATTTTGAGACATTTTGAGATAGTTTGGTAGTGTTTGGTGTGTATATATATATATATACTGTATACATATCCATCTATCCATATATATATATTATAGTACTGAAGAGTTTGACTTAGATATATTTTGGATGATTGTCGATGATATTGTTTCCATTTTGATGGACCTGGACATGAATGTGATGCAAAGGGTTGCACATGACATGTAATGCGGTCGCGGGACCTGCAGGTGCCATGCTGGTGGGGTTCTACGGCTACGATTTAATTCTATACCAATATACCATCTGGTAATTTAACATAGCTATTGAAAATGGCCATTGATAGTGGATTTTCCCATTGAAAATGGTGATTTTCCGTAGTTATGTGAACGTTTACCAGAGGGTACTAATCATTCATATAATCATGAGCAATCTGCGGCATCCATACGAGCTCTCCCGAGGCCTTGTTTGCAAATTTGCAGCAGCTCAAGAACTACAGCCCGGGCCTCAGGCTGCAGGACTTAGCCAACTTGGCGTACTGGGAAGCATCATAACTGGGCCAGCAAAAAGAATGTGTGTTTGAAAATAGGAATTGCCACCGGAAAATAGTGGTGTCAATGCGGGAAATGAATGGAAATGATGATTTACCACGATAAACCATGATAAACGGATAAACCATGGGATTTTTTTAGGGTTTTCCAGTTTTCCCGCCCGATGTTTTCAGGCACATCCAACGCCCCCCATCTCAGGTGGTGACGTGTCCGATCTTTGCCTCAATTTCGTGGTGACCAGCGAGGGCAAAGAAGTGCCGTTGCTGCCCAACGGACAAGATGTGCCAGTGACGGCGGAGAACCGGGTCAGATACATCTACTTGTTCCTTGGATGACAAAATTTATGGATATTTTAAAGGTTGAAAACGCTTGAGCCAGTCTGGCCGGCGATTTAGTCAGTCGCTGTTCCATGCTGAAAAAATCATGGATCAACCGCCAGTGGCTCCCGGAATGGTTTCCTTCTGGTAGCTTAACAGTTTGCTGTGGACCATTGCTATTTGTTCATAGGCTATAGCGGCTATATGTCAATCATCTATTTGTATGCGAAATGTTCATAAATGTTCCACAGAAAACGGTTTCAGTAAATCACCAGAGGGTATGTCTCAAGTGACCCCAGTGGTTGAAGGTTAAGTGACTTCAAGTTGAACAAGGAGTTGCACCGCGCCTCCTCTGCGTTTCTGGCGGGCTTTCGACGTCTCATTGATGAGAAATGGCTGCGCATGCTGAGCGAAGGCGAGTTGCAACAGGCGGGGGAAAGGCTGGGAGACGTGCTTTCCATTTGGATTAATGTGGGTAAAACAATATGTCTTAAACCAGCAATGTGGGAATGGTAGACATACCACCTATTATTTATGGTAATGACTGGGGGATGGTTCAAGAAATTGTTCGACCCATTTTGACCCACATGATTAGATCCCTTTGAATATCTTTGAACTTGTCCAAATTCAAATCTTCGGGGGGTTGAAACTTGAAACCACCCAGCAGCTGGGGATATCCCTTTCTTAGGCTGTGGGCAATTAAGCTCGTCTTTGAGATGTCATTCAATTCTATGTTACTGACAAACATCTATTTATTTATGCTTTAGGAATGGTAGTCAGTGAGATTCTCATTGCTGTTAGCCATAATTATGATGGCACCTGTCGAACAAACACGCACAGAGTTATATATCTATTCTCTATATATATATATGTATATGTATGATCTGATATGTATTGATATGTGATATACACATATATATATACATTCACCAATTGCGGTTGACTACCATGAACTCACTTCGGCGTGCACGTTTCACATCACTTCACCCAGGTTTTTGTACCATCCGTGCCCGTGCCAGGTGATCAGTGGCTCCACTGGAGGAACATTGGATGTGGACGTGACTTGGAAAACTGCGGTTTTACCCAAATAGATATACCATGAATTACCATGATATACCCAAAATTACCCAAATAGATAGAGTAATGAACAGCAATTTACATTCAATTTACTAAGTTTTGCCAAGCTCGCCATCAGCTGGAACTCCTCGATGCATTGGATTTGACACCATTTCTGTTTCTCCAAAATCACCAAAATCCCAATGAATCCACCAAGATTTCCCCAAGATTTCCCCAACATTCCAATATTTTCCATGGATTTTCCCATGGAATCCCTGTGAATCCCAGTGAATCCACCAACAAACCAATATTTTCCAATGGAATCCCAGAATGGTCGGAATTTCCCATGGAATCCCCGAAAAATGCACCACAGGATTTGCAACGGCACACCGAAGTCTCCAACTGCAGCGGGCCTCGGGACCGCCTGGTGTTCCTGGGCTGAAACGGCGCGGGCTTTTTTGAAATATCCGAGATATCCATTGTAAGCATCATTAAGCAGCATTAAACATCTGAATCAGCACATATATATATATATATATACACAATGATATATCTGTGTAAATTATAACGACCTCACTGCGACCTGGAAATCATGGATAATAAGGGAAATCATCCCCAAATGGCCTTATTTCAGGTTAGTGAATTAGTATAATTTGCCCAGATATATAGATTATCAGAACATATCAGAACTATCTCCAGTTCTGTCTGTGCGTTTTTTTTTTCAAAGGCCGAAGTTGGCTGCTGAGTTGACGGCTCTGCCCCAGGAAAGATTTCTTCACCGCTCTCCGAGCCATGGAACCTCAACAACAGGTGTGGCCGGTGTGGCCGAAACGTGTGATTTGTGAAGATTTGTTTGGTGTTTGACACATATATATATAAATACACACACACATATATATATACATATAATTAGGTATGTATGTATCTATATATATATATATCTCAAATACATTCATATATATTCATATACATGCTATGGTATGATCCACTTCACAATTCCCTGAGGTTGTAAAACGAGAAATTTCAAAGGCTTAAAGCAATGGGGCATGATGGAATTTCAGGGGATATATGATGGGATTGGTGTGTGGTTCGTCGTGCCTTTTCCTGGATGATCTGGATGCGTGTGTGTGTGTGTGTGTGTGATCGTACTGTAATCACTGATAGATGGTGTAAGATTCGCCCTTTTTTTTTACGTGGGCCCGTTGGTAGTTATTGAGTTAAGATTCGCCCAAAACATAAGCCCAAACCATACTGTGTGGGGGTCACCGTGGTCACCTTCTCCGTAGGTAAAGGTGCTGCGCTTCGTGACGAGCTGCTCCCGTGCGCCCCTGCTGGGTTTCTCGCATTTGCAGCCACCCTTCACCATTTACAAGGCGGTGTTTAGAGGAAGGAACTTGGGATGGCTCATGGACAATAGATGATTTAAAAAAAAATAGATGATACGGGAATATACCCTTTGGTTATCTTTGGTTATTTAACATAGCCATGGAAAACCCACATTTTTAATAGATGGTTATAAATGATGATAGCATAGAATGACCCAGTGGGAATATTTTTTGGTATGGGGCTGACGGGGAGTTATGAACCAGGTGTTCTCATGTATTCTCTAGGATCCCAAGTGCTCATGGTGTCATTTTGGCAACGGGATGAAAACTGGGTGGGGATAGCGGGATAGCATGGACATGCATGGACCATGGATACAGTATCCATAGTATCCACTTCTGCTGGCTTTATATAGATATATTGCGACTTGACGCTTGTCCCAAATCCAAGAGGAAAAAGTGCAATCTGATTGCTGCTTAGAGTTTTCTTGGCACTCGCGTCCATCAGGTCCATATTCGGAACGATTCCGAGAAGCTTCCCACAGCCTCCACTTGTCCCATGGTTGGAATTCCATGGTCTCTTCCTTTGATCTTTGGATTCTTTGGAGATCCAGAAACATCATGAAACATCTTGTTCCACTTTGAGGGGTCAAAGAAAAACAACATGAAAAACACATACCACAAAGGGCTGGGCCTTTGTGATGGCGATACCGTTGATTTGTTTTGAGGAACACATCATCATTACCAGCAACATGCAGCAAGCGTGTTTCCAGATGACCCCACCAAGCCTCTTGAATCAGTGACCCCCAAAGGTTTCAACACCTTGAAGCTGCCAACCTACTCCTCGTGGAAAGCTTAGTCCGGTGCTATGCCATGGCGATGCCATGATTGGATGATCCCCCCCAATTTGATGCTGACGACTACTGAAGGTGGAAGATCATGAAGCAGAAGCTGGAGTTTGTTATTGTCCAGGTGCCCTATGGTGCCACATGGTGCCCCATATGGTGCGTTGGCGATGGGACAAACATGGACTGGACAAATGGGACAAACACCTGGTTTTGTGGAAGCCCAATCCATTTCTTACCCATGCCCGACTGGTGACCAGCTTTGCGTTTTGATTTCCCATGAGCCCTCTTCCATTCGGCGAGTGACAGCTATGCTGCAGGACGCAGGCTTTGAGCTGGACTGAGTGACGGTTTTCAGGAAGACATGGTCAAGGTATGGTAAAGATTTCAATTTTTTTGCGTACTCATCCTGTATATATATATGATATGTATATACTAGTATTATATACTTAATATATCTTAAGATATCTTTAAATATAATATTTGATACTTTTCCTCTGGAATTTCAAGATTTGTAAAGGATGGCGCTGAGTCGAATTATAATGATCTGATCCATGTGCAGAGCTTCTGCCCATTCCCGTAGGGCCGTAGGGCCGTAGGGGTCGGGAAAGTTCAGCAAAGCCCCGAGCCTTGGTCAATGATATGTACATAGTGTGTCACCCTGCGCCTGAAAGATCTGAAAGGCGCCAAAGCGCGGGTCGAATTCAGCGCAGAAAAAAAAAACCAGGCCCCGCCACTTTTGACACCCTGAACTCAGGACCGATAGTGCAACCAGAGTTCAATCCATAGAATCAGTTGTTTCTTCAATCCTATCATTCAATGTCGCTGAAAGACGAGCAGTGGGCTCCTTAACCATACTTTTGAGAGATGAAGACATTAGATGTCTATAGATGCCGTGTCTTTTCTGCTTGATACCTGAATTCATGAACCTGTTTGAGTCCTGTTTGAATTCTGCTGACCATCAATAACCCCCACTCTCCACAGTGAAAACGAGGCTCTTTCTCCAACTATTTTTCCTATGATTTCCTATGAAAATTGTTCCTCTCAGAGTTGGAATGGACAATTTACCTGGTAATACCTGGTAACTACCTTTATAAATTTCAGGTGTGCAAAATGTCCTTTCAAATTGATACTTCAATCAATCTTCAATCCATTGACAAGTCATGTCTCAATTTTTCTTTCTTTCTAGATGTGCAAATATGATCGAGTATGTTTATATACGACAACTATTTATCTCAGTTTTTAAATATATCATACACATAAATCACATAAACATACATAAACATATTATCTGTATATACCATATTCCCATATGTTTTCCCATATGTTTTCCATATTTTTCCCCATGTTGTTTCCCGTCTTTTGCCTGGTGCTGCCTGGTGTCTCCAGACGGATCCTAGGTCCTGGTGGCCGCCCTAGAGATGGCCGGAGTCGCTCAGGAGGTGGTGGAACTTGGGCATCCGGAGAAATACCATGAGTATATCTCTCATATATCTATATATATATCTATATTATATGTGTGTGTCTATATATCTATGTATATAATATATATATATATGTACATAGAGATATCATATATATATATATATATATAGATATATGTCTATATATATAGATATGTGTCTATATATATATATATATAATGATATATCTGGGTAAATTAACAGTTGGACCCTGAACATGAGAGCTTAGTGGAAACCAGTCAAAAAACATCTTTATCTGCCAGGGTCTATGTTAATTTACCGGAGGGTATATCTCATATATGAATCTGGGTAAATTATAACGACCTCACTGCGACCTGGAAATCATGGATAATAAGGGAAATCATCCCCAAATGGCCTTATTTCAGGCTAGTGATTTTTTTTAAACCAAGATGAATATATGTACATATATGATATATTTTTATACGTATATTAAAAAATATTTTCAATATGACATAATTATATATATTATATGATATTTTTCAAAGGTAGTTGATGATAATTGGAAACAAGATGTAAGAACACTGTCACAATACATAACAATCATCATCATCATCATCATAATAATGACTGTTTTCGACTATGTATATTGGTTGTATGGCAATGAAAAAACATGACAGTGATAATGGTACTACTACGACATTTAATAGCGACAATAATAACAATAATGATGATGATCATCATTATCATTAAATATCATTCTCATCCTCATGATACTAATACAGAAGAATAACAATAACAATAATATACAATAATGATAGTAATAATACTATATAATAATAATCGTCATTGTTATTAAAATCAATTTTCCATTCTTCTTTAATTAAAGGGACCCTGTGCCAGGAAGATGCGGCGACGTACCGAGCAGCCTACGAGGAGGCGAGAGAAGCTGGCTGGGGAGCCGAGGCTTCAGATGGTCAGTTGATGCTGGTATATACGTGTATATATATATGTATATATGATATGATTTTAGATAGATAGATAGATAGATGGATGTATGGATAGATAGATAGATCGATAGATAGGGAGAGAGATATAGATATATAGATATAGATATAGATAGATATATATATATACAAGCTATTAAAACACGAATATGAATTAAATATAGTTGCATCATATGCGCTCGCAGGAATCAATGAATACATATAGATGTCAACACACACACACATATATATATATACATATACAGTATATATGTATATATCCATATTTTCTTAAGAATGCACATGGCTGCTGATGATCATGATGGTCCTTTTTCTGGCCGAGGTGTGGATGAATCCAAACTCGCCGAGGCGGAGGCGTTGAGATGGCGTTGTAACTCGTTGGTCAATGAGTTTATAAACCAACTGTACCCTCTGGTAATTTAACATAGCTATTGAAAATGACCATTTATAGTGGATTTTCCCATTGAAAATGGTGATTTTCCATAGTTATGTTAGTTTACCAGAGGGTATACAGATAATGGATGATAATGGTACCCCCCATGATATAACTTATTGGGGTCTTTGAAAGTCATTTAATTATAACAAGGTGAGGTTGTCCAGTTATAAGTTATAACTGGAAAACCTCACCTTGTTGGTACTTGATATTATCCCACGCCCACGTCGACTTGATTCATCCTCCAGGATATTCTGCATCGCTTGCACGAGCCAACCCAGGCTGGGATGTGAAACGTTTCGAAGGTTTCGTGGGGGATGGGTCAAAACCTTTGAGATTTAGGAGAATCCAGATTTTGAATGATTTTGGCAATTTTGGCAATTTTCAGTAGGACACAATAGTAAGCATCGAACTTTTAGGGGTAAACAATTTGGACCCAAAGCCGTTAGAATGGTCCTATCATGACCCATGCCTTAAGAAATTATTCCAGGGTATCAACTAGGTTATGGAATAATTTCTTTTGGAATAATTTTCAAGGAATAATTTTTGAGGGGGGTAGGTATACGATTAGGCATGTTGGACTTTGAAAATCATGATCCAGCCCGTCAAGATACCCCGGAATAATTAGGTTTTGGAATAATTTTTGGTAACTTAAAACATCTTAAAACATCTTGAAGCAGCCTATACTTCCTACATTTGGCCTGGCCTTTCCAAAAGCCATTCCTAGCTTGGCGGTGTTTGCCTGAAAACTTTTTGCTGGAAATGCCACTTGCAGTTATTTAAGGCATCATGCAGTTTGGGCAATTGCTGCCAACCTTTTTTTGCAGCGTACTTGCACGCACAACTAGTGTCGACCGGACCACCTTTCTCTCACGGTACTTTCTCTCGAGAGCTCTTTGGGTGGCAATGAATGGGGAATGTTAGGAAAATACCTAGGAAAAGGCCAGGTTGAGTGCCATTGTGTGGGCTTTCCCCAGGGGGGAAATTATTCTAGGGGTATTGGAGATGCCTGGTACCCCTCAAAAACGAAAGCGGACAGCTAATCTAATCACCAAATTAGCCCAGAAATTGGCAAGAATTGTCAAGAAAACAAATGAAACCCCACACATTTCCCACCCATTCCCACTATGGCCAACGGGAGTTTTTTGGAAGGAAATGAAGGGAATATGGAAGAAATAGGGGGGCGGACGCAAAGTTGGGAAAACCTCTTTCCCCAGGGGAGAAATTATTCTGGAGGTATTGGAGATGCCTGGCACCCCTGAAAAACAAAAGGGGGCAGCTGCTACAATCACAAAACAAAGCCAGAAATTGGCCAAAAAAAATTAACCAGTGACAACCAAATATTTTGCTTTTCCCACTCATTCCCACTAAGGCCAGAACCACCAAACTAGCCCAGAAACTGGAAAACACCCAAAACCAAAACCATGTTCAGCCAGTGGGTTGCTGAGAGGAAATTTGTTTAAAGATACTATTCTGACTCTTCTTGATCCTATCTGAGTATGTTGAAAATTGTTTAAATTTGTGCCCCAGCTCTGCAAGAAGGGAAACCGTTTTCGGCCGTTTGCGCGCAGCTGCTTACGATCACTTGCGTTTGGCTAGAAATAGACTATACCGGTATCATTTTGATGGAAATTATTCCATTTTTCCATATGAACTCATGAGTTCTTAGAATAATTTATTTTTTTGAACTCAACGGGTGCCGGAATAATATTATAATTATTCTGAGGTATGTTGACGGGGGTATCCCCTTAAGGCATCCCTCATGTCCTATCCACGTTTGGCCACTGCTGAGTTTGCTGAGATGCTGATGGCGTGAGGTCTAAGATGGCGAAAAGAAGTAGGATGACTTTGATGACATTTGTCTGTACTGTGCATGTATGTATATAGTTCTATATATACGCACCTACATTCATGGTATGATGTTGGTGATCATGGTGATGGAGAGGGATAAAACAAGAAAGATAGAGTGAGAGGATTATGATGGATTATGGCAATTTTGATGAGAACCCCCATTAGTTCAGGGAGTTTGAAAGCCGATCCAATGGGCATGCCTCCATTTTGGGCCTCTAAAATAGAGCAGGTTTAAGGTCGCACCAAAAAATCGGCAACGGTGCAGCGTTTGCCATGCGCAGATGGAGATGGATGCAGCCTATTTCAACCAGACCTTCGGTTCTTTGGTGCTTCAACCGGTGCCTTGGTTGTGACAAAGCTGACCGGGCAGTTGATTGAGATCTGGTGTTTTTTAATTTCTTTCAAATGGGCATAGTAAAACCATTGAATGAACTCAACGTAGATTTTGGGTATTTGTTCCCCCTCAGGGATGGGTTGAAACAACCGAACTGTTCATTGAACGGTCCATCTCAAGGGCATTCTGTCTTTGAGATTCTTTGAGCATCCAGGGCACCTTTCTTTTTGAATGCTACCAATGAAATGCACTGCGTTCCATGGACGCTTGAGGTGAAACATCATGGTTGCCATCCCAGTCGAAGAATCCCCCCCTATTTCAGCTGTCAGGCGTCGTTGGAGCTGAAAGTTGAAGGGACTGATCCTGTTGGAGCCCTCAGAATCAGCATGGGCGTCATGATGCGTATCCACGTTGACGTGGCAGGCTACAGCTCGAACACACCTCCGGTCACCGATAGGTAAAAACGTAGATCGACGTAGATAACTCGTAGATATGACATGATGGGCGTAGGCCAATGGGCCCCCTACATTTGCATCATTTTACATCCTTGTTCCGAAACTCAGATTTGTGCCTCCAAATGCATCCGTCCTGACAGAAGTGTCACAACAAAAACCCATCCTCATGGTGCAGCCATTGCCACGCGCCCAGTCAGCGTCCGCGGAGACACATGCTTTCCCTCCCTTGCCACCGATCGTTTGGGAGTCCTGGAGGGTATGCAAGTGGGTGGCAGGTCCAGTACTGACTGGTGATGGGCACCTGGTACTTGAATCTGTCGCTACCAATGGACACAATGGGGATACCAGTACCAATCGTTTTCTTGTTGTTTCACTCATTTTGTACAACCTAATCTTGATGTTTAGGCTTAACTTTGTCATTTCATGTCACGCTCAACTGGCAACCCTTGCTTGCGCGAAGATGCGGGCAGTGTGGTGGGGCAAATCCTCTGAGAAGCCCTGGCAAAAAAAAAATATGTTTTTTTTTTTTTTATCTTGGTTGCAGGGTATCAAGATGTATCAAGATGTATCAAGTATATTAAAATTGACCATGAGGTATGTTGGAACAGTATGGAACATGAATAAAAATGACCTACGTATGGATTAGATGGATGATTTTCCATGATTTTCCCATCTGTTCCCATGAAAACTCGAGTTCGGGGATTTCCAGCCATGAGAAGCGGAGGGGCTTTTGCGACATATTTCACGATTGAACTTGACATATTTAAGGATATTTCAAGAATATATAATAATATGTAGTATTATATAGTTATGTATATATAAATGTAGTTATATATATAATTCTAGAATTCTAGTTATATATTAGATATAGCTTTATATATATATATGTATGTGATACAACAGATATCTATAAAATACATTAAAGTACCATATGCATTTCAGGTTTCTCAGCCAAGCTCCCCCCAGACGGAAGCGTCCGAGGTGGCGGTGGCGGAGACGGAAGCGAAGCGAAGGAAAGCTGAGTCGCGCGACAGAAACCATGGGGGATTCATCGGCAAAAGTCGATGAGGATAAGAACTCCCCAAAATAATGGTGGTAAGTAGTCAATTTAAGTAATTTGATTACTATGAGGGAAGAACCCCCCAAGATTATTATGAGGATACTAAATCTAAGTCAGTTTAATAATTTTAATATGCCCAATGACGTAGCAGAAAGGTGTTCTGGTTGAGTTTAAGATATGTACTTAGAAAGACGTCAAATCCAATGGCCATGGAGAGAGAGAGAGAGAGAGAGAGACGCAGAGAATTGGGTTTGAGTTTATTGGATGTCCTCCGTCAAGAGTTGATTTTAGCAAGGTGCCTTTAGATGGGTGCTGGGTTTCAACTATCCGACTCTGGTATATGCATGGGGATAGAGCAGGTGTCAGTCAGGTGCCCGTGCTTGAATATTCCCCTCCTATACAACTGAGAAGCATGGTCAGTGACCATCCAGCATTCGCAGAACGGGAACCACGAATCAGTTTGACATGGGATATGAGACTTCATCAGCAGATATCAGCAGTCTCTGTGCAGCTTTGGGCACCACAGCGGTGTAACATGGTCTAACGACATGTGACCTCTTGTAATCCAACATGGCAACACTCCCGCATTTCAACCATTTTTGCCATAGACTATAGATGCTCATTGTGGATTTCAGGGATTTCCCAGCGGAGCTGATGAAAGAGGGTACAAACTGATCCAGCTTTGAGGTTCAATCAGGGGAACATCAAAGAAGAGACAGTCGAGGCGCAGAATGCCCAACGTCCCGACCTAGCTGTAGCCTTGTGATGACTCCAAGTTGCATGCTGGTTCGTTGTTTGATTGTAGCCAACTCTGAATTAATGCAAGTCGATATTTTTTCGGATGGAGGCTGGGTGGTTTGAAACAACCACCATTTCCTTCCACAACCTTGAAACACCGTACAGGATCCTGCAGAAGCTATGCACAAATGGCGCCATGGTGGCAATGATGGGCTGTCCTGAACAATGAAGGGGTGGTACAGTCCCAATCAACTCACAGTTATATACTCCCCATTTTGGGTAGTCGGAACTAGAACCCCATGTAGACTTGATATGGGTCGATCATTAGACACCACAGTACAACACAATGTATGGGGTGACAACACGTGTCAGTTCGTGTTGGCATGATGGGAATATATGGGAATAATTACAGCTGTCTTTAGATCCATGTGCCCTCCAGCTAGTGAGGTCGATGCGCATGATTGAACTGGCCTTGCTGCAGTGCAGAAAGCGAAAGGCCATTCATTTCTGGGCTGGTTCGGGGAGGCACGCCCTGAAAGGAACACGGCCTCCTAATTCCATCTCTGGGTGTGGCAAAAGGTTGGTGTTGGATGGCGTTGGTTTGTGTTGTCATGTTTCATTTCAAGGTCTCTTCCAGCATGATCCATGCCCGAAGAATATCAGCATGGCCTCAGATCCAGTAACCGACGGAGGCCGTTGAACTGGAAGATTTCGATCTGGCCCATCGCCTGAAGCAGCCGGAACCTCGGAATTTTTGTTCCAAAGTTTCTGCCCCAATTGGAAGGCCACCAATCAGATCCAGCCTCTGAGGCGCGAGCCGGCTGCGACTTTGCGTCTCACTGCAGCGCGCAGAGCATGCCTCGCCGGGGGTTCTCAGCATATCTGAGCATCAGGGAACATACCCAGGTGGGTCAATGGACTGGTTCATCTTGGCAAAAAGATACAAAAGTGGTCAACCCTGTAAAATGATGGTTGTTTGGTATTTGCTTGGTTGCTGGGGCATGCATTAGCATGCATCTGTCAATTGCTTGCAGAACGTTTCGCCTTTTGCTGGTCCAAGTCGGTGACTGAACTGAACCTGGCTTTGGCGCAATTCGCTAAGGCCAGCAAGACTCCAGCAACAAAGGAAGAAATTCCGAACACTGAGGTGGCAGTAGTTCCGGCAGGGTGAATGACTTTGGGAAACCCTCTCAGCTAGAGTTCCAGAATTTGGAAGGCCAGGCGGCTAGGATCCCTTCAAACAAGGATAAACAAGGGAAACCACCGGACCTTAAATTAAATCGTTTTGGAAGCCAGAATCAAAGTAGAACGACCTAGGATCCCCAAATCTCAATAAATTTCAATTTATAGATTCAGATGCTGCATATTAGTTCGTGGTAAACTGGTGAACCATGGTTTACGATTAAGTTCCATCTAACGAACCAACGTTTTTTTCTAGTGCTTTGCCGTAGGTCTTGGCCGTGCATCCCCCCAGGCCGAGCAGGAAGACCGGAAAAGGCTGCGGAACTCCGAGGACGAGGACCGGTCGGACCACCTTCAGGTGGGGCAGACATGGGATGACACTGGGGACTTGCTGACCAGGGATCTCGGTTTGGGTCAAGATCCATCAACCGTTGATCAACCTCAGAAATGGATGATTTCAGAAACCAAGCATCACCTGTTGTTGTGGATCCCTCAGGAGTTGCAAGCAGTGAAGCGTCAAAAGCAGGAGGCTGTGGAAAAAGAGGCCATGGGGGGGGAGGATATCCTCAGGCCTTGCTTTTTTTTGGGGGGGGAGAAAATGGCCGCCCCCCAAACCCAAACGGGGAAGTACAGTGATTGATTATGATGCCAAGATATGCCAAGTGCTGCAGGATTTCTTGCCGACCTCCGCTCCCTGAACCTGGGAAACTGGTTTGAGAGATCGTTCCTTTCATTTTGGGCAAGTCAGGAGAGACGTAGATTGCAATGCTATTGCCAGCTTCAAATGCTGGCAATGGTGTTGGCAGCCTGCCATCGCAGCAACATGATGAACATATACTGTGTGACACGCTGCACAAAGTCAGGGAATAGTCGGACCAGTCATAAAATAGTAGCATACCTCAATTGTCACAACACATAGTCACATAGTGGCCTTAGTCGTGTCGTATATATATATATATATTCATTGTAATAACTATGTATTATCTTTAAGTATCTTTAAGTCATATAATAGTCACTTAATGATACTTAATTGTCATTTACTGGGCATGCAGTCATCATCACTCCCTCGGCAGGATTTTGCTCGTGCCAGTGAGCTGCGGCGGAGAGAGTCCCTTGGAGACCCTGGATAGACCTGGGCTCGGGCGCTGGTTTTAAGATGTTTTAATATGTTTTAATGGGGAACATGAGGCACCATAAGATTTTGATAGATGTTGGGTTTACCCCAAGAAACGAATTACATATATATATATATATCGAATTATTATATATAGTTATATGTACAGTATATTAGTGGAGATCTAGCAACAGTCTTGCACCGAAGAAATGTTCAGGATTTCAAATGGTTGGAGACCCAAACCCATCATGACCAGACCTACGGGATGGTGACACTTCTTGTGCTGCAACATCATATAACATGTATATAATTGCATATATATATACTTACATATACCATCATATACCTATAGGAAATGTTTAGTTTTTTTTAAGGTACGTGCTAATCATACTAAACAAAGTAAATAATTCAATATACTAATTAATCATATCATACTACATAATTATTCATACTGAATATAATCATACTGTAATCATACTATATATGCTCTCCAGTTTGAGCTGAAAAGAAACACCTGGCCACACGTCGTGACCGTCACTTCCGCAGTTCTGAGGCTTGAACTTGAACGACGTCAAAGAGGGGACGATTCCGAAGCGGCCGTCGGGATGCCCTGGAACGACTGGGGGGTGAACCCACGCCCCCATTGGTGCCCCCGGGAACGAAAACGCGTTCAGTTGGTGAACATAACTCCAATTTCACTATGGTTTATAGGTGATATATGGTGGTGTATCCAACTAGTTAATGGGCTTATAGCATCTTATAACCAATCTATAACTGGGGGGGGCATGGGGGGTGCCACCTTGCATGGTTTAACCACCTTGAAATGGTCATCAACATGTATACACATCAGACATATCACCAGTATGCCAATATGGAATTAAGAGAAATGCAATACCCACCCATATCAGCCCCCAAAATGAATAGGTTCCTTATAAGTCAAAACCAGTTTTATTAGGGATAATCGAAATATTAGGGTGGCGTGGGGATGCATAAGGTTGTTCACCAGACTTCCTCAGTTTTTCATGCCAATTGGTTTTCGGATGTGATTGTGCACCATCAGTTGGACGCTGGACGAAGAGTTTGGGATGACTCGACCGCCAGTGATTTATTCACACATATCGTCATCATTCGGCATCAATCTCGGCAAATGAGAAATAAACAAAATCCTTGTGCTTGGTAGTTTCGTACCTTTTTGTTTCAGAATAAATCAGTTTGGTTTTCCATATAACTGCGGTTTTCAGTTAAAAAATCAACACGAAAAAATCGGCAATTTGGCAGACAAGCCATGGAGGCTGCAGCCTTACAGCTGCTGAGTAGCTCATCCCCCGAGGCCTCAGTGTGTTGTTTTCGGTGCGATGGTTCCGATGGTTTTTTTTTGACGTGCCTGGTTCAATGACCACATTTGAATTTTGACCTTTGATTTTGATGGTAAAATATATGGTAAAATATATATGGTAAAATTATGTGAGAGAGAGTTGGAATTTACGACTAACATCTGCAGATGAACACACCATCCCATCATGGAAGTCACCGAGATTCATCCTATTAGCCTCTTTTGGTAACCGTGCACCCCACTTCCCCAAAAAAAACAGGAATGTGTTCCACGTGCGCATCTTGTGCATACATCAAGTCGCATGAATGAATTAAGAACGGTGAAGGACTCATTATGTAATCAGAATAATCATGAACATGATCATAATAGTACACCTGCATTTCGAAACCGCAAATACCATTTGGCTCGATGTTGTTCACCAAGCACACAATCAAGCGGCTATCAATCAAAATCGACCAAGCAATGCAAGGCATAGACAAGCCGTACAGGCTCTCATCGTGGTTTTGCTGACTCCTCCACTCAGTCAACTGGATATGAATTTGGCAAAAGTAGGTGCTTCCCAAATCAGTCAGTGGTCAATGATCGAGTTCTCATCCATTCCAAAGATCAAGGGGCAATTTGCTAAGCTTCATTGGGCCAGCATTTTTTTCTCCAAATGGCGCCCAAAAAGAAGGGCAAGGACGGCTATGCCAAGGAAGCTGCGCCCAAGGCGCCCAGTTTCCAGCTGCCAGAGCCAGATCGGCAGTTGCAGCTGTCATCACCACCCCTCCTACCGCCTGAGTTAGAAGGTGAGGAGGAGGAGCATCTGGAGCTGGCATCCTTGCAACCAAGGAAGATACAGTTACAACACCTCACCTTGTTGAATCATCCGGTCACTTGATATGTTGGAAGTGTCAACCTTTTTTTTGGATAGGGATGAGCGACAATTTCAGGAAGTTGGAACATGATTGAATAATTTTTCATTATGTAGATTATGTTTCCTTCAGCAGGTTGAAATCTTTGACCAACACAGCAAAGAGTATAAGACATGATAAGACATGATAAGACCACCCTCAGATTCCCAAGGATCAGATGATATTCCAAAAAATCCCCCAATTCTTCCAGTTTTTTCCATGGCGAGGTTCGGATCAGTGCGATCGACAACTTTCTGACCCCCGAGGAATGTCGGAGCTGGATCACCTGGGGTGAAAAGCACGGCTTCGAAGAGGCGAAGCAGAAGCAAAATTCGGTCTACGCCCACCGGGACAATGGACGCATCGAGTTCAACAGCTGCCGGGGCTCACATATTTTCAATCATATTTTTGTTTGAAACATTAATTACATAGTTGAAATATGTTGAAATTATATACAATGCCAACCCTTTTAAGGTGGGTTTCCATGCAGAGGTTTGTTCTTATGTTTGTTGGCCTTGTTGGCAAAGACAAAACAACGATCTTCAAAGACAGTGCCTTCATCTACAATCTCTAGATAAATCAAACAATATCAAGATGTACCCTCTGGTAATTTAACATAGCTATGGAAAATCACCATTTTTAATGGGAAAATCCACTATAAATGGCCATTTTCAATAGCTATGTTACTTTACCAGAGGGTATGGTTTCCCAAATTCAAGATCTTCTCCGATTTTTCAAGACCTTACCTTATCAATCTTAGGCTCAGACATCGCCTACCAACTCTGGTTGCGCATCAAGGGTTTCGTGCCGGAGATCGTGGGCCAAAATCGCCGGGCGCTGGGCTGTTCCCCGCGGATCCGGGTCTATCGCTACGTCAAGGGCCAGCGCTTCGGACAGCACGTGGACGGCTCCAGGGACGAGCCGGAGCTGGGAGGTCGCACACACTTCACGGTGCTGGTGTATTTGAATGGTGGGGAAAGGGATAAAGAGATCCAGGTGGGGCCAAAGATTTGATGAATTTTGATGAATTTTGGTGGTCATTTTCTTGGGGCCACAGGTTTTTACCATGAGTGGTCAGTGATGGTCAGTGCACTTGAGATTAATTATATCAATATTCTAACTTACTGTAGGTATTTGAGATACCTTTTCCATCCACCTTACGCCCAATGACTACAATCCATGAAACATTTAGTCACCCTCAAAGAGATAGACACGGTTAAATGTATAACTTTTTTTTAGCCTAGGAGTTTTCAAACTTATATCATATTTTTCGGGGGTTACTAGACTCAAACGTACTCAAACCATCCTCACATGTCGCAGCGCCACCCCCTCGAGGTGAAAGGTGGTGAAACAGTCTTTTGGAAGGACCACGATGGGAAGCGTCCAGCCTTAGCCTTTCCCCCCACCCGTGGGGTGTGCCTCTTCCACGGGCACGGCGACGAGTGCATGACGCACGAAGGGGCAGGGGTGGAAGATGGCGTCAAATACGTTCTGCGCAGCGACGTGGTCTACGAGTTGGAAGGTTAGTAGATGTGGATGTTGGAAGATGTGGGAAGTCACCATGGCATACTCCAAATGTCTAAAACGGATTGTAACATCGGTCTTTGGATTTAAATATATTTAAATATCATTTAGAAGATCATTGTGGGGTCTAACATGGTCTAACGCTGATTTCGGACAAACCCGTTCCATCACTGGGATTTAAACCATGTTTTAGTGTGCTAATCGGAAAGCCAGTGGTGTTTTTCACGCCTAGCGGCTGACTGTCCTAAGTCTTGTACAGGTGACTGTGACAGGAGGCAAAAAAAACGGCCGGCCATGGTAATGATGGGTGATGGATGGTGATGGTGAGTCATGATTTGGCTGACCCATGGTCAATTTGATGTTGACTTGCAAAAGTATCGAACTTATTCCATTTTATTATTCCATCATGGTCGGTAAGGTTGTTGAATGGATCCTATTTGCAGTATTTGCAGTGATGACATAGACCAGTCACAAGATGGTACCCAAGTGCTGCTTTTCTTAGCCCTGAGCGGCAGCACACACGGCGTTTTGTGCCTTGGATTTTTCATGGGGACCACGTGATCAGGAGCTGGTTGAAGGATGTTAAAGGCAGAAGGCATAAGGTAGCTCTTGTTAAGGAGCTAATGTCCACCCACTTGTGAAATCGATGAACTGCCGAAAGTTATTCTGGAGGATTTTATACTTGGACATGCCGGTGGGTCCAATGGTCCATGGTATACATTTTTTGTCATCTCTTATCACATTTTTAGAGAGGCTACTGCGAGTTCTTAATGGGTTGAAGCCTAGAATCGTGTTTGATTCTTTTCGGAATTCATGGAACTGCCCTTTATTGGTTGGATTTGTGTGGCTTATCCCTGGAAGAGAACCATGGTGTCTTGAAGACGTGGCCCTTCAAAGCAACCCATTGATGATGGGTTTCACCTGCACCGCCTCCAAAGTTTAAGGCCTGAACATGTTTCAACCATTTTCAACCGAAAAAAACCCCACATGTTTTCAGAAATGTTCCCCATATTTTCTGATATACGAAAATTGACATAAAATGAGGGCAACCTTCAACCTCCCACATCGCCCCGCTAAATGGCTGACGTGCCAGGACCTACTGAGAAGCTTTGACCCGGGCGTGGCGGACTTTTTTTCGGCCGGCGCAGGGGAGGACATTTGGGAGGCGGGAAATCCGCTGGGATGTTTGAAGGGAAAAGCTGCAGCAAAATCATTGGATTTTACCTCCAATGGTACTCGTAGGGGGTGAAACAGTGAAAAGTCTGGCAAGAAATGACGGTCAGGATCCTTTTTGTTTTTGCCCTTTCGGAACTTTCAAAATCGTGGATGCAATGATACGCAATGTTTTTCTCCGATCATTGTCTAAAGTTTCAACTGTCTTAAAGTAACCTGAAACTATGCTTTGCACCGAAGATGGGTTTGTTGATTCTCTCCGACCTCCAAAACGATGGCCACGAAGCTTTGCTGAAATGAGTAAGGGTAATCATCCCAAAATTGCCATTTCAGCATTCGATGGATTTGGAAAGAGGCCAAAGTATAGTACTCTCCAGAAAACAAACATGGCAACAGAAGATCCTGATTTTCCATTGCCAGATTTGATTACTGGTTGGTAAGTATACGTGATGCGTCATGGTTGTACAATGTTCTACAATGATGTGTAATGTAAAACATCCATTTGCAAGATGTTTTCGAAAAAGAACAAAACAGGGAAAGAACTGACGTGGTATGTCAGCTGCAAAACACAGTTTGTGTGGCCAGTGCGTTTGTACTTGAACCGTCGGCATGGGTTCTTGAGCATCCCCGCAGCATTGTTGCAACAGCTTGTGTTACCATCTGGTTATTTAACATAGCCATGGAAAATCACCATTTTTAATAGGTAAACCATATATAAACGGGCCATTTTCCATGGCTATGTTAAATAACCAGATGGTATATAGAAACGTTGAAAGTCCTGATGCGCATCAAGAAAGAGCGAGAGAGAGGATAAGAGAGAGAGAGAGAGAGAGATAGAGAGAGAGAGAGAGAGAACTTTGCAGCTTGAGAATGATATTTAATGGCATTTTCTGGGGAACATCATTTTTTACATATATACTAGGTACGGATGAGATAGGAGTTGTCGGAGGGTCCAGTTTTTTTGATTTCCCATCTCATGAGTAAAGTATTGTTTTTGCGCTTTGAAAGTGCCAAACTCCTATCTCATGTGGTTCTAGTAGTCATTTGAAGGATACCTGCATCAAGTTTTTACATTCCCACGGTTTGTTTTTTTAATGCTACAGGCTACAGTTTGGACACATGAGATAGGACTTAGGGCTGATTTGGGGTATGTTCACATAACCCATGTGTTGGGACTGTAGCATCTATATCCCACGAAGAATTCCCATCTCATGGGTTTCATCCTGAGCCATTTGGCAATATGGTAAAAAGCTACAATATGGTAAAAAGCTACTGAACGTATTTTTTTTCATTTTCTCGTTGTTTCTCTACTGTTGTTAGCTTTAATAACGGGCAGCGACACGGCTCGCGGAGAACGGACGGCCACGTGTCTCCCTGTTTTTATCTCTGACGGGAAGTGACACGGCTCGCGGGCCGCGTGTCTCCCTGTTGTTGCCGGTCTCGCTGTGCACCTCCGCAGTTTCCCACATGGCCTCCGGTAGCTTCCCGTTAAAAATAAGAATGGGGAGTGGGAGCCAGGATGCCCTTCCCCGTGTAAAAGCAGATGAGATAGGACTTGTGGGGATTTGACGATTTGACCAGAGAAATCTAATGGCACATGGGCGCGGCAAGGGAAAAACAGCGACCTCTAAAAGCAGATGAGATAGGACTTGTGGAAATTTGACGATTCGACCTGAGAAATCTAATGGCACGTGGTTTCGGCAAGGGAAAAATAGCGACCACGAAAAGCAAATGAAATAGGACTTGTGGGGATTTGACGATATGACCTGGGAAATCTAATGGCACGTGGGTGCGGCAAGGGAAAAATAGCGACCACTAAAAGCAGATGAGATAGGACTTGTGGGGATTTGGCCTGGGAAATCTAATGGCACATAGGCGCGGCCAGGGAAAAAAAATAGCGACCACTAAAAGCAGATGAGATAGGATTTGTGGAGATTTGACGATTTGACTTGGGAAATCTATGGCACCCGTTGTGTCTCACCGGGGAGGCGCTTGGAACTGCTCGCCCCCACAGCTTCACTGCTCAGAACGGGCTGGACGGTCAGCAGTTGCAAACGCCTCCCCGGGGAGACGCAACGCAGAGGCACAACGGGAGACACAACAGGAAAATGATGTAAAATGAGAAAAAACTGGATAGCGACCACTGCAAAGCAGATGAGATAGGACTTGTGGGGGTTTGACGATTTGACTTGGGAAATCTATGGCACCCGTTGTGTCTCACCGGGGAGGCGCTTGGAACTGCTCGCCCCCACAGCTTCACTGCTCAGAACGGTCTGGACGGTGAGCAGTTGCAAACGCCGCCTCGGGGAGGCAAAACGGAGCGACACAACGGGAGACACAACAGGAAAATGATGTAAAATGAGAAAAACATGAATAGCGACCACTGCAAAGCAGATGAGATAGGACTTGTGGAGATTTGACGATTTGACTTGGGAAATCTATGGCACCCGTTGTGTCTCACCGGAGAGGCGCTTGGAACTGCTCGCCCCCACAGCTTCACTGCTCAGAACGGGCTGGACGGTCAGCAGTTGCAAACGCCGCCCCGGGGAGACACAACGGAGAGACACAACGGGAGACACAACAGGAAAATGATGTAAAATGAGAAAAACATGAAGAGCGACCACTGCAAAGCAGATGAGATAGGACTTGTGGGGATTTGGCCTGGGAAATCTAATGGCACATGGGCGCGGCCAGGGAAAAAAAATGCGACCACTAAAAGCAGATGAGATAGGATTTGTGGAGATTTGACGATTTGACTTGGGAAATCTATGGCACCCGTTGTGTGTCACCGGGGAGGCGCTTGGAACTGCTCGCCCCCAAAGCTTCACTGCTCAGAACGGGCTGGACGGTCAGCAGTTGCAAACGCCTCCCCGGGGAGACACAACGGAGAGGCACAACGGGAGACACAACAGGAAAATGATGTAAAATGAGAAAAACATGAATAGCGACCACTGCAAAGCAGATGAGATAGGACTTGTGGGGGTTTTGCCTGGGAAATCTGATGGCACAAGGGCGCGGCCAGGGAAAAAAAATAGCGACCACTAAAAGCAGATGAGATAGGACTTGTGGAGATTTGACGATTTGACTTGGGAAATCTATGGCACCCGTTGTGTCTCACCGGGGAGGCGCTTGGAACTGCTCGCCCCCACAACTTCACTGCTCAGAACGGTCTGGACGGTGAGCAGTTGCAAACGCCGCCCCGGGGAGGCAAAACGGAGAGACACAACGGGAAAATGATGTAAAATGAGAAAAACATGAATAGCGACCGCTGCAAAGCAGATGAGATAGGACTTGTGGGGATTTGATGATTTGACTTGGGAAATCTATGGCACCCGTTGTGTCTCACCGGGGAGGCGCTTGGAACTGCTCGCCCCCAAAGCTTCACTGCTCAGAACGGTCTGGACGGTGAGCAGTTGCAAACGCCGCCCCGGGGAGGCAAAACGGAGAGACACAACCGGAGACACAACAGGAAAATGATATAAAATGAGAAAAACATGAATAGCGACCACTGCAAAGCAGATGAGATAGGACTTGTGGGGATTTGGCCTGGGAAATCTAATGGCACATGGGCGCGGCCAGGGAAAAAAATAGCGACCACTAAAAGCAGATGAGATAGGATTTGTGGAGATTTGACGATTTGACTTGGGAAATCTATGGCACCCGTTGTGTCTCACCGGGGAGGCGCTTGGAACTGCTCGCCCCCACAGCTTCACTGCTCAGAACGGGCTGGACGGTCAGCAGTTGCAAACGCCTCCCCGGGGAGACACAACGGAGAGGCACAACGGGAGACACAACAGGAAAATGATGTAAAATGAGAAAAACATGAATAGCGACCACTGCAAAGCAGATGAGATAGGACTTGTGGGGGTTTTGCCTGGGAAATCTAATGGCACATGGGCACGGCCAGGGAAAAAAATAGCGACCACTAAAAGCAGATGAGATAGGACTTGTGGAGATTTGACGATTTGACTTGGGAAATCTATGGCACCCGTTGTGTCTCACCGGGGAGGCGCTTGGAACTGCTCGCCCCCACAACTTCACTGCTCAGAACGGTCTGGACGGTGAGCAGTTGCAAACGCCGCCCCGGGGAGGCAAAACGGAGAGACACAACGGGAGACACAACAGGAAAATGATGTAAAATGAGAAAAACATGAATAGCGACCACTGCAAAGCAGATGAGATAGGACTTGTGGGGATTTGGCCTGGGAAATTTAATGGCACATGGGCGCGGCCAGGGAAAAAATAGCGACCACTAAAAGCAGATGAGATAGGACTTGTGGTGGTTTGACGATTTGACTTGGGAAATCTATGGCACCCGTTGTGTCTCACCGGGGAGGCGCTTGGAACTGCTCGCCCCCGCAGCTTCACTGCTCAGAACGGGCTGGACGGTGAGCAGTTGCAAACGCTGCCCCGGGGGAATGATGTTACATTCTCTGTTTTCTGAAACAGACATTTTTGAAATATGTCCGCGCAACAGAAGACTGCTAAGGATGATTGCTTCAGAGACAACGCAAAAACACTGGAAAAAAAACAATGCAAAATACACATTTCATGATGAGGGATTTCACATGATTTCATTCAAGGCATGTGGGGAGGCAAAACGGAGAGACACAACGGGAGACACAACAGGAAAATGATATAAAATGAGAAAACCATGCATAGCGACCACTGCAAAGCAGATGAGATAGGACTTGTGGGGATTTGGCCTGGGAAATCTAATGGCACATGGGCGCGGCCAGGGAAAAAAATAGCGACCACTAAAAGCAGATGAGATAGGATTTGTGGAGATTTGACGATTTGACTTGGGAAATCTATGGCACCCGTTGTGTCTCACCGGGGAGGCGCTTGGAACTGCTCGCCCCCGCAGCTTCACTGCTCAGAACGGGCTGGACGGTCAGCAGTTGCAAACGCCTCCCCGGGAACACAACGGAGAGGCACGACGGGAGACACAACAGGAAAATTATGTAAACTGAGAAAAATCTGAATAGCGACCACTGCAAAGCAGATGAGATAGGATTTGTGGGGGTTTGACGATTTGACTTGGGAAATCTAATGGCACATGGGTGTGGCAAGGGAAAAATAACGACCACTAAAAGCAGATGAGATAGGACTTGTGGAGATTTGACGATTTGACTTGGGAAATCTATGGCGCCCGTTGTGTCTCACCGGGGAGGCGCTTGGAACTGCTCGCCCCCACAGCTTCACTGTGAGCAGTTGCAAACGCCGCCCCGGGGAGGCAAAACGGAGAGAGACACAACGGGAGACACAACAGGAAAATGATGTAAAATGAGGAACACATGAATAGCGACCACTGCAAAGCAGATGAGATAGGACTTGTGGGGGTTGGACTCTAATGGCACGTGGGTGCGGCAAGGGAAAAATAGCGACCACTAAAAGCAGATGAGATAGGACTTGTGGGGATTTTGTCTGGGAAATCTAATGGCGCATGGGTGCGGCAAGGGAAAAATAGCGACCACTAAAAGCAGATGAGATAGGACTTGTGGAGATTTGACGATTTGACTTGGGAAATCTATGGCACCCGTTGTGTCTCACCGGGGAGGCGCTTGGAACTGCTCACCCCCTCAGCTTCACTGCTCAGAACGGTCTGGACGGTCAGCAGTTGCAAACGCCTCCCGGGGGAGACACAACGGAGAGGCACAACGGGAGACACAACAGGAAAATGATGTAAAACGAGAAAAAGCTGAATAGCGACCACTACAAAGCAGATGAGATAGGACTTGTGGGGGTTTGACGATTTGAATTGGGAAATCTAATGGCACATGGGTGCGGCAAGGGAAAAATAGCGACCACTAAAAGCAGATGAGGTAGGACTTGTGGAGATTTGACGATTTGACTTGGGAAATCTAATGGCACATGGGAAGGGAAAAATAGCGACCACTAAAAGCAGATGAGATAGGATTTGTGGAGATTTGACGATTTGACTTGGGAAATCTATGGCACCCGTTGTGTCTCACCGGGGAGGCGCTTGGAACTGCTCGCCCCCGCAGCTTCACTGCTCAGAACGGGCTGGACGCTCAGCAGTTGCAAACGCCTCCCCGGGGAGACAGAACGGAGAGGCACAACGGGAGACACAACAGGAAAATGATGTAAACTGAGAAAAAGCTGAATAGCGACCACTGCAAAGCAGATGAGATAGGATTTGTGGGGGTTTGACGATTTGACTTGGGAAACCTAATGGCATTTGGGTGTGGCAAGGGCAAAATAGCGACCACTAAAAGCAGATGAGATAGGACTTGTGGAGATTTGACGATTTGACTTGGGAAATCTATGGCACCCGTTGTGTCTCACCGGGGAGGCGCTTGGAACTGCTCGCCCCCACAGCTTCACTGTGAGCAGTTGCAAACGCCGGCCCGGGGAGGCAAAACGGAGAGAGACACAACGGGAGACACAACAGGAAAATGATGTAAAATGAGGAACACATGAATAGCGACCACTGCAAAGCAGATGAGATAGGACTTGTGGGGGTTGGACGATTTGACCTGGGAAATCTAATGGCACGTGGGCGCGGCAAGGGAAAAATAGCGACCACTAAAAGCAGATGAGATAGGACTTGTGGGGATTTTGTCTGGGAAATCTAATGGCGCATCGGTGCGGCAAGGGAAAAATAGCGACCACGAAAAGCAGATGAGATAGGACTTGTGGAGATTTGACGATTTGACTTGGGAAATCTATGGCACCCGTTGTGTCTCACCGGGGAGGCGCTTGGAACTGCTCACCCCCTCAGCTTCACTGCTCAGAACGGTCTGGACGGTCAGCAGTTGCAAACGCCTCCCGGGGGAGACACAACGGAGAGGCACAACGGGAGACACAACAGGAAAATGATGTAAAATGAGAAAAAGCTGAATAGCGACCACTACAAAGCAGATGAGATAGGACTTGTGGGGGTTTGACGATTTGAATTGGGAAATCTAATGGCACATGGGTGCGGCAAGGGAAAAATAGCGACCACTAAAAGCAGATGAGATAGGACTTGTGGAGATTTGACGATTTGACTTGGGAAATCTAATGGCACATGGGAAGGGAAAAATAGCGACCATTAAAAGCAGATGAGATAGGATTTGTGGAGATTTGACGATTTGACTTGGGAAATCTATGGCACCCGTTGTGTCTCACCGGGGAGGCGCTTGGAACTGCTCGCCCCCACAGCTTCACTGCTCAGAGCGGTCTGGACGGTGAGCAGTTGCAAACGCCGCCCCGGCGAGATACAACGGAGAGACACAACGGGAGACACAACAGGAAAATAATGTCAAATGAAAAAAACTGAATAGCGACCACTACAAAGCAGATGAGATAGGACTTGTGGGGATTTGGCCTGGGAAATCGAACGGCGCATGGTGCGGCAAGGGAAAAATAACTTCGACTAAAAGCAGATGAGATAGGATTTGTGGGGATTTGACCTCGAAAGTCTAACTGGCACATGGGTGCAGCAAGGGAAAGCTATTGACCACTAAAAGCAGGTGAGATAGGACTTGTGGGGATTTGACGATTTGACCTGGGAAATCTAATGGCACATGGGTGCAGCAAGGGAAAAATAGTCACCACTAAAAGCAGGTGAGGTAGGACTTGTGGAGATTTGACCTTGGAAATCTGGGTGCGGCAAGGGAAAAATAACGACCACTAAAAGCAGATGAGATAGGACTTGTGGGGATTTGACCTCGAAAGTCTAACTGGCACATGGGTGCAGCAAGGGAAAGCTATTGACCACTAAAAGCCGATGAGATAGGACTTGTGGGGATTTGACGATGTGACCTGGGAAATCTAATGGCACATGGGTGCACCAAGGGAAAAACCTTGACCACTAAAAGCAGGTGAGATAGGACTTGTGGGGGTTGATCCGGGAAATCTATTGTGACATGGGTGTAACTAGGCAAAAAGATGGGCCACTGAACGCATGTGAGATAGGACTTGTTTTTTCTAGAACCATTGTAATTTCCTATCTCATCAGCCCTTGCTGCTATCACAAAACATGAAGTCCCGATCATTTATCAAGGTGTTTTTTTCAGACTTGCATTCAGGTCTCAGAGCGGGTTCAGCGCACATGAGTTGGGAGTTTTGGCAAACCCCAGGTACCAAAACTCCTAACCCATGTGGCTACTCAAGCCAATTCCCCATAAGCGCTTCAAACAGTGGACACAAGAGATAGGACTAGACCCCAGCAAGTCCTGACTCATCCGGGGCCACAAGTCCTAACTCATCAGTATCCAGTATATATAGTTCTGTATAATTACATAATTGTGAAAACCTCCAGATCAATGATGAGACTTTGTTGTATACTAGTATGCTCTACGCTTAGGCTGGCTTATACAAACCCATATTAAAGTATGGTTGGAAATGCGCCAAGCTTATCTTTAGTTGTTGGACAGCTCAAAAACCACCGCACCAAGGCGGTTTCTGCCGATCTGAAGGTGGCAGCAGCTGCTTAAACCTGGCGGGTTTGCCCTGGAAGACACCCGTTTGGTGAGAAAATCAGCACAACTGGAGCTTGGCAATGCCACTCCCCAAAATTCCAAAGTCACGCACTTGAAAAGGGCAATTTGGCACTGCCTTCTGGGTTTAGTCTCATGATTCTCATGGGCGGCCGGAGTAGGTGCGGAGTAGGTGTTGAGTAGGATGGTGACATAAGTGCACCAGAAAGACAGCAGGTCATGGCAGATCCAAAGTGGAGGAACGGCAGCCATGCCTGCCTTTTTCGCTCTTTTTGTGCCCCAAAAACATGGTTGTTGCTGGGAAGATTCAGATCCTGGAAGTAATGCAAGTACCACTTTGGCGAAGCAAGGCCTCTTGATAATGAACGGCGGCACTGCTTTGGGATATTGGTTTTTGCAGCTGAGAAACTCAATTGATGGGAGTGATGAGCGATGACCAATGCATATCTTCCCGGTTGAATTAGTGCCGCACGATTGCCATGCGAGAAGTTCAGAAACCAAGCACTTCTGAAATGCTACCTGACTAGGATATTGGACTACTATATTGGACTGGTGTTTTGAGTTCCCGAAAAATGTTCGGCGTCTTCAACCTACGATGAAATGTATCGACATTTGTAGAGGCACCACATCTTCGTTGAACAATGTACGCATACAGACTGTTCGTCAATCCATTCGTCCCATCAAGACATGCAAACTGATTTCCGGAGACCAAATGGATTGCAACTGGGTGGTATTAGTGCAAAAGAACCATGCACGGCACCAGTGCCACATCAGCTGCAAAAACAGAAACCACTTGGCGGTGCAGCCGCCGGGCGTCGTCGCAAAAACAAGTTGGTCTCCTTTGATGGGCTTTTCCCCTTGGAAATTGGTATACCATGGTATAATCCAAAGTGACCCCTGGCCAGATTTAACGGGGAATGCGATGACAAGCCAGTGAGGGTATATATCTATGGTGTAAGTCACAAATTTTCTATAAGAAATTGGTTTTGAGGGTCATTGCCACTGCACAATCTGGTTTCTGCAGGTATGGTATTAATTTGCAACATGCCACTTGAACATGAATGACCAGCAGATGCAGGATGCAATTGCCCTTGCCCTTCATGTGTATCCAGTGGCCATTGCCTTCTCCAACATTCCCAAGATGAGGCAATTTAAAAACACTAAAAACATATGATTAACAGCGAACTATAGGAGTTCTATGGAGTTCTGCTGGTTTTGTCTCCAGTCCTAGGAGAACTGGCTGCCAGCTGCTTTGGCTCCGCAGTTTTTTGTCCCCAGCTGGGGCGCGGTCTCATTTCTCGGGGGGGTTCACCCTGCCAGGCGCCGGCGGGCGACTCTGATTTGGGATCCCACAGCCCCCAACAAATCCATCGGCATCCGACGTTTCATGGCGCGTTTCATGGCGCATTTCAGTGACACAACTTGACTTTCGGCACATTTACGCACATTGACTCGCCATATCTCGGAACCTTTGAAGGCATACAATTTTCATCAATGTCACGGGTTGAATGATTTGAATCCACCTCAGTTGAATCTCTGGAGTCATGAGATGCCCAATCCTCATGATATCAGCACCAGTGGTTTGTATAGACCATAGGTGTCAATCACCCTCCACAACGTGTTTTCTTCTCCGGTGGTTGGACCCCGGCTTGGGATGAATCTCTTGAATTGACTATAGATGACTATAGTAACTATAGGTAACTATAGGTAACTAGACTATAGGTAATTATAGGTAACTATAGGTAACTATAGGTGACTATAATATAGAAAAACTATAGGTAACTTCACGATCGTCTTATTAGTTCTGTTATGTTCTGTTCCATTTCTATTCGGATGGTCACGGATGGTCAGACTGCCACCCGGGCAGGTCACCGGGGTCACCGGGCTGTGACCCGGTCGCCATGGATTTGGCGCACCTCGTTGGGAGCTCCGAGACGCGGTGTTGACGCGACAAGATACGGCCAAAAAACGATGAAAAACGGAGATCCCTAGAGATCTCTAGAGATAAATGAAACGCGCAAAAAAAAGCGCACATTGAATCACATAGATATATTGTTGTTGATTGGGTCCTCTCATTGTTTGTTTGTCTTGTAGTATCCCGTGAGCTATGATGACTGTGATTGTTGTCGTGTAGTATCAGATCAACTATGATTGCTATGATTGCTATCAATGCCGTTGGTGGTCAGATGCCCATTCGTTGTGATTCTTTGACGGGTGCTGGATTCCCACCAGGTGACGGTTGGCCTTTTCCCTGCCAAACATGAGCCGCTGACGAGCAGCTTGGCATGTTGGCCGGAGCAGCACCAGGAACCTGGAAATTGGTCCCAAATTATCCGAAACAGGATCTTTATGTATATTATATAGATTGGATTGTATAATGAGATATTATTAATATAGTTATTGTCATTATTGTTATTATATGATGATATATGATGGGTTTATTTTTGTATTACGTATTATTATGTGTATATCATCCCCAATTATACCTAAGAATCTAGATATGCAACATTTCAGGCTCCATCTCCAGGTGCCGACCTGGCGTACTTCCGGCAGCATGGCGTGGACGACGCGCTGGCGGAGCGCCACGAACCGCGAAGCGGTGATGGCTGGAAAATCCTATGAAGTCCTATATGAAAAAGTGGTGATTTCATGGGTTTTACATGGGAAATCTCCGAACTCAGCAGATTTTTTTTGAATTGCAAGATATCATCGATTTCTATATTTCTGGGCTTCACAACTTTGCTCTTTGCTAATGAACCAGAATGGATGATTCCCATCCTCAAACGTCATCCAAGAACATACGATCTTCCATTGCCATGTTTTTTACTGGAGGGTAATTATTGCAAACACCAAAAGCTGGGACGTTTTCAACCAACCAGAAAACATGCCAACATGGAGTACGTTGACCAGAACTATGGAAAGAAACATTCTAAAACAGCCAACATGATGGGCCATTTTAAAGTTGGGCCTGACTGAAATTGTTGGGACACCAAAAAAATCCATAATCAACCATCATTTTTTCTATTGAAATTCAACTTTTGCGGTGTGTTCCCCATGTTCATACACACCCATCCGAAAACACAAGCCTTCTATGGAGTCCAATTTATGGTCCAACCAGGCCCGTGACCATTAAGCCAGGAGATCGTGTCGCAGCTTGCAAAGCAGAAGCCGACGGATCCCTATAAGCGACTTGGGCCCTCGGAAAGTGCTTTCTAATTGATGATTATCTATAGGTTATTCCTATATAATATATGATTATCTAATGGTATCCCTATATATTCTAATTGCTGAAAATCGGATGATGATCTAATATTAATATATATGAATATGAGAATACCACGGGTGAATTCCATGATTTTCATCATCAAAATTGCCAGAAAACTGCACCATCTTTCTTGACAACACGCTATCGAGGTTCATCGCAGATGCCATGGCCCAGAAAAATGGAGGCAGAGTTGGGGCTTCGGGAAACGGCCATGCTGGGGTTGCGCAGACGTCAGGCTTTGGAAATAGAATCAGCCCATATCAGCCCTCCAGATATCCAAAACATGTATAATATACATTGTATATGGTATATCTTTATTTTACAATTATATATATATATCTAATCATATCTACTTACGTTTGTGCCTATGACTGCATGCGCATGATGTTTTACAAACGAATGAGTAGTATAGGTCTTACTCTACATATGCAAATGATGCATATGTATGTACATATATATAATATACATACATACATACATACATACGTACATACATACATACATACATACATACATACATACATACATACATACATACATACATACATACATACACACACATATATATATATATGCAATTACATGCACATGTATATTTATACTTGTTCAATGTTGCTGCCTTCCAGAATGTCCGAATCCATCTTCCCATGGCTCCTTACTTAGACTTGGTTTTCATCAAGCCATGGAAACCTCATTCATTGGATTGGTTTAAGGAAAAAAAATGCGGGGAAAGCCGAAACCCCATTCAATATGATAGTGGATTTATGGTAAAAACCAAGAAATTGATGGTAAAACCATTGATGACACAAGATGATTACTGTAGATGATTGAACCCCCCTATTGAATTTTGTGGATTTCAATGGATGTTGGTACCCTAGGGCAAAAGAATGATTTGGATGTGGAAAACCAATGCTTTCCTCTGGGAAAATGATCTACAACAAATGGTGGGTTTACCCTATGTGGAGGTTTCCTAACATGGGGGTACCCCTATATCATCCATGTATAGATGGGATATTCCATGATAAAGCAACCATTTAAGGGGAACCCCCATTTATTAAATTATGGAAACCCCATTTGATAGGGTAACAACCAGTGAAAGCCTAAGTTTTCCGATGTTTTCTAATCCACTTCAGCTGGTGCCTCACAGGCGCACCAGGTGCCGTCACCAAGGCGGAGAAACCGGAGAAAAAGGCCGACGCCAAAGCGGCGCCCAAAGCCGCAGCCAAGGCCATGGAAGTCGTTTTTTTTTCTTAAGTGATTTGTTTTTTTGATGTTTGATGATTACCCTCTGGTTATTTATAGATGGTTTACCTATTAAAAATGGTGATTTTCCATGGCTATGTTAAATAACCAGATGGTATATGTTTTTCTCCTTTTTGTTTCTTGATGAATATTTGACTTTCTAAATGGATTTTGGATTATTGTTCCAGCATGTTTTGCATGGATTTTGAATGATCTCTTGACCAACCTTTTTAGACACATCCAAAGCTTAATAAGTCTTCAGACAAATCTGTGATTCATGATCATGGGACTGCTCGGTCCGGTTATTTCTAAAAGAGATTAATGATTTTCCTGAAAAGTTTGATTTGGAGTGTAAGGTTAATTGATGGGACTGGTCATTGCCCAAGCTTGGGGGACATATCCAGAAATCAATCGTTGGGAGGCGGAAGCTGCTCCCGCGGCTGCTCCAGCAGGCTTGACTTTCTCGAAATGTTACTTTAGCATTTGAAGCCATATGAACCATGAAATGACATGGTTGGTTGGTTATACATCAGCAATCAACCCAATAAATTTTGGGGTGAAAAGGTCGCGTGAGATTCCCGAACCAACAGGTTCCATATCATTTCATTGTTTGAACTGAACTTTGTCCATGTGCCTACCAGGAGCTGTGAACACTGCTGAAGTGGAAAAGGTGGGAGCAGAGCTTAGAGCCCTCAAGGAGAAGCTGAAACAGGAGGCCCAGGGAAAATGAGATGCATTGCAGGCACAGTTTTTTGACCCAATCACTTTGTCTCCTGGGCTTCTGTATAATTATCTATTTTTAATGATAAGAATCAGAGAGGAAATGTCAGGGCCGTGGTCTTAGAAGGCTATGTGGCCGAGGATTCAGCCTATTGGTTGTGGGGATTTGCCAACGGCGGACCTTGACCACCAACAACCATGCTGATAAGGGCGGATCTCAACCAGTATACCATCAGTTCTTTTGGGGGGTCACCGAATTGCGGGGATTGGCGCCATTTTTTTGGTAGGAGTCATGCCTTTGCACAGTGGTGCTCACTCAGAATGAACAAGCCTAGCCGGCCTAGCAACTCTAAAGGGTATTGTTGGACGATTCTGAGAGGCTATTACTGGTCATTAGCTGCAATGCAAACAAAAATAGAAAACATCCACTCAAAAGCAATGATTTGGGTTTGTCTCAGAGTGGGCTATTGCACCTATTGCCCCAAATGACGATAGCAATGGAGAAAGTGATGCTAAACCATCAACATTGAGGATACCCTATTTTCAAACAAACTCAAGTGCCGGAACATGACGAGGGCGTTTTGAAAGCACCAAAGATTGCATGGTGGCAAATGGCCCCCCAAAATGGATCTCTCAGACACAGCACATAGGTAGGTCCAAATTTGGGGTGCCCCAAAATCATCCCAAATCCACCAAACTTCTCCATTCAAATTCTAGATAATCCCAGCATTGCGGGAGCGGAAAGCGTTTCTGTTTTTTCTTCGGAAGTTGAGATCGACACATTTCCAGCCCATTGCCCACGGCTGCCAGGGCAAGAGTGGAAAGGACCGTCGCATCCAATTTTTTGGGTCGAAGGTCCTATTGGATGTCCTGCTGCGAATTCCAGGCTACAGTACCATGGTTTTGACCCAATACCCATTTTGCGTTTGTTTTAATATTGCAGGATGCCCGTTTTTGGCCATATAAATTCGTGGAAAATGATAGGGTAGTGCCAGCCCTGCATGAAAAAACTCCATTAGGGGGACCTTCCCAAAAACATGTTTTCCCATGGTCAAAGTTGGCACCCCATTAGCAAAACTGGGGGTTTTCATCAAATCCTGGGTGACCATTCCCCAGTTCAAATGGCTGGCCAACCGCCCGTAGAATGCGAAACATGCCTTCCTATGAAGCAACTCAGAGATGCAAACTTGGTTGCCAACTTTGTGAAGATTCTATTGAACATTATTCGTGCTGCCGTAATTTTTTGGAATTTTTGCTGCTCCCCCCTTCCCCATGGTTTGGGAACTGCTTCCAGGCACAGATCAAAGGAAACATTTTTCATGATGAATTCCGATTTATGCGAGAACGATGTTCTGAAATTGGCTCATGCAATCCATGCTGCTCTGATTTTTTTTTGGTTGGTGCATCACCCGTGGAGCCCTCCAACAATCTCAATATGAACAAGGTGCTGATGCTGTTGGTTAAGCAGGCAGCTGCTGGTTTCATCATGTTTCATCGCTTCCAGGGAAATTTTCCAGCCTTCCTTGTATGGCATTGACATGCCTATCCTTTCACAACTTGGAATCTGTGCCTCCAACATCAGGAGGTGAATGCTACGCCAGAAGTGCAAGCGCTGGTGGCTCGATTGAATGACCTCAAATCTGGAGGAGCTGCAGGCCTTGGGGCCTTAGGGGGCACAACCCCTCGGGGTTGTTCTTTCACTATAGATTGTCATCAAGTTTCACTATCTAAGTGAGTCTCTGCTATAATGAGGTGAACCAAGGTAAACACAATGCCACAAACCATCCCCAATACAGGTTTATTATTGGGTTTACCATGGTTTACCATGGTTTACCGTTTAACTCCCTTGACGTCAGCCCTTTAGGTCTTTGTTCCACTCCCATCCCTGTGACCACACAAAGCCTGCAGGGTCGCCGAAGGCGGAAAGCAAAGCGAAGGCACACCCGAGATGGGACCAACAGTAAAGATGGCGGACAAGCATCAACCAAAATAGGGTTCATTTGGAGTCATTACATATATGTAATAGGTCTATTATTATATTATTATTGCTTATTATTATTGATATTGTTATTATTGCTATTATTTTATTATTACTATATATAGCAAGGTCCAAGAAGCATCCCTATTCCTAAGTGGGAAAAACAACAATAACAGTAATATAACCCACACACACACAAACGCCATATATATACACATATATTAATATTATATATATATATATATATGTACATACATACATATATTTACTGTAGACATATTTTGTTTCCGAACTGCTTGCTGGGATGCAGCCCCCAGCAGAAACCACGGATGGGAAATCTGACAGTTGGGTTTTGTACGTCAGTCGCACTGGGAATGGAGAGAGTCTGCATGGATCTGCGTGGATCCATCAGTGTTGAGAAAGCCTGGGATAGATTGGGCACGATGGGCATGTGCACAAGTGGCACTTGCCACTTGCAGCCAATGGTTTCTCATTTTCTTTGCCAGAACAGAACTTTGCAAATCATCAATTGTCCAATTTGTTACCATCCGGAAAGCTTACACAGACATGGAAAACCCACCATTTGTAGATCATCTCCTTCAGAATCCAGGGCGTGGCTAACGTCAATCCAGGGCGATTTTGAGAGATATTGAACGGCCGCTGTGGGACGTTGAGGATGGATACCTGTTTGATGATTGATGATCATTGGTCTGTTTTTTTTCTTCTCTGAAACAGATTAAGTAATGAAAGTCCAGGGAAGTTTGATGTTGTCGTTCTTAATTATCAGTTTGATTTGAAGTGTGACGTCAATTTATGGAATTGGTCATTGCCAAAGCTTGACATCCAGAAATCAATCCTTGGGAGGCGGAAGCTGCTCCCGCTGCTGCTCCAGCAGGCTTGACTTTCTGGGAGAGAAAATACATGTTATACTTCGGCATTTGCTTGGTTGGTTGGTTGGTTGGTTGGTTGGTTGGTTTGTTGGTTATACATCAACAATGAACCAAAGAAGCTTTGACGTGAAAAGATTGCGTGAGATTCCCGAACCAACAGGTTCCATAGCATTTCATTGTTTCAACTGAACTTTGTCCATGTCATGTGCCTACCAGGAGCTGTGAACACTGCTGAAGTGGAAAAGGTGGGAGCAGAGCTTAGAGCCCTCAAGGAGAAGCTGAAACAGGAGGCCCAGGGGAAATGAGATGCATTGCAGGCACAGTTTTTGACCCAATCACTTTGTCTTCTGGGTTTCGATATATCTATATATATATATTAGATTATAAGATATGATATCACGAATACATATAGATTGATACAAATATATAACACTTGTTGCAAAAGGTAGTAATGCATCGACATGATGTTATAGAAATAATTGCAGACCTATATGTATATATAGGGGATATCAGACAGTAAAGCTTCAACGTCAACTCAGATTTGGGGTTGATGTGGCCCAGGATGCAGCCTATTTGTCATGGGCATTGCCAACAGTGAACCCAACAATGGGGATACACAAAGAGCAGACCTAACCACCAACAACCACGATCACCGAACTGGGGGGTTTGGCTGTCGATGGGTTTGCAAAGAACCATCGAGTATTTTCCTGAAGTCTCACCATGGATGAATCTTTGGATGTGCGCCAGCTCATCCAGAATGAAGAACCCTACTCAAGGGTATTGTTGGACAATTCTGAGAGGCTATTGCTGGTCATTAGCTGCAATGCAATGGAGAAAGTGATGCTAAACCATCAACATTGAGGATACCCTATTTTCAAACAAACTCAAGTGCCGGAACATGACGAGGGCGTTTTCAAAGCACCAAAGGTTGCATGGTGGCAAATGGCCCCCCAAAATGGATCTCTCAGACACAGCACATAGGTAGGTCCAAATTTGGGGTGCCCCAAAATCATCCCAAATCCACCAAACTTCTCCATTCTAATTCTAGATGATCCCAGCATTACGGGAGCGGGAGGCGCTTCTGTTTTCTTCGGAAGTTGAGATCGACACATTTCCAGCCCCACAGACATTTTTTTGCCTGCCATTGCCCACTTGCCAGGGCAAGAGTGGAAAGGACCGCCGTGTCCAAAATAGGGTCCAAGGTCCAATTTGGGGGTCAGTCCCGCATGAATGTACTCTGTTGGTGAATTAGGGGGACCTTCCCCCAAATATGTTTCCCCATACTCATGATCAAAGTTGGCACCCCTTATTAGCAAAACTGGGGGTTCTCATTCTTTTCACATCAGGAAGTGAACTCCTCGCCAGAAGTGCAAGCGCTGGTGGCTCGATTGAATGACCTCAAATCTGGAGGAGCTGCAGGCCTTAGGGGGAACAACCCCTCGGGGTTGTTCTTTCACTATAGATTGTCATCAAGTTTCACTATCTAAGTGAGTCTCTGCTATAATGAGGTGAACCAAGGTAAACACAATGCCACAAACCATCCCCAATAGAGGTTTGTTATTGGGTTTACCATGGTTTACCATGGTTTACCTAGCTCCCTTGATGTCAGCCCTTTAGGTCTTTGTTTCACCCCCCTCCCTGTGACCACACGAAGCCTGCAGGGTCGCCAAAGGCGGAAAGCAAAGCAGAGGCACATCCAAGACATGGGATAAGCATCAGCCAAAATAGGATCAATAATATATCAAGAAACATCCCACTATTTGATAATATACATATGAAAGGTTATGAAAGGGATGTGTGCATACAACCGTAGACATGTTGGTTATATAGTTCCTACTTGCTGGGACGCAGCCCCAAGCAAAAACCAAGGATGGGTAATCCAGCGATGGTTTTGTATGCCAGTCGCATTCGGAATGGAGAGACTATCCATTGATCCATTTGTGTATTCAATATACTCGTATGTCTATCCGGATTTACATCCACCGAGAACAGCACAGAAACAGAGATATCAATTGTCACATTTGAGCAACACTGGGATAGGTTGGGCACGATGGGCAGTAGCACTTGTAGCCGACGGTTTCTCATTTTCTTTGCAACACATACACTGGCAGCCGAGACAACTCGCGCGTGGCTAACGTCAGAGGTATTGAACGGCGTGGGACCAGGATGGACATCTGGACTGAGGCCAAAGGCAAAGCTAAGAAAGAGAAGGCTCCAAAGCCAGAGGCTGAAGGAACAGCCTGAAGCCCAGGGAGCAGTGAGCCATGGGAAAAGATGGGAAAAGTGTGCCGGAAATAACTTCTAACGCACTTTGACAGTCATTCCGTCATGGAGGTTTTTAGTTTTTTTTTACCGCCAAATTGTCGGGGATAGGATATATTCTGTGATGGGGTGTACAACACTCCGCCGAGGTTGAAAAGACCAAACAACAGGACTGGGCAGGGGTGATGGATGCATGGCATGTTTGGGTTTGACATACAATGTAGGTCTGGGACTGGTCTGGGTTGTTGTCTGCAAATGGGGGATGTCATCACATTGCCCCGAAATGGAACACATCAGGTCTGCAAACATCAAATCTTGGGGTGCACTCTTTTGAGTCAAACCAATGTTTTGCCCATAGTTTGGTTATAGCTGGCAAACCGGGGATTAAACTGGTATGGCCATTGAAACGGACCGCCAAATATCACTTCTGCTCGCGGAGTGCTTCATCTCAAGCTAATTCCGATTGAATTGAGATGAACTGACTTGTGAGTGAGTAATTTGCGACCCTTCAGGAAGGTGAATTCAAGCTGTGTAAGGGGATTGATGGGGCCCATAATTTTGCGATGCCGAACAAAGTTAGCAATGTCATCCGTTGCGGAATAGACCCGTGTGTGGCATCATACCTTGTTTCGTGGTGGTTTGAATATGTATTTCGAATCGTTTCTGTAACCAATGCTAACCAATATCTCTGATATTTCTGAGGCCGTGTGCAACCATGAATCAGTAAGTCACTAGCCAGTATATACATAGCATAGCCCATAGATACAATGGTTTTACATGGCTTAAAGTTGGCCCAGAACCATTCACTCCCGAGGCAAAAGGAGGAGGTTTGGTCAACAAGAAAGCGGACAACGTGCCGGAGTGGTATGCCGAGGTTTGTTGCCTCTCAGTCATTGCGAAAATCTCATGAAACAGGTGCTGGTTTGTGTGTCATGCTATGTCATGCTACATACTGGGGATTGCTAGGATGATTTCAGAGAACCAACAAAATTAATCCTGCCGATTCAGAACCAATCAGAAACCAGGCTTTTGCCTCTTTCCAATCACTTCTGTATTTGGCTCGCTGGATGGTCACACTCCGGTGTCTCGTCGCCAGGTCATTGGCAAAGGCCAACTGATTGAGAAATATCCAGTCACAGCCTGAAAGTGAAACCTGTGAAGAACCAGGGATCTACCAACCGTTTTTCGAGATCTCTTGAGTGCGTTGACTAACAAATGCTCCAGTCGCTAAGTTGTTTCTGTTCATGAGCATGAGTTCCATGTGCAAGCATATGTGCAAGCATGTTTTTCCCAGAAGGTCCAATTTGTCAACCAATGGTTATGGCGGCGATTTGGGCTGGTGGTTTGCAATCCCAAGATTTCCTTAGAATTCCTTAGAAATATTGATTTTCCCAAGATTTCCTTAGATTTCCTTAGAAATAAAGTTGATTTTCACTATGAGGTATTCCCACAATGGCAAACCACCAGCATCCACCAGCCCAGTTTGATGAGTGAAGCCGTCGCCATGGTTCCGTTGCAAACCACCAGCCCCTGGCCTACATTGCACACGTTGGCTGAGGTGAAAGGTTGCTTCATTCTGCGCCCTTGGGCCTACAAGCTTTGGGAACAGATCCAGGTGCCAAGCAGGTTTCCAGCTTGCTGGGGTGTGCATGTAAGTAACACTCTTCATTATAACAAAATCAGTATCATATTGCAACCACCATCACTTTGATCATATTATATATATATATACAATATAATATTTTAAAAGATGTTATGTTATTATGTAATGAAATAGTATTGGCATATTTATTACACAAGTGTGCATCTGGACGACATATCAATACCCAGCACTGGGCCTGACAGGGATGGCTGGACAAGAACATCAAGGAGATCGGAGTCCCTTGGTAACATTTGGTAACCAAACCAACGTAGGGATTAAATGGGATTGATATGAACTTCTATATGGTTGATTTATAATGTCTAAGTTGGTTAGTTCAGTAGATTAGCTAGATTTATTGATGGTTATTGTAGATAGTGTAACAAACTAGCTGGGTCCATAAAGCAACACACATAACTCACATAACTGTTTGGCATGACTTTGAGATGTGGAGATGAATTAGGGGATGAGACGCCGATGCCCAGGTTGAGAACTGCTACTTCCCAATGCAGAGGGCTCAGATACGCAAGGGACGCAAGGGACAGCTGGGAAGCTGGGAAGCTGAGGCTCCTCCCAAACACATCCAACATGTTATGGTGCAGTTAGACATATGACTACAGGAAGCATCCAGAGGGACTGTTGAACCGGAGTCGAAAGAACGCATCAGGGCTTCTTGCCATCCAACTTCCGTAGCTCCCACGGTCGCACCACACACCGTGGGGCCGTGGCAGGTTCATTCCGAAGTGCTACATGGAGAAAGAGAGCGACCACTTGGAAGACTTCGCCCCTGAGCTTGCCATGGTCACCAAGTTTGGCAATGAGGAACCCGGTCACCCATGGTCACTTGAGGTCTGGTTCAATGGTTCAAATATCTTCACATGAAAACACACACACACACATGTTCAAATATGTTCAATGGTTCTATTTCAGAATCTATATGATCTACATGCAGACAATCACAATCACACACACACACACACACATATGTACCCTCTGGTAATTTGTTACATAGCTATTGAAAATGGATGAAAATGGTGATTTATAGATATTTATCGTGGATTTTCCCAAGGAAAATGGTGATTTTCCATAGCTATGTTGGTGGATTCACTTGCCACAAACCGTTGCAAAGCTGGGATCGTTGTTGAATCCCACAGGACATTGACGAGCCAGTTGCCATCAGGCCGTGAAGCCCAAGGGACTGCTGATGGATTTTATGCCCATACTAACAATATATATATATATATTATAATATTATAATATTATAATATTATGTTAGTTATGTTATGTTTTGTTTTGTTTTGTTGAGTTTTATACATAACATGCATATATACATCGTTTATAATGAGGATGAAACATATGCCCATACCAAGGCACTCCATGTACCGTATCGCCTCAATGGCGAGCTGGGAACCGCCAGGCCGACCAGCGAAACGGCGATGTATGCGGCCTACTCCGATTGGGTGCAGTCGCATCGAGATTTGCCGATCAAACTCAACCAGCCACTTGGTGCCAGGTGCCATGAAGCAAGGTGGGGGGGGCCCCCCAGTTTGTTGAGTTTGTTGGTTTATAATCCCCATGAAAATTATAGATAAGCCCCGTAAACACATATAAACACTAGATATTGGACTTATAAAGCCACTTGGCCAACTATGGGGCACCAGCTTGTGCCATGAAGCTGGTGGGGTGGATGGGGATATGGATGGGGATTTGGATGGGGATGGGCCCTGTTGGGCAAACAATTGGGAGGAACAAGAGCCTGATTTTGAGCCAAGGATTTAGCAAACATTCATGATGCAGATAGGGGGGCGCTTGCCGTGATCTGGTTGGCTGCCTTGGTTGCCCAGTTCGGCCAGCTCTAGTCTGGCTGGTTGCAACATATTCTAACTGGATTTTTTTTCAAACCAAATTTGCCCCTTGGAGATGATGATGATATATGATGATGATCCCGACACCCCATTGACATGCAAAGATTACCTGGATTTCCCCAGGTGGTGCTCGGTGGTGCGATGGGAAGTGAAGCAGACCACACCTTTCCTGCGGACCCGAGAGTTCCTATGGCAGGAGGGTCACACGGCGTTCGCGGAGAAGGCGACGTTAGGGGAGCTATGGATGACCGATATGACCGGATGATGGTTGAGGGTTAGGGGAAAGATCATGAAAGATCCAAGGAAGGGGTTTATGGATTCGTTCGCTTATCATTTTATGATATGTTTTCCTTTGTTTCGTTCTAAAAATGTTCTATGTGGAGTCGTGTTGTTTCTCGTACTACGTGGGCAACTCTTTCCCGTTCTTTTGCCTCTTCATGTCTTCCTGGTGATCTGCTTGGGATCTGAGAATTGGGTACCCGTGAGTCCTCTGGTTTATCATCATTTTCCCTAATGAAATAGTCGCATTTATAGTAGCAATAATATGTAGTATTTTATTTTTTCATTTTTTTGGTCTACCGCGGTATGCTGTGGTAAATCCCCCATTTCCAGACACAGCCACCCTAAGTCAGGCCCCTGCAGAAGCAGAAGTCTTGGCCATCCTGGAGTTGTACGCCCGGGTCTATGAGGTGCACCAAACATTTTTCCCCATTGCTGCTGTTGGGAGAAATGGATATGACATCAGTGATACATCAGTGGAAAAGTGATCAATTAAATGAGGTGTTTAATCGAAGTAAAATAGCATGCATCATTCTAGATAAGATGATATAGAAAGACATTTTCATGGTTGGCTTCAGCGAGATTGCTATCTGTGGATTGGTTGTTGGCTGTGATTCATGTCATATCGCTGCAACGGTTTGCTGCAATGCATGGATTTTATTGGAATATCCCAGTATGCTGATGTTGTCTTTCTACTTGGCCGACAGGCCACAGTTGGCGGTAATGAAAGTTGCTGGAAGCTGCATAGAGTTACTACAGATACTTACAAATACTCATTCCACATAAGTCAAAATCCTGATGGTCACTTAGTTTATGTGACCATGCCCAATGCCAATATGGAGGTTTCCTAAAATACGGGTACCCCCAAATCATCCATTTTAGATCATTTGAGTAGGATTTTCCATTGCAAATCATCCATTTGGGGTACCCTCTGGTAAACTAACATAACTATGGAAAATCACCATTTTTAATGGGAAAATCCACTATAAATGGTCATTTTCAATAGCTATGTTAAATTACCAGAGGGTACCCTATTTTAGGAAAACCTCCATACATCATACTACGTTCGTCGCTTCCCAGGAGTTGCTGGCCGTCCCGGTGGTGCGAGGAACCAAGACGAAGGACGACCGGGGCAGCGAGGGTCAAGGGCACCTAAGCAGTGTCCACTCAAAATGATAGAACATGTAGCCTCTGGTAAATAAACATAGACCCTGAAAATAGCCCATGTTTAATATTGTTTAATGGAAACATATGGAAACTAATCTTCCAAGCCCTATCTGGCAGGGTCTATGTTAATTTACTGGAGGGTAGTGAATGTATATGGAACATATGATAATAAACCATCGGCACATTGAACCAGGCAAGAACTTCCTGCCGATGATATGCTGCCAAACTTTGCTGGCTCCCTGACGTCCCTTGATCTCTTGTTCTTTCTCAGATATTTTTCTGGTACCAGCAGCAAGAAGGAGGCCCATTTTTTCCAGAACAAAACGGCAATCCCAAGCTTCCAGCTTCGACCAGCCATGCCGGTGCAGTGTCGAATCTATGGAAATGTCACCTGGGAGCTTTATCAATGGTACTGGCAGATTGTATTGGCAATATATCACTTGTAGATACTTGGGTGGCTTACTATTGTTGTTCGGAGTATGAGAAGATTGATTTAACAAAAAACATAGTAATAACAAGTATGATTCCAATTAATTAATCATTATCATTCATAGATGTTTCTGCACCACAACTACATCCTCCTCCACTGCTGCAAGACGCGCACATCGTAGGCGGAGACCTTCCCGGGTGCCGACTACACCACCACAGTGGAGGCTGCAAAGCTTGATGGGTTCTGGGTAAAGGTAGGTGAATCCAGCTTATCCATGGTATACCTGGGCGATTTCAAAAAAAACGGACTTTAGGTTGCTACTATAATATATTATGAATATATATAATATTATATAACATATATATATATATATGTGTGTGTGTGTTAATATATAAATATACATAAAATAGCACAATAACGCCTTTTATTGGATTCGATGGCGTATGTGTCCAACTTTCAAGACAATGTTGCAGGCCTTTATCCCCGCCACGGGCCGGGCCATCCAGGGAGCGACTTGGCGATTTTTTCGGAGCCAGGGGATGGCCAGTGGTTTGATCCATGGGAAATGGAGATGGAATGCATGGAAGATAGGAAGATACCCTCTGGTAATTTGTTACATAGCTATTGAAAATGCTCATTTATACTGGATTTACCCATTGAACATGGTGATTTTCCATAGTTATGTTAGTTTACCAGAGGGTAGTGGAAGATAGAGATGGAAATCGATGTGAAGGATTTGTTTGAAAAAAGTGTGGAGAAACAAACCCACCAAGAGTTCGATTGTGACTCTTGAGGCTGGTGTGAGTCATTTTCCAACTTCCAATGCGAATCACCCCCAAGGGTGTGTTCCATTCAATGGGCTTGTGACCCAGTGGTTGATCATTTTGTCCATTGAAAATTGCGAAATTTAATCCATTCTGCGGTAGGATTCTTGAGGTATACCTACACGCACACACACACATATATATATATATATATGTATATATATATTAGTATATATATATGTATATATATATATATGTATATATATATATGTATAAATATAGATATATATATATACACATATCGTGCCAGGAATACCATTATATAAACACACCATTCTATACCACTACCTTTGAACAGGTCCCTAAGACCTGCCACATCTAAGGCAACCTCGCATCATTTGGGTTGGATGCTCAGAGACGTACAGGCCATGGGCGGCCATGGGCGTGTTCCAAGCATCTGGAACTCTCAAAGATGCATAAACCGTGCATCAGATATGTGGACAGATGTGGTTCAGGTCAGGTCCTGTCCATATCTATCCAACATTTTTTCATGCCTTTTTCCCGGGGCGCCAAGGCCAAAACTTCTCAAAGATGTTCGAAATCAGCTTCCAGGACCCGCTTGCCACCACATAGAATGCCGCCTTGGACACAGCTGCAGCATAGTTTGGTCTCAGTGATTCTTACAGGTGAATGTCCTACCATTACTATCCATTCCTAGTATCGATTCCGGTAGGTTGTTGCGTCAACGTCACTACGAATTATTAGTTCTTGAGTCAATATCTTAGGAACCATTAGATATTGAAAGGGTAAGATACCATTATATATATATAAATTATATAGGTGACATTAGGTGCAATTATCATATGTGTGTTCAACATCCTTAAGATATGATACTAGTCACCATTGTTTAACAAATTGGGCCCAGAGATCCAGAGATCCCACGGCTCGTTTCACGGCGAAGTTCGGAGGATCCCAAGGATCCTACGGGACAGAAGATCGAATACGCCTACCAGAACTCCTGGGGCCTCACCCAGAGAACCATTGGCGTTATGGTCGGATGCCTGGAAAAACTCACTGATAGGCTGATAAAAAACTTGAGATTCGGATATGAAAACCCATACTGTAACTGAAGTTTATTTTTGTTTCATTTCCACAAAGAAATGGCTAGTAACTTAGTATTGATTTATAATTTATACTGTATACTCAGAATTGATCTCAATCCCTGCAGTTGATTGCTGATTCTTAAATATCGGGGGCCCCTTCGATCGCTGCCACTCTAGTCATAGAGTTTCACATCATTTTACCCTGAAGCAAGGGCTGAAGCCATGAAAAGGTCTTGTTCTATATGAATCTGAAAATGGGGTAGCCCAAGATTTTTTTTTTGGGAAAACATTAAAAAAAATAAACTCACTCTCATTTTTATGTTTTCCCAGTATTTGTCACTGTGTGTCCACTTTTTCCCTATTTTCACCATATTTTCAGCATATTTTCCTATACTCAATCTCCCCGGCTTGGATTTTCACTTGGCCGGCGGCCAGACCTCTCCTTTAGGTCATGGTGCACGGCGACGACAAGGGCTTGGTCTTACCGCCCAATGCTGCTGGCATCCAGGCCTTGCACATACCACCCATTGGCCATTGGTGAACTTGGCAATACAATTGCTTTAAACTTTACTAACATTTAGGTGTTATCATTATATATATAATTATATATATATTATCAATATATATATAATCATCTATTAATCATCTATATCTAACCTACGTATATATATATAATATTATACATATATATATAATGATATGATAGGATAGGCGAGAGGGCCTCCAATTTCCCTTTTGGCACAGGTAGTCATGGTGCCGGTGGGCATCAAAGCCACCAGCACAGAGGAGGAGAAGACGACTTTGGCCCAGGCGTGGCAATTTCCCATGATTTTCCCATGAGTTTTCCATGATTTCCATGGAATCTACCCATAAATCTATCAGTTTCCCATGAGTTTTCCATTCGATTTCCATGGTTGATCTACGAATCCTCTACGAATCGTATGGCTTTTTGGTTGTGATCGGATGTAATCGCAGCCCCATAAAAAAAAATATTACATCTAGATCATTAATGGGAAACCAATTGGAAATCCATCCAAAATCCATGGACAGTTTCCATGGGACTATACGAAGGAGGTTAATATACTTTTCATTACATTGGACTGGGGCCACCGTGGTAGTGTTTCTTGGTCAAATTCCATGATCCCAGGTCAATCATCCTTTGGTAATTCCATGAGCAAACGGGGAACATCAAGGGTAAATTCACAGGGATTTTCCAACCAGTGCACCATTTAGATGATTTTCCGGGAGATGATTTTCCTGCCCATTTCTGGCGAGAACCTTGGAACAGGTGTCGAAGGATTACGAGAAGAAGTTGTCTGACGCCGGAATCCGCGTTCTTCTGGACGATGCCGCATCCTTGGTGGCCCAAATGTGTTGGGAAAAAATATGGGAAAACATGGCTACTTGGGGCAGCAATAGCATTGTGCCAGCAGCTCATAGGATCTCATAGGTGTCGAGGTGCTTGAGACGAACAATTCAAGTACTTAATATTAGTAACAACAAGTATAATCAAGTATAAAATCAAAGTATATCATTAGTTAATATTAGTTAATTACCTTGTAATGTGGGTAAAACAATGTCGTAAACCATCCCCCAGTCACCATAAATCATAGGTGCCATGGGTGAACTCCAAGGACAACTCCGTGTCTCCTGGATGGAAGTTCAACCAATGGGAGACTTGGCTCCGATCCGTTTTTTTTTTTTAAAGGTGCCTGCTGTTAGGGTAAGGCAAGGGAATAATTAGAAGGGGATAGAATGATATGGGTTTTTTTCGTGGGATAGGGATATGTTTTTTCGTGGGAATATCCATAGAGATATGCTGGGGATGGCTCCTGGGGATATTTTTTGGGATGTCGTGGGATTTTTCATGGGATCTTTCATAGGATATCGATCGCATCCGGTCGCCGGTCACCTGGCTGGTTGGAAAGTCATCCAGCCATCGAGTAGCTGGGGATTTCCCAGGGAGCCACGTTTGACACCGAAAAATGTATCCATTTGTATGGGCTGGGCCACTGACACTTGTCCACATATATCCACATATCCACTGATACTTATTTTGATATATTTTGATTGTGTTTACACATAGCCATCTAAAAATTGGCGAATCCTATCATGTTGCAGCAACATGGAACCCAAAAAATCGGGCTTCAAAGATGAGTTTCCTTTTTTAATATATAGGATTTCTATGGATTTGTTTGATCATTCTAATCATCTTTCGGATCCATGTGCACCAGGAGATGAAGGGCGTTCCCTTGCGGATCGAGTTGGGTCCCATGGACATCAGCAAAGGTGCGGTGGTTCTGTTGGTGGTGGAAGACCCGCCATGACAGTAGATCATTTTCTGGACTGGACACCAATTCTATTCTTCTCGACATCCATAATATATACTGTATCTGTATATAATATGTTATATTATAATCTATATGTATATATATATATGAAGGTTTACATCTGTTTACATGGTTCACCCAAATTACGCTGACAAATTGTATCAAAGAGACGAAGCGTTGAAATGGTGGTAGAAACTCGGCAGCGGTGACCGGTGGTGTGCCTGTGGGGGTGTGGTGTTTGACCTTTTCATGTTTTGGGGACACATTGTCGATTCTCCCAGGGCTTCAATGCACCAACTGAACAGGCCCCAAATATTCCCAAATCCTCCCATTAGCTAAATGGTGTTTGGATGTGTTTGGATTATTGGTGAAATATGTATAAGTATATATATATATATTAAAAAAAAAAACGTATTGGATATTTCTATTGAAATAGGGAAACCACTGGTGTATCACTAGTCCAACCATCAACTTGTCCCGCCATAGGTCAGTTCATGATGGCCAAGCGAACCGTCTTAGATCCCAAGGTGGGCCGTGGCGCCGTTGCCTGCCGTGGTATCAGTTTCATGTTTACATGACTGCTTATTGGTTGGTGTTTGGGGCATATAAAATCAGGGTTTCTATTTTGCCGTATTCTTTCTCATGTTTTTGTGATTTTCGATCAGTCTTAATTATCTACGTTTATTTTCCGCTCTGCCGGCGATGATGCCATCTGACTAGGGGTTTTCTGCGGGGTTGAAACATGTTAAAAGCACGGAGCAGTATTTATCACGATCCTGACATTTGTATGCTGGCTTGATGTGTGGCGTTTTTTTTGGCGACCCCAGAGCCAAGAAGACCGGACCCAGAGGTGCCATAACAGTCTCCATGCGACTATTAAATGACTAGTTGCTGTTGAATGACCGTTTTTTGGGCTGTGGGAAGTCGCGGTTTGAATGATATGCGCTGAATCATCATCTTGACCGTTTCTTCAATCAAATAGTGAAGGAGAAGGTTGTGGGCAAGCACGAATCCCTTGTGGAAGATGTGAAGAGTACCTTGTCATCAACGGCAGCAGATAGCAAACCTCAAGGGTGGTGGCAGCAAGTTTTAGCTCCCCTAATTTACTCTGAATTCCTCTTATACTATAGCTTTTGTCTAGTAAGTGGGATAAAATCACAAGCCTTTGACAAGAGGATGTAGCAACCGATTGAACATGGATGCCTGATTGTGCTTGGGTGTTTATTTTCAGCATGGGTCCATCTCTGTGCATTTTGGCTTTTGGTAAATCACGGTAAATCTATATATATATAGTATATTATTGTGATTACTTTGCTCATTTGTGCACAATGACATTTGCCTGACATTAATGAATATATAAATACATAATTCTATGATTAATAATTAATTATACTTATACTTTTATAGTGTAATCACATAATTAGGTGCATATCATATGAATGTACTCATGATACTCATGCATATAGCCACCCACATTAATTGATGTCATTTCATATGTTTCATATCGCATCAAATCACATCACATCACATCATAGATTCTATCTATTCGAATTATACCGGATGTTATTTCACCTACGGCTCTTAAACATGATATGAGATCGTCTATAATAGTCTATACATGTCTATACCTAGAAACATGTGGATGTATATTGTGTGAGTGTATGCCATGCATCACTTCATTGCAGGGCTATTGTACTACATCGTAGTGCAGGAATCATCGTCGGCTATATGTGGCCATGCGCCCCTGGAACCAGCTGATTTTCGTGATGATTTCCGCAGATCAACACCCAAATAGTCAGCCAGTTCTGTCCATATCATCCATATACATCCATATACCATGAATGAATGATATCGGGATATGGAGGGGAAAGGTTGAAAGATTCAGCAAATAGTAGAACACGCACACACACACATATATATAATACATACATATATATATATATATTAAATACATATGTATGTATACATGTATTGATCGTGATGGACAGAGAGAGAGAGAGAGAGAGAGAGCGAGAGAGAGAGAGAGAGAGATAGATAGATAGATAGATAGATAGATGGATATATATATATATATATGATGTACATACACGCATACAGGCACACACACACATATATATATATATGTATATATGAGCCGGTCGCCGGACCCCCACACCCCCCCCCCCTCCCCCCCCAATGGTATCCCCCCCCACTCCTAACCCCCCCCACCCCCCCAAAACCTAGTATTTGCATGTTATTTGCACATATACATACACATATACACATATATACTCCCCTTTCCACCCCTCCACCCTCGCATCTCTACGTTATTTGCAGCACTTGAGTCAGAGCCACGACCTCGTCAACGGACCTTGTCTACCTGTATATTTCTATCATAACCTTTTTTCGAACCGCCTATAGCGTGCCTCGCACATGGTTTACAACATATTTTCTACCTATGGATTACGCACAGCTTACCTATGCAAACCTAGACATATGTACAGTAGAAAAACAATATATATATATATATGCACATTCTAGATACTACATATTGATATCTTGATCTTGTATCTATCACATAGTTCGTTTACATTGTACATACTGTACACGTATATATATATATATATGTATATGTATATATATATATATGCATATATATACATATATATATATATGCATATATATATATACATATACATAAACTCTAGATATACAGCGTGTATTGCTGTCGATATTCAATATACCACATATACTATGTAAAATTTATTCAACGAACATATTTACCTATATTGTATATATTACATCTTCTGTGGATACAGTACATGTGGCATATACTATCTATATTCTATCAAAATCCACATATTCGATATATATATATAATATGTAAGATATAAATAGAATATATGCAATATATATATTACACATATATATATATATTGCATATATTCTATTTATATCTTACATATTATATATATATGTTTATATATATATGTACACCACACATACACTCTATATTACATATATTATATTCATTCTAATTATCGATACATATGCACTATATGCACTATATGCACTATATGCACTATAAAGACTACATACACCATGATTTCTATGTATACTCACCAGTGCTGCTCACGCAGTACCTTGGACATTGCTGGCACACTCCTTGCACTGAGCTATATATTTTGCGTATATCGGCTTGGCTGCTGAGAAAACCCCCCCTCCCCTGCCACAGGGGGGGGGGAACCATCTGGCTGGGGAGGGGGGGGGTGTGGGGGTCCCTGCTCATATATACACACTGTATATACACAGATGTATTTGCATATGTCTATAGAAGAGCCACATCGTGCCCGACATCTTTGGTGCTGTGAAAACAGATCAGACATTTTCCCTTGCCTCGAACTGCCTGCTGAACATCAGGAACTTTGCAGGAAATCCATGATCAACTCTATTCAAAGTCGTTGGCGGAACGCGACAGTAGAATGGCTTCCATCGACAAATGGGAGGACATTCTTGGCCGCTTGAAAATGAGATATAATGAGGTTGTCAGCAATCCGAGCAGCAGTTTCAGCGACATTGAACCCCCTGGGAAACTCACTGACCTTGGTCATTTTATCCCATGTGTTCAGACCATACACTGTCTGTTTAAGTCTCTCTTTTTTCTGGGGTCAAAGCATTTGATTGACCACCAGCAGTAAATCATGCAGGTGTTTAGTCAGATCACCTGGTGAGTGCAAAACCCAGCGGGATGTCAGAAAGTCATGGCAGGGTCCAAGTTGTGTATCTTGGGGCACAACTTGGAACTTTGTGGAGGCATTTCCACAGCCACACACTTTGTGTATCTTGGGGCATTGATGGTGCCATAGCGGAAACGCATTGAATGTGCCAGGACTTTAGCCCAAACCTCAATGCGGGCAAGTTGGTTCTGATTCCGTTCCTTGGACGTTGTACTGTTTCATCTCTTGCCGCGGGTGCGCGTTGCTGTAAGGCACCAGAGAAAGTAGAGACTCTAATTTCAATCCTGTAAAAAGCGCAGATTAGAACAAAATGCAGTAAGGAACTCAGATTTCATCCGCACAAGAGGATGCCCAGGGTATATCAGCCCCTGCCATTGGAGGTTCTGCGGCGAACCCGAGTGCGAAGACAAAATCAAGGTGCAGCATGGCCAATGAAATTCACTTTGGTGGACAATGGACCATTCACAAATTGTTGTTTTTCGCGTTCTGTTAATTAGTATGTCAATGTATGTGAACAAATGCAAACACATCAGGCACGAATGCTGCCACTGGGATGATTCATACCCATAAAACACAAGCGCACATACACATATCTATAGCAAATGAATCACAATGATGTATAATATCTATGAGTAGCAAGTACAGTAAATGTAAATACATGTAAATATATGTAAATATAGTAATTTGATGTAATTTGTGCATACATTTGTATCTTGTGTATGTGTGTTTTGTTGCATCAGGATCGACTGGGTGCACCATCCCAACAATGGTCACTTTTTTCAGGAGAAGTCGAAAGAGGAGGCAGCTAGCACGGCCTGGAAGAGCCACACCTCCAAGCTGAGCTCTAAAATTGGGATCCCTAAACCCTAAATCCGATGGGTTTGCCATCACAAGCGATGGCTTTACCACGGGTTATATTTACCTTGGTCTTGCGGACTTGGTTTTAGGGACATCTCACAGGAGATCCTTCTTAGAATGAAGAATTATGTGTTATTTTTCCTTGTAAAGACCGCCTAAGTTATCCAGCCGATATTTTTAGCATCAGCATCCATCAGCATCCAGAGGCACAAGAAGTTGAAGTCGCCGGCGGTCTCAAGATGGGCGCCAAGAGTTTGTGCGTTCCTCATGAGGCCGGTCTGGAGAGAGCTAGAAACCGGGGAAGACAGGGATTTCTACGGAAGTCACCAGTTGGAGGTAGTCCGAACTACTTGGGGATCTTGGGGTTGTAGTGTTGAGAAATATCAAGGAACAAGTGCCATGGAGGACCATCAACGCATTTTTGAGCTGCCGAATGGATCTTGCCCGCACCGCCACTGCTGGCTCCTGTCTCCTCAAGTTTGCCGCGGGCCGGTTGTCACAGATTGGAAGAAACCCGGTGTGCACCCGTAGCAATGGGTGAATGTGGTTTCAACCTGTTTGAACCATTTTATGATTTCCATCCCACCTGAGTTGATAATTCCATTGCCTTCTATCTTTCTGATGCGTTCAAACCACCATTCCGAGTTTGTTAGATACTTTCTTCCGAGGACATGTGATAGTTGGTGTGAAAGAACGTCCTAGACTGGGGTGAGTCTTAGCCGTGCTGCGAGGGTTTACAGCCGACAAAGTGTGGCCACAGAAGAGCGAACTGAATTCATTTGGCCATGGCTCAGGGGTGTGTGACGAAATTATACGAAATTCGGAGCACGAAATAGCACAAACACATGGTCATGGATCTATATCATAAGATGTTCTCATTCTATTTATGACGTTGTGGTGTGCCCCATCAACATCATCCAATGTCCCCAAAAGGGGATGCCCCCCTCGCATCAAATTCACCAAGCAATGGGCAATGGGGGACTCAAAACTATATAATTGGATTAATTCAGCAGATAGGCTGAGAATACCCCCTACTACAATACCAATCGGCTCAAGACTCTTCTTGATGGTCTGATTTTTTTTTAATGGAAATGGATTGGTTGGGAAGCTATCCTGGAAAGCCATTAAGAAGGTCCAATTGATTCATAGGCAACCCATTTTCCTCCACGGAGCTCGGAGCTTGGAAGTGCCCCAAGCACTCAGGATGTCGTTCTCGAGAGTCTGGGCCTGGGGCGTCCTGGGGTTCCTGGGGTTCCTGTGTCCCTCGCCGGAACGCTGGGTCCCGTGGATGGCCACGTTGATTTCTTCAGCAAACTATATAACTATTATATAATAAACTGTTGGCATCATATATCATTATATTTCTTATTGTGGTTGTGTTGTTGTTTTGTTGTTGTTTTCACTATCATCATCATCATCATCATCATCATCATCATCATCATCATCATAATCATCATCATCATCATCATCATCATCATCATCATCATCATCATCATCATCATCATCATGATCATCATGATCATCATGATCATCATGATCATCATCATCATCATGATCATCATGATCATCATGATCATCATGATCATCATGATCATCATGATCATCATCATCATCATCATCAACATCATCATCATCATCATCAACATCATCAACATCATCAACATCAGTAATGGCATTATTTATGCTTATTATCTAAGCTGCGCACATCGCAGCGTCAAGTCGCATATCAGGCATATCAGCAGCTCACCTGTTGAGGTTGCATTGATGTCGCTGCTGGTGACTGGGCTGCAGGGGCGACATCATGATGCTTCGCCTCCGACGAGGGCAAAGAAGAATGGTGCGAATATATTTGGATGGGATGTTTTGGAATGTCATTGAAATAAGAAATTTATGTTTCGATCAAAGATATTTCAAGATTTTTTCTGATTTTAAGAGGTTGAAGTTTCATATTTCGAAGATGTTTGGAGTCATCGATGCTCTCCCTTTTCCCAGGTGCTCAGGAGACCTGCACGAAGTCAGGTGAGACAAAAGAAGGGCTTGCGGAAATGGCCCATTGCCATAAAATTCGAAAGTTGGGATGAAACTCATTCATCCAGCATACCCTCTGGAAAACAGCAACATAGCTATTGAACATGGCCCATAGAAATAGTGGATTTACCCATTTAACATGGCGGATCTTTCCATAGTTATGTTAATTGACCAGAGGGTAAAGAACCATTTCATGGGGATATGTGGCTTATGGATGCTGAAAAGGTCTGAAAAAACTGGTTGACACCATGGAAAGTGGCCATCTATGAAGGGGAACTATGCTTTTCTATTCCTTTTGGAATTAGGTGGCCTATTTTCAGACGAACTCACATCATAGATGTTAATTTGCAAGATGAGTTTTCCTGACATTGCTTCCTTCCAAAGGGGGTATTCTTGGGATGAAAGTGAAACTGCGAGCTAACTTTAAAAACTAGGAGAGTCACCGAAGAATCACATCAAAAGTATCAAAAAGTCATATATCTATATAGTCTGCTCTATGTTTTGACCAATGGTGTTTAAAACAACAGTCGTGGGCCAGGCACCTGTGCGGAGCGACGCAAGGGAGACGTGCTCCTGTAGCTTCGGCTGGTGCCGGGGTCATTTTTTGGAAGGTCATCATCCACTGGAACATCGACTCACTGTGAGATTGTGAGGAACATCTATGAATCTATAACACGCTATGAGACACCAAGACCTTATTGGGATGGGATTGGGATTGGATTGGATGTGTATATGCTATGTACATTCCTACATGTTTTACATATACTCATGAATCTCCAGTCATTTAATCAGCCACTTGTGCTTCAGCACAGCATGCCCTGGGCTTTTTCCGAGGATGCAACTGAAGCCGCAGCTCAAACGCTGGGTTACTCAGGGATGGCACTCATGGCACTCACCATGTTCCGCAATTTGTGTTGCGAGCCAGGCTTTGTCCGAAATGAGCAAATCTTAAAAATACTCTAATTCTGCGACATTTGACGTGCTATCTTTTCCCTTGGTCGTGATGGTGGCTCAAGTTTTCTCATGCTGAAATCTCGCAGCAAGGTGCATGCATAGCCTAGGACCTATAGGCACCTACTGGTGCTTGCGAGATGGGTAGCGATGGAATTCGTTGGCAGGATGCCTTGCTGTGCTTGCAAGATAGCTCTAGGAACAAGATCAGGACTGATGTACCTGGGCTGTACCCTCTGGTAAACTAACATAGCTATTGAAAATGACCATTTATAGTGGATTTTCTCATTAAAAATCCCTGGTGGACGACTGGGAAAGTTCACAACGATGACATCCATGTGACTGTTTTATGATCACCATGGGTGAAACCCCATCGCTTTTGTCAACGACATCACCATTGCATTTGTCAGACACAACATTCACCCCAAGAGCATCAAGAGCATCCTGTGAGTGCATGGTCTGTAGCTATATACTTAAGCTTTTCTGATTTCTTTCTAGATATAGATGGGCTTTACCATTGATCCCCAAGTCATCCAAGGTCATCAGCTACAACAAGATCATCAGCAGTTCGCAGAAAGCTTCCCAGTGGTCTGTGGCCTTGTCATTGCTGCAGCAGCTGCAGCAGCAGCTGCTGCCCAGCATCGTCAGCTGCTGCGCCGCCGTGGCCGCCTGCAGGGTGGAAAGGTCGGGCTGGCGCCGGGCGGCAGGGATGGTGCTGGAGATCCGAAAAAAACAGGTGGAAGTGAACGCGTCCCTCGGAGGTCACGAAAATGGCTGGATGTTTCGAGAATATGCCTATGCTACACTCCTAATTTTGGGGATGAAAGAGATGCTAGACCTATATGTTTTCGAGAATGAGAAATTGCGATGAAATGGGACGAAACGATTTGCCGAGCCAAAAGTGGATGGTGTAGTAGGACAACTGGTTTTTGGATAGTTAAAGTGATTTCGCTGGTGATGGGGATGCCACCAGCAATGAAAAGGATCAATCGAGTAATCAATTAAACCATCGCTGTCTGTGCTTAAAATGTATGCTTACTAAGATTGAACCGCCATGTCAGCTCGATAATGCTACATAAATGTTTTATGGCTTTTGTTTGTGCCCCTAATTATCCCCATGTGGTTCTGGTGTTGCAGGTAGTGTTTGGGGTACCAAGCTCAATTGAGCAGCGTCTCTTAGTCATGAAATGTCATGAAGTACTCCGAGTAAGTGAAGCACAGACGGGTCAGAACTTGGGGTACAGCACACATCACACATCCCAGGATTAAGTCGCTAGCGCCTTTATGAATGCAACAATTTATCAGTGACGACTTCAGGTTTCCAGCTGCAGCATCCCGAAACAGCCAAGGTTTGCCTACAGTTCCATCATTAGCGTTGCCAGCGAGTCAGCGTGGCATACCTGGCACCACGCCATGCTGGCCCTTTGGGACTGCGGGTGCCGCTCCATTGAAACGAACCTGGTTACCTTCAATGCTGCTTGGTGGCTGGATATGCATCGCTTTGGCTCATTTTCAACCCGAATATGTAGCAGGATCTTCAGCGACCTGACGCGACCAGCCATGTCTGACCAGCTTTACCTCTACCTCTTGGATCCTCTTGGCTGATCCAAACCTGCCAGTGGAAAATCATGGAAAATCACTTAAATATCTTAAATGTATGTATATGCCAATAAATCATCAAATAGTATGCCAGCTGGCTGCCAGCATCCTTCACTTTTGATCAACTTTTGCATGTTGTAATCAACTCAGTAGATCCAGCTGCCCAGTGGGGCCGTACGCCCAAAATGCCAGATGTACCTGGCGACATCCCACTGTTGCAAACGGTTCAGTCACCATTTCTGCTGGTCAAATCATGTTTTCATCCACTTTAAATATCTTTAAATCATTTACAGAATCCAATTTCTTTTGTGTCAAATTCCACACTTGTTGGTGAAAGAGCATGCAATTTCTTCCCTCCGACCTGGCTCCCAGGCAACCCTTGACGCCTGCGCCAAGTCCGAGCATTGGAGGCCAGCGCTCAGTCTGGGTGAGACCTTGTGGCGTTGCTTTGTCGATGGCGGTCGGGGACGAGTTCCTATAGACTTGGGGACCTTATGGCAGCTATGGCAGCTATGGGTCTTGCTGTTCCCTAGTAAAATCTGCAACAAGATGGGAAATATACGCACATTTATATATATATAGGACTATTGAAGTGCCTTGTTGGGTCCTCAATTTTATGACATAACCAGATGTCCTGTCAGATTGGTGATGGGGCAGAAGCATTGTGTTGGAACCTGTGGTACCAGCTTACGTGTTTAGGAGAGTGCCAGCGTTTTGACCTATTACATAATCAGTACAGGTTGAAGGGGTAAATGGGATTGGTATTTGATGCATTGTCACAGTTGGCACATCGTTTTCCAACATGCACAGGTCACGATCATGTGCCACCGTCTGCACCTCTTTTACCCATGGCCAACTGATGCCATGTTTGGTGCAAACTAAGGCCCCTTCAAATCCCAATTGTTGGGTGTAAGTCCGGGTAAATCCCTGGTTACCCAGGTCCCCACCCTGCAACCTTTGTGCAGTGCCCCCAGGTTTGACCGTGGAGCCAGACGTCATCAGCTTCAACGCCTGTAGCAAGGCCTGCAGCAGCGTCTGGGCACAGAGCCTGGAAAGCTTCGAGCGCTGCCGGAGAGCTGCAGTGGAAGCCACTGTGATCACTTTCAACTCGTTGATCTGTTGCTGGGATCTCAGTTTCTAAAAATTGGATGAAATATGAGGGCATGTACTGGGGATAGAATGAGGATATGACATAACCAACTAAAAATACCTATGAACTACAACAATCCCTACCCCGTTCACATTAAAAACCACCCTTCTACGGTACCAAATATGTGATTTCATCCCTTAGATCCATCGTTTCTGGAGGGTATTAGGGGGATGGGATGATGAATATAATTAGAATGGCCATGCCAATTCATCAGTTTCTGCTAAATACATGAGGTAATTTTTGAACAAAAGGATCATTAAGCCGCCGGTTTTGATATGATAACAACATAATTTGTATCAATTTGTACTGGTTGTTGATGCCCATGGATACTTTCCTGTCCCTGTGCAGTATAATTTGCTAACTATATATATATATGTATGTAAATAGTAATTATTGTAATGACTTACAAGACCGGTTTTTTGAATATATTACAACCCAACAATGATGTCATACAGTTATACATCCGTTTTTTGTGTGGATTCTGTAGGATTTTGGTCATAATTAATGGGCTCCCACTGTGAACCGGAACAAGAATGGGCCCTTCAAAGAGGGGCACACTTTCGGCCAAGCAATGCAGGCCATGCCAATCCAAGGCTTCCAAGACGCCTGGCCGCGGAATTTGCATTTGCTGGAAGAAATTCATAGCAACCGCCTGCAGCCAACTTTGATTACCATGAACTCCCTGCTGAGTGCTTGTGAGAAAGCATCTGAATGGCAGCTGGCTTTGCAGCTTCTGACGCTAGACATGGGTGTAGGTTCAATGGGGGGAAAACATTCGCGCACAGTACCTTTGATCTGATCGTTTGAATTCCCATAGGTCAGACGTTCCAGCAGATCAACCCCAGACTTTCCAGATGGCCCAGCCCAGGACGTCCACGCTGATGCGTCCTGATGTGATCAGTTTCAACTCCTCCATCAGTGCCTGCGAAAAGGCCAGTGCCTGGCGCAAGGCCTTGCGGTTGCTGGATGATCTTGATGACATAAGGCGACTCAGCATGACATGACAGCAGGGCCACTTTGGGCCACACTGGATGGAGAAAAATGGAGAAAGCAGATATTTATTGGAGAACACCCCCCCAGCGGCAGGTTTGGTCACCTAGAGGTGTCACATGATTTCCTATGATTTCCTATGATTTCCTTCAAAACCATCTTCTACTTGGTTGGATTTTTCCACGGATTTCAACCATGGTCTGTTGAATCTTGGGATGACCCTTGGGAATCTCCAGTGCGATGAGGTTGAAGCCGCTTGGTGGCAATGTGTCTCTGCTGGGCTTCAATCAACTCATGGGGTCACCGTGGACCGAAGGAACGGGTGAGGCTATGTAACTTATGGTAAGCATATCTAACCCTTCAATGCACTTGCTGGTGGTTTCAACTCAAAATTTCCAGGCCTACTTCGGAGGCAGATTTCGTCTGAAAATAGCACACCCCTAGATCCAACGGTTTATCAACATTTTTCCCAATGAAGACTGACATGTATGTTCAAATGGCCTTGGGAGAAGCAAAGCTTCGGAGCGTTGTCAAGCTTGGGGCTCAAGGAAAGACGTCATCACCTATGCTGCAGCCGTATCAGCCTGTGAAAAGGCAGCTTAGAATGGAGACTGATTTGGGGCAAGCCGTGGCATGCCACAAGGGTGGAGAAGGTGGCAGATTTCAAGGCATATTGCAGTTTATTTATGTTTATTTTGGTTTTCACACACACACATATGTATATATATATATACAGAATTATATATTCTTACTTGATCTTACTGGTGTGATCTGGTGGCCTCAAATGACCATGATATGTTCCAAGAGGCTGACTTTCTTCAGCTCTGCACTGCACTAACTTCTCACTGCAGGGCCAAGTCATGATGATTGATGGTCTCTGGAGGGTTTTCCGACGGTTGCCCATTTTTGGACCCATTTGGACAGGTTTAGGATCCACTTGGAGGATCATCCCAGTTAATATATAAGTGATTATAAGTCCCCAAGTTCATAAGTCTCCCAAGTCCCCAAGTGGGGTTATCTGGTTATCCTACAACTGGGTTATAACACCAGCTACTAACCAACTACCAACTGGAATGATCCTCCAAGTAGAATGTGCACAGATTCAACTGCTCTGGTTTGTTCCATCCATGGAATGAGTAATGATTTCTCACCAGTGACCAAACGGGATGATTATCCCATTTAGTCCCATTTATATTTTGGGTGGGTACCAGATATAAATTTGGAATAAGTCACCCCATGTTTGATACCACCATTTTTGGGATTGGAAGCTCGACAACCGACCACAGAGCAACCTGGATGATCATCCAAATTCATTCATGATTATCATATTATGATTTTATATTATTATATATATATAGGATTGTTTGAACACTTGAAAACAGCATTAAAAAGCGAACCGATATCTTTTCCTGATAAAGATCCCCTTTTTGGAAAACTCGTTGTCCCAGCCGAAACCCTGAGAAAAACAAGTCCAGCACAACCAGTCAAGTCCAGCACGTCCAGGCCTTCGAGTGGCAACAGGCTGCTGCGCTGGTCGCAGAAGCGAAGCGGAGCAAGGTCGGCGCCAATCTCATCGTGTACAGTGCCTGGGTTTTGCGGGGGCCACATGTCGAAGAGTGCCCAGTGACCCAGTGGAATGCAGCTCTGTCAGTCTATGGTTCTTTTCAAATGTTGAAGATGTTGAAGGGGAAATTCGCAGAAAACACATATATATATATAATTATATATATATATATATTGTTTACTGTGTCCTGCGCATTTCCCTTTGAAGCAATTCTGGGAAATTCGTATCAGCATGTATTGGCAATTCTACGGCTGGAACATGACCTTAACCGCAGATATCAGTGGTATCGAGTATAGTTGAGGATCTCCGAGTCTCAAGCAATCCATAGATATCGATTGGTCTATTAATATCCAGTATTCAGTGGCCATTAGTGAAATCCCAAGTCTGAACGATAACATTATAGAATCCAATACAGTAGTTATAATTTATTAATATATTACAAAATTATCACACACACACATATATATAATTATGTTATTTTATATTGCATTATATACTGGTTGGTGGTTTGGAACATGTTTGATTGTTCCATATATTGGGAATAAGAATCCCAACTGACTTTCATATTTTTCAGAGGGGTAGGTATACCACCAACCAGATTATATTATGTTATATCTTGGTTTATCCCTACCAATTCATCCATCTCCCGGCCCATCTCACTGGTGAGCCACCGAGGTGCATTGCTTAGCGCCTACGAGAATTCCTCCCAGTGGCAGCGTGCCATCCACCTGTTGGCGCAGCTGCCGACCTTGCGCGTGCAGCCCGATGTTGCTGTGGCGAAAATGAGTCTTTTTTTTTAACCCCGCAAAAAATAGTGCATGTAATGGCAAGAATGATGATAGACTATGATAAACTATGGGATTTTCATGGGATTTTTAGGATACCTCAGGTATCCGAACATTTTCAGACAAAGCCAACTATTGGCACATGTTTTGACCAGTTGGGGAAAGTTGTTGGCGAAAAAAATCGAAAAAAGGTTATGTTACATCTCTACATTAGGTAGGGGTATGATGGAATATACATATTAAGCACTACATAGGGATAAGTATATATGCATACTGTATGCAATCATAGATGAGCTTCAAGGTTGAGATGTTCACCAAGGTCATCGCATTTAATGCTGCCATCAGCGCCTGTGAGAAGATGGGCATGTGGCAACATGTTCTCCGGCATGGATGATGTTGGTATCCAATTTTTTAGTTTTTAAAATGCACCCCCGAGAAACCAATGGGTTTGGGATGAAATATCACATCTGACTGGGACCATAGAAAGGGGATGGTTAACATGAAGTAGATGGGGATGAAATTTTGAGTTGTTTGCTCCCCTTTCTTTGCCCGTTTTTCTGACGTTGAGTGGCTCTTGGGCTGGGGGAACTGAGGCCCTCCAACTCTTGCACCACCTCAATTCCTGGAATTCCGGGCGCAGCCATAGCGTGATCAGCCACAATGCTGCCATCAGCAGTTGTGAGAAGTCGGCAGAATGGCGCTGGGCCCTTTCTTTGTTGTGTCACGGTGGCAGCTGGATTGGCTTGAAAGAGACCTCTACAGTAGCCCCGATGTTTTTTTTTAAAGAGATGATTGCTTAACCATCAAGATATAGATTATATAGGTGATTCATCAATTAATGATGGTTGATCACCTATCATGATTAGGTGATTCATCAATTAATGATGGTTAATCAATGTTAATCACCTATAATGATCTTCTGCTGGGATTTTTGTTGGGGGAAACCTATGGTAGTTACTGGTAGTTTGTCACTGGAAGTTGCAGAGGCCACCGGTTTCTGAAGTTTTTTTGGCCTCAAAACTGAAGACCAAAGAAAAGAGAACTAGACACTCAGTGACGCTCTCATGATCCATGGGAAATCTATAAAAATATATATATATATAGTTATATATATATATAGCTCTAGTTATTTATATGTTCATTTATTTAGTTGTGGATATTCAATGGTGATGAGCGCCATTTCTGAACTCAGCATGCGGGAGAAACCAAGGTACAGCATTCTGAAGGCCGGTCCGAACTGGGTGGCACTCCAAAATTGCAACTGTTTAATGGGGAACTTCAGGGCTCAGCGGTATTTAACAGCATGTCTCTACATGTTTTTTCCTTCCAAAGATTTCCAAGTTGTAAACGAAAGTATATATTAATATGTATCTTATTTATGCATATATATATATATGTATCTAGACAGGTATTAAAAAACATTGTGAAACAAATGCTGGTTTCAACGCGTGTTTCAAATCAGAAAGTACAGTTCAATTCAGGCAACAGCCACCAGCAGACTGCAGGATCCATCCTTGAAAGTGACCATCATCAGCTTCAACGCCAGCATCTCAGCCACTGAGAAAGGGGCTCAATGGCCCCAAGCTGTGATGCTTCACCAGGAGCGGGTGAGATGGGTCACAATGGCCCAATGGATTGGTCACAAGATGGAGGCTAATTTCATGACCCAGATTCCCGCATTTTGTTGTTATATGCATGATCTATATAGTGTATACTTATATATGTAGTGTATACTTATATATATATAGTGTATATTGATAGTGTATATATATATAAAGATATAACATGATAAAACACTATATATATATAATATTTTTATATAATTGTTCCCTCTCCGATTGTTTCACTGTTTCTTCTTGTTCTGAACTCCAGAGCTTAGATAGCTTTACTGAGCGTCCATGCTCTGCGGCCACGTGACATTCCAGGAAGCAACAACTCAGGGTCTGCAGCTGGATTTGATTAGCTACAATGCTTGCATCAGTGTCACTGGATCTCAAAAGATAGGCGGAACTGTGAGCCATTCCACCCCTAATATATCTGAAAAAAACTGATTGATGATTTCAACCCTCCAATCTTCTCTTAAAGTCTTAAAGTCTTACACCCATGCTACATATCTGAATTTCTGATTGATATGAAACCCATGGATGATATATATATGAATTTCTGATTCTTGATGATTTCAACCCTCTTCTCTTAAAGTCTTAGGGTCAGAACTTTGTGGCATGGCAACTCATAGATATTTTGTTTGGTGCTAAACCCTCCAAATGCTGCTGCACCTGATGATTTGATTTGTGGCTGACACGATCGTTTTCTGTGGATTTTTTTAGACATTATGATATCCCCATAGTACATATATATGTATGTATATATATATATTTATTTACTTATTTATTTACATTAATTATATATGTTGCCTGTTTCGTGACCGCATGCTCGCCTCTGCCTCTGGCAGTCTCATTTGACGAGATGACGATGGAAAGGGATATATATATATACATGTATATGTACAAGTTTGTGCTATTTTCGCATTTTTACTATATAATATTTACGTAGCTAAATACGCATCCTGTCATTAATCATGGTTGTTTTTGATAATGACAATAACTCAGCGAGAGATACTGATAGTCAAGCCATTTTGGCTCAAGGGGGTTCCCACCCCCTAGCCTTCATGTACCCGGTCGTACTCTCTCTGGGGGGGGACCGAGGTTCCGGGGGCTACCGACGGCAGACACGTGTGCCTGGCCGTCACTGCGTGGGCCACTCTCGGCGGTACCCTCACGCCGGCCACGCAGGGCGCTCCGCCAACCCCGACGGCGGCGCCAGCCTCTGGAACCGAGGCGGCGCCTCCTCCCTACAGCAGGCCGTGGCTGCCACCGCGCTCGGCGTCAGCTGGGCTTACCCGCGGCTCCCCACTGGGGATGCTGGGCCGCCTCTCCCCGATCTCCTTGATCTGGCGGCCGCCGCGGGACCAAGTCGCTTGCCCTGGCGATAGCAAGTTTCACCCCAACTCTGCGGGATCTAAAAAGGCGCGCGCGGAAAAAAAATCATCAAAATTCCACTTTTTATATCTATCAATATATATAATTTATATATATATACATTTTTTTACAGTTATATACATATGCATGTAATGCGTGCAAATAAGGCCATGAGCACTGGCCCGGCTGCTCACAGCCTTTACCTTCGCTGGCCTTTGGCGCTGGATCTTTGCGCCTCAGCAGTGCAAAAGACGTTGCGGCCGCGGCAGGTGACGTTCAATGCCTTGGTCTCGGCGTTGCGAGGCGGATGCAATGGTCGTGAAAAGGGGTCATGTTAGTAAAGCAAATAACTTGGGTGGTTGAAAAACCAGCCATAAAAATAGTAGAATTGGGGATGGTGGATCCTGGATTCTATTGCTTTACTAACATGATATGGTTATCCGAAGGGCAATCATGATGAATTAGTGGATGGAATGGCTATTTTCAGACCAGCCCATGGGCAAATGCCGGAGGAAATTCCAAGCCAACCTGAGGGAATTAGCGGGATCCGCCAGTTGGAGAGTGATACGATATGGATGCCCTTAAGCGTAAAGAAGCAAACATGAAAACTGGACAGGCCCATTTTCAATAGGAAAGATGTGACAGATGCAGACATTTTGTTGGATGGCGATTGGCATCAGGAGGGTTGGTCTGAACATAGGATACCCCCACGAGCCCCATGGTTTATCATTGTTTTGCCATGAAAATCTTGCACTGCTTGGGCAGTTTGGTGTTTGGACACCCCGCAGGTGCCAGTTGGGCGCTTCCGCTGCAGTTCCTGAAGCAGATGAGGGCAGGAGATGTGCAGCCTGACATGATCCTTGGCCGGGGGCAGTGGAATGGATTTGTCATTAGTGTTTCCCCAGGTTTCCAAACATCCCTGGGACCGTTTGGCAACCTAACAGTATTCAATTGATCATGATGATCGGTAAATCGGTAAATCATTTCTTTTAGCTATGTGAACTACCAGAGGGTACATCTGCCGCTTCCCAGGATCACGCTTGAATCCAGCATCAACATTTGTGAACATGTCCAGAAAGGATACTCGGTTGTCTCATTGCTCCGTGAAGTGCAACAGCTAGTGATGCCAACTGAACCCTGCCTGGAGTCTCCCTCGGCTCACCCGTTGAGGGCCAGTAGGGTTTAGCTGTACAGCAAGCCGTCCATTGAGGGAATGGCTGGATGTACATTTTTCAAGCCTCAGTTCTTCCCGTTTGTAGCTCCGAAATGGCAATGCCGTATGTGCAGAATTCGTCATCCAGCTTAGGTGTCAGCTGGATTGCCCATATTGTGCCTGCTGACCATGGGATATGCAGTGCCAAGCATCTCAAAAGAGCTCGCACGATGTTGCTATGGAAAACATAGCTATGGAAACATCACCATTTTAAATGATCTACACATGGGCCATTTCCCATAGCTATGTTAGTTTACATTCCAGGAATTCACGAGATAAATGACCTCAACTTAGGAGAACTGCTGGATCACCCAGGTGGTATAGAGGAAGCTGTTCCTGATCCAGCCGCCTTTTTTCTGCCAGCTTGCTGCTTCTTGGCGGCGGTTCTCGAGATTTCCTGGAGCAATTTCCTGCTGGTGTTTAATAATATCGTAGGACCATTTACCTGGCCTGGTAAACGTTTACATAACTATGGGAAATCACCATGCTATCAATGGGTAAATCCACTATTTCGACTGGGCCATTTTCAAGAGCTATGTGGCTGTTTACCAGAGGGTACCATTTGCTTGGGAGATTCATGTTTGTAGGACGTTACGAGAACTTGGTGTGCTTGTGTGGTGCAAAAACACCCTCACCTGGAGATAGAACATGTTTGAGACATGTGTCAACTCGTGTTTTTTGTTTTTTCCCCTGATTTTCTGATGTTCATCCTAGTTTGGGATGAGAATTTCAAAGATGGGCGTCAAAACCTGTGATACCATGGGGCGATGAACACCATTGCTCAGTCATGGCACAGCAATGTTGGCATTATCATCCAAGAATGCGAGGTGATTATCCCCAATCCCAGCAATGTTTATGGGAAACAACATGATAAACAAATTCAAATCCATCTATTGTTCTTTTAGAAACTAGGGTTTTCCTGAGTTTCCTGTAGATTTCCCCAGCAAAACCAATAGAGCGAGTGGCCTAGGTTTGGGATGCCATCACTGGTGCTCGCCAAAGAATCTTGGCATGTCCTGAGGAAAGATCAAATGTGTGGTGTCATTGTCCAAATTGAGGGCTTGAAGTCAAAACTGTTGGCATTCCATGTCTTAAAATAACGCGACATAACATTTTCATGCATCATCCGCAATAAACGCTATTTTTGTGTAATTATCCGTCTTTTTTGGACAACCATACGATCTACATGTGCAAAATCAATGCTTGGGCATACCCCATGACAAACTTCGTCACAATGATGTTGCACCTTGAGACACTAATCGGTGGAGATGGCCTGAACTGCAATTCAAGAGCTGCGTGCGGCTGAGATGTTGATCGATGACAAATATATGGTTGTTTTACACATTTGTCTGAAAATAGGCTAGCTCTGCTGTAAATCCTACGGCGACTTGATCATCATTTTCCCATCATTTCTGGGGTTTTGGGCATCCATTTCACCGGCTGGTGATTGCTCAGGAGCGGGCAGTGCATCTTGGCTGGTTTTGATCGAAAAATCATAGGGAAATATGGGAAACTATGAGAACATCCACGAACTAAATGGAGGTTTATGTCTGGGAAACTCATCAACCTATTTCTGGTGGATTTATTACTGCGATGTTTGATGACACCGGAGGGTAGTAGATGTTGTGCACATTAGCAAACTTGGGATTTTCTAGTGCCATATAGTGCAATGTTTCGATACCAGCTGGTATTTTTGTCTACCTTCCTTCGAAGCTAGCTGACAATGCCATCAATGCTCTCCTCGATGCTCAAAATCCCACTGGCTGATACATTGGCATTGTATATAGGCGCAATAGTCAATTCCCCGAACCACTCAACACCAACCAGAAACCCTGCTTGAATATATGCTTATAATATGTTTTTTGCTCATTTGGTTTCATTTTGGGGTCCCACATGGTGGATGATTCGTTTCTTGAGTACTGTAGATGAGATTTGCGAATCGCTCATCTTCGCAGATGTCCCACCTGATTCCACCCGCAGGTATGAAACTTTTCATTAATCATTTCAACATATTTCAACCATCTACCCTCTGGTAAACTAACATAACTATCGAAAATCATCATGTTTAATGGGAAAACTCACTATTTCAATGGCCATTTTCAATAGCTATGTGGCTGTTTACCAGAGGGTATCCCAGAATGGGATGAAGGGAAAACACTGCAGGCGTTTTAGTTACCAACCATTTTACTGTAATTTCCACCAGTTTGCCAACCATGTTGATTTCCAGCCACTTTAACCAACAATAATAAATAAAGTTGGAATTCATTGGATAACTCAACTCTTATCAACAATTCATCAGCATTCTCAGCCACGATGATTTCAAAAACTATATGTGCCAACTTAACTATACCAACCATTGAAAACTTCCTGCCATTTTCCACAGGATCCTCTGGAGGATCTGGATGCCGAGGTCATGACATGCAGGCGAAGTCCTACTACAAACCCTGCGCTCGCTCGACTGAGACTATCCCCGGTGCGCTGCTTTGGGCCGACGTTTGGGACCCCAGGGGAACGGCCGCTGCCGGGAGCCGCTGGCTGTTGCCGGTTGCAGCAAATCAAGTTGCACTGCGGGCAGGAGTTCGAGGGGAACGAAGTGAATCTCTCGAATTGGGTATCTTGACTGCAGAAGCAACGCCGCAATGTTTGGAGTGAAAACTCTGCAGGAGAGGATTTCCAGATGAATGTATTTAAATATTGGCATTGCAGCCTTCAAAAGATTGAAGCCTTCAAAAGTGCAGTGCATCACTTGCCATGGGACTACATGGGCGCACAAATAGAGCTGCCATCAGAAACCGTCGGAAGGTTCAGATGACGGGCGTGGAGGAAGTGAAAGATGGGCAGCTGCACTACACTGATCACAGGCCGGGTGCACAACACCCAGAGGATCAGTTGGAACGGTGATGGAATGTCAGCACCAAACTCAACAACCTTTGTGCCATGATGGTGACATGCCTCAACTCGATGTGAGACATGCTTGCTGTCTTCGATTGTCACTCAAGTAGTGCTTGGTGTCACGTGCCTGCCCAATCCTCAACCCGGTTCATGTCATCATTTGGGGGATGGGGGTTGCTTACCTTACCGCGTTCCTTTCTGCGAAGGACCAATTCTTTTGTGGAGAATGGTGTGCTGAAGATTGTGGCAAGCTGTGAGGTGTGCCGCCAGGAAGTAGCACAAACAATCTGCAGGAAACCCCTTTATATTTCTATTTGATGATAAAAACCCTGGGTTTCCTGTAGATGTTCGATGATTCGCTTAAATTTAAACCATGTTGAACCAACCCCTTGATTTTACAGCCGCTGATCTGCCAGAGCTGCCAGAGTTTTTTCTACTCATTATCTTTTTGCAATTCCATGTTCAGCTGGCTTCCTGTCCGCATTTCTCATGCTAAATTCTTGTTGTCCTGCCAGCTAAGCAAGGAGTCTGAGATGGGCAAGTACACTTCGGCCAAGTGCGCTTGACTGCACCTGGTGTGGTCATATTCGGCGTGTTATGCAATGCTACGCATACATGTGCGCCTCTCATGACATACGTCGATATATGTCGCAATATATGATTATAAATTATGATATTGATTGTGTTCTTTGATTGTCTAGATGGCCCAAACCACCAGAAAACTCCAACTCCTCTTGGAATTGTCCAAATCAAAGCTACCAAAAGCGATCAATCATTTCTGGGTAAATTATAGCGACCTCAGAACGACCACACTGTAGATGGTGGTTAGGAAGGTGTTTTTTTGGCGTGTCCTGCGTAGTACGTCAATCTGAAGAAGTAGTGAGAGATGCTTGAGAGAAAAAGAAAGAGAGAGAGAGGAAGAGGAAGAAGAAGAGGAAGAGGAAGAGGAACAGAAAGAGGAAGGGGAAGAGGAAGAGAAAGAGAAAGAGAAAGGATAAGAGAAAGAGAAAGGAAAAGAGAAAGGGAAAGATAAAGAACAGGTTGCTTTTGTAAAAGGCTTTTCTTTCTTCTCTTGGCGCCAGGATCAGCTCTGGAAAAGTTTGCTGCAATTGTGAACCCTGAGAACAAACCTACTAAAGTGAATTGGACCCTCTCATGGCCCAGTGCATTGGAAATTTGTGTAAAATCTGTTCCCTAATAAGGGTTTAATAAGCGGTCTGATTCTTTTGGGAAAGGATTGGGCTTTGAATTTGGCAATTGCTTGTGGGAAAGGCCTACGTTTTTTTCTTGGCTGCAGGGTCCGCTCTGGAAAAGTTTGCTGCAATCCGCTCTTGAAAAGTTTGCTGCAATTGTGAACCCTGAGAACAAGCCTACTAAAGTGAATTGGACCCTCTCATGGCCCAGTGCATTGGAAATTTGTGGAAAAACTGTTCTTTAATAAGGGTTTAATAAGCGGTCTGATTCTTTTGGGACAGGGAGAAAAGCATTCTTTTTAGAAAAAATGCTCGGTGTTTTTTACACAAACATTTTTTTGGATAAAAACGATTGCCTCCCAAAAATTTCTTGCCACAATAGTGAACCTTCCAAACATTACATGGGTTCAGAATAATTTGGAAGATTCTTGCCACAATAGCGAACCTAGCCACTAATCAGGATACAACATTAATTAAGTACTTGGAGACAGAAAAGGGCTGAGGTACATTGATTTACATTGATTTACCATACGTACATTTACCATCTCCAAAACTGCGAAGTGAATGCAGCTGTTCAATCCCTGGCCGAGGCTGTCCACTCAGGATCGCTTTCACTGGGGTCCGGGTCACCGATTGGAGATCAGAGCCGCTTGACTGCGGGGAGCCTTCACGACTGCCTTGGAGCTGTGAGTCACAAAGACTGACACTCCCAGAATGCTTCAATTTCCATAGTGTCTTAATTTATGTCCTTGCTCCAAAAAGTAGCAATTTCAGTTTTCCCCCGAAAAACGCCGTTACGAGAGAAATGGACGGTGACTAATTACAGGAAATTGCATCAGAACTTGTCGGGTAATGTCGCCTTTTTGTCGCAAATTGTCGCCGTTGCGAAATTGAACCAGCTACTGGTAGACCCAAAAAAACATCGCTGACGTCTAAAACATTGTTTTCTGACAAAAGGTAGGAAAAAACACACTATTGCGAAGATGCAGGTATACATCGTACAAGTCCGTACGCGTATAATAAAAATTAATAAAATATATATATTTACTTATTATATATATATGTGTGTGTGTGTGTGTTACAGTATATATTAAAACCACATTATGAGGTTAATCCAGATTGATAAAATACTAGATTTGTTTCATAGAGCGAGATGGTGATGGAGAGAGAGAGAGAGAGAGAGCGAGAGAGAGAGAGAGAGAGTGATAGAGGGAGTGTTTGAATAACTAATTTAGAAAACTATATTTGAATTTAACCCGACAATTAACACTCAGGGTTTGCCCTCATCCGGGGTTGACAATCCCACTGAATCAGGTGCATATTATCATGATTCATCATGTTCTGACTTAATGGACGCCATTTACCCTTTGGTAATTTCACATAGCAATGGAACATCCGCATTTATAATAGGTAAGTGAACTATTTGCAAACAGTTGAATTACAGAGGGTACTCCATGAATATCCCAAATCTCTCAGAAAATCATGATGACATATCCCAGGAATCTCCCAAGGTAGACCTTTAAAAATCATTCCATCCCCTTGAGCCCAGTGATCCTGCTTGTGATGCCCGATCTGGCCGATTGAGGCGCGAGTGCCCAAAGGCCGAGGCCTTTGGCCAGCGATTTTCATGCTTCCCTCCAAAGGTGCGGCAATCCAAAGGAGCGCCCAAGAGATCCAAGAGATTGGGATTTAGATGGATTTAGCATGATTTAGCCAACCAAATCACAAGAAATTTAGCACAACATCGGGATTAAGCCAGGACACATTAGGATTGAAGCAGCGCAAATCAAGATTCCTCCACCAGGGAATCTGACAATAGTTGATGATTCTATTGCTTCAAGTACAGTCGTTGAAGCCAATGTAGGGTTGATGATCGTATCGCATTATTGCTTTTTTGCAAGACTACCCCCTTCCATCCGCATTCTTTCATGCTCAATCCGGAAATAGGGCAAAGATCCAAAAACTGCAATTATCAAAAAATGATGATTACCCAAGAGATTATATATATAATATATATATATATAAGTATATGCCTCGGAGCTCCTCCGCTGCAAAAAAATGCAGCGATTTAATGTTTATGATCACGCGCGGACTTCGGTGACGGTTCATGCCACGGCGGTAGCAGTGGCAGTCAAACCAAGCCAGGTCTGGACATGATAAGTGATTGCCAAAGTGTAGCCAGTCTCAGGTGGACGGCCAGGACAATTTGTGTACAAAAGGTTTGCAAGCCTTCAGTGTATCCAGCACTTGAGCGAGAACTCAGTGAAGCCATAGTTAGAACTTTGCTGGCTGCAAGCACAAAAAAACTGGCGCACTGATCCACTGAAAAGATGGTCAAAACCCTGTAGTGCCAGAATGTGGGCATGGCGCCCGTCATGTCTGAATCCAAACCGCAGAGCCACTAACAGATTGAAGACACAAGGACGTGACGTAAGGGAGAAAATGCTCTCCCGCAAAGTTCCTCAAAGCAGGACCCGCTTGCATGCAGGAAGGGCCAGGCTCCGGCTCTCGTGATGTATTCAACTCCAAACTTGTTCGGCATAAATAGTGTTCCAGGTGAAGGACCAGTCTAGCGGCTGTATTGTACCAGCTGTACCAGGCATGGAGTTTGAACAAGCTGTTCCGGGGGATTTGTGTTCTACAAAGGCCATCGCAGGAACAGACTCAAGCAGCAGACCGTTGCATAACTTTGCAGACAAAAAGGTGAAAGTGCTCTGAGCACAACTCGTCAATGTATGATGCAGCTGCTGCGTCCAAACGAAAAGGCTAACGCCATCCTGATGGCAGAAGGCATCAAAGAAGTTCACGCCATGATTGAACCGACCCTCAACCTTCTGCTGAACAGCTCTATACCACTGGTAGGAGTTGAGCCGAGAGCTATTGTTTATGATCAAATTTCCGTTTTTTGGATTGAACCCAAAAAACGATTCAAGTGCCTGAACATCAGGTTGTAAGAGGATGTAAGAGGCACTGAATATGATGTAATTCACACGTGTTCCACCCACGCCTCAGCCATTTGTGTTCACTTTTCCTTTCCTTACCGCTGCACCTATGTGCTTTCTAGGAGGACCTGTATTATTTGATATTTTTGTGTGCATGGTGCATGCATGGACCATGATTTTTGACACATGTTGACAATGTGGGATTGAGAGCATATGTTTAGCAAAATCCTGCGACCCAAATTAACCGCAAAACGCCCGCAAAAGTCCCGCAAACGCGCGCAAAAAACTGTCAAACGCGCGCAAATCCTGATTTCAGGTACTTTAGGGTAACTTGAGTCGTTTTGCAAACGATGCATTTTTGACCATGTCTGAAGGAAAATGAATTCAATCGCTCTCACGCCCATTCTGTCTGTTTGAAATTACCAATTAAGCAGAAGGGCTTGCAACCTAATTAGGACGCTATTACGGATTGATGGTATCCTTATGGGGCAATCACGATGATCACAAACTGTTTCTCCAAAGATTGCCTTGTTTTCATTTTATGACTTCAAATCGCTGCGTTTTTCTCCGAAACGCCTCATTACCTTAAACGCCTAGAATTTTCCATCAATGGAAGCTTGAGGTACATATATTACACACACGCATACATTTTTTTCCGAAGCGCTATGCAGCTGAGCCACACGTCCGCAGCAGCACACCCAAAAGTGGTTGACTACGTCAATTTTGGGGCTAGAAGAAGTGCGTAAGAAAAAGTAGAGGATAATGGCTCTTTTGGGAAACGCTGCTAACTTGCAACTTATACGTGGAACCGGATGGAATGGGCAAGGTGGGACCCATCCAACGAGGGCGTTGAGAAAGCAATTCGCGATAACCACGACGATTTTGTCGGTGGAGTAAAATAGTTTGAAGTTTATGATTATGGGCTGTTTCGGATCTAAGATTCTGATGTGAACGATTCCGCGACGCACGGCAGTGTTCGTGACCACAAGTCTGACTGTGAGGAGGCAAATTGTACTGGAAGGAAATGAATGATCTTTCAGAAGGACCATGGTCTCCCGGCCCTGGCGGCCCCTGCCAGCTTTAGCTGCTCATGGAGTAAAATGGGACTGTGTCCGGTAAAGGAGTGGTACTGCCTTTGGCCCCTATTGGGGATCTGAAGCTGTGATTTATCCCTAGGCCTACGCTGAAAAACATGACAGTAGGCCACATCGGTGAAACAGGTGCAAACGGAACTCAGGTGCACATTGTTGGTGCAGGAGTCCATGCCAAGAAAGATGTCCTGGAAGAGATATGAGTGGTTGATGAAGTTGGTAAGCTCATCCACTATGTAAGGTCGAACTGGAGGATATTGGTCAACTCAAATGAAGAACCTAGGATCTTCTGGTAAGAGTTCCTCTCGTTCTGGCTGAAGTGGAGGTGGTGGTGGTAGTCACAAAGCGGGCATGGTCTTTGTACAATGAGACTATTGCACCGATGTACATCTGTAGTGAGACCTGTGTCGATCTGGCAGTGATGGAAGAGCTGCTGAATAGTTATTGAAAATCCAAGTGCTACTCTGGGTCCTTGTTCTTCATGTAGAAGGATATTCCAGTAGAGGTTGTTCATTGTAAATCCTGTAGCTGGTAGCCCTCGAAGTAGGAGTGCTTTGTTGTCTATCGTGGATTCCAATGTCTTCAATCTGGTATCCATGGTGTCGATCTGAATGTGAGTATTGCACTGCTCGAGGATGCTCAAGTGTTGGAGTTTCGACCTGTTGAAGGTCAGGGAAAGGTCGCTTCTTGGTGAGGTGAGCCTTCTTGAGTTTGCCTTCTCAGGGTCGAAGTGAGGTGCTTCTGGAGAGGTGAGGTTGAGGGCAAGGAAGTCTGCTCTGGCTTGAGGCGAAGATCGAAGTTCCTGTTGGAGTCCAAAGTCCAAGTCTGAGAGGTCTACATCCTTAGCTGATAGTGCAGTGAGAAACTCTGCCCATCCTTGGTCTGTTCTGTGTTTCTTTGCAGGAGAAGACTCTCCAGTAGTAGCTCGATGTTGCCTGATAAGTTCAAGTTCTTCTGGAGTGAGGGTGTCAGTGGTAGTAGGTGATGTAGTCGATGTGGCTTGAGGAGGTTGAGGTGGAGAAGCTTCAGGTAGTTCTGGAGATTCTTGAGATTCTGGTTGCTTAATACCCATGGCTTCAATTTGGAATTGCTTCGATACATGTGTTTTGTAAAAGAAACATAGTATAACAAGTGAGGCGCCCAATCAACATGTGGTCCACGAAAGTAAGCATTAAAGGGGAGGGAAACTGAAAAGGGCATGAAACTTGGGGCATGCAGTACCAATTGGCATGACAGCATTGCTGACTGTGTGGCAAAAGCTAAAGCTCGTGCCAAATGCCTACACACATATACACACACACATATCACATAAATAAATAAATAAATATATATATATATATCTATTTACGTATTTATATTTATATGTGTGTGTGTATTTTGTTTTGATATGTATGAGGCTAAGGCCTTCGCCCCTTCTACGCTGCGCAGCAGGTGGCCCCTGGCCAGAGACCGGAGAGATTGACATCATGGAAGTCTCTGGCTGCGTTGCCGGCAAGGTGTCTGGAACAGTTCATATGGGCCGGGCCCCCAGACATCCCCAGACCCGGTGGAAGGAGAAGCTGAAGCTGAAGTCATGGGGTGAGGTATCCAAACGCCACGGTGTCACCGAAGCAAGGATGAAACCAATGGTTTGGGGCACCCCAATGTTGACTGACACCCATATAATTTATAATTATATGTGTGCATGATGTATGAGTGGGGTGCGGGCTGCCGTATGAACTCAAGAGTTGCTAGTACATGCAAAAACTGCGATTGCATAGAAACATTAGCCTCGTTGCAATGTTGCATGATGGTGTTTCAGGGTTGGGTGATGCCACCAACTCGCTCTTTTTGGGAAACCTCAGCATTTCTGTTCAGTGTGGGGCTGGTGCTTTCTCAGGTGGTTTCAATCAGATGAGAGAGACTCAGACCCTTGCCTTCATTATCGCTTGTATGTCTGTCTCTGTGTGCCATTTAGACGCCTTGTCGTAGGGTATGGTTTTCTAAATCAGCCCAATTGGTTACGCCTGCTAAGCCAAAATTAAAAGTTACTCCGCAACCTTGCACCAGTTTTTTTCTCGGGTCATGCTGAAGTGCGAGAAAACGTGTTGTATACGTCCTACACAAGTTTTCGGGCAATCATCTTGACAATCTCAGCAGTTCTGTGCGATATTTTTAAGGAAGACGATCACATGGCAATTCGTGCTAGAAAGACTTATATAGACATTCCATTTCTGGTAGGCATGTATTCCTAGTTTTTTAACAGTTTCTGCATCCAAACGCTGTGATGATTCGACCAATCATATGAGGAGCTCCAATCACTACTTTGCAGAGTATGACAAATGGCACACCTACAGCATTGCAACTCGGCTTTCCGAACAAACAGGTAGTCTAGAATCTTCACTGCCGCAAAACTCATCAAAGCTCCATGTTGAGCCAGTGAAAACTGGAAACTTCAGCTGGGACATGAGTTGGGACATGAGTTGACTTATGTATCTGATGTTTACTTTGAAAAAACGTGATGTTTCATATTCATTCATATTAAATGATGATTATAATAGTATATGCGTGATTATGCATGGGCTCCACATCGGGTTGCAGTTGGTGAAGCATGCAGCAATGATGAAGAGGCACCAAACACTGAGGACTGGGCATCGGATCACATCAATTGGTACGTGGTGGGGGAAGCCTAGTGCTGACGCTGAGTTGCCCTTTGGTGATCTAACGTAGTCATTGAAAATCAAACAAAATACATATCTTGAACAGATAAAGAATCATAAATCATCTATGAATGGGTCATTTCCAATAGCTATGTTAAATAACCAGAGGGTAAATAGAACCCCCTCAGTCTACCCGACTCTATCTCCCACACGTTTGAATTATCCACATTCTCACCCATAGATGAGACACATTCTATTGTGCACATACACACATGTAAGATTATAGATGATTATAGTATAATTCAATATACGTACATGTGCATGTATGTGTAAATACACATACGCATATACATGCATATATACACTATATAATGTAATTGCACATGTATAGATATGTCTATTTTTGTTTAAAGTAAACACACACACACACACATCACACACAATATATTGTTATGCATAGAATTTCATATGGTTTTCCATCAAATAGCCCACCCAAAACTGCCTTTTGAAGCGTTCGTCTCGTTCCGTGCAAGGACGGGCAGCTCTATCACACCGCCCGACCAAGCGCCGATGGAGCCGATGGAGCCGATGGAGCCGATGGACCATGGCCTTTTCGGGAGAAGTTCTTTTTGAACATGAACCTGGCAGCCTGGGCTCCTGGCGGATTGGTCAACTTGTGGCGATCGATTTTTGGGAGCGATTAGAAATCACAAAAGGAACTGGCCAATAGAAAGGCACAGTGTTTTTCTTACACATTCTAGTGACAATAGAAAGAGGCACATGCGAGTAATGGTTTCTGACTCCCCACTCCTAGGATGATGGATGATCCAGTATGCACTGTGAAACCTAGGTAGCCTCACACACATTGATGAAGCAGGATATACCAGGATCGAGCAGATGCCACGGATACCTTTGATCTTTTGGTTGACCCAAATGATTCCCTGGGTCGTTTTGGGGCTGGTGATGCTGCAGCCTCAACCTCACCTTCTGAGATTCTGCTTCGCATGGCCTCAACATTCTGGAAAACACGGTGCCAAACCCACGCCTGAGATTCCCAGAGTGCTACCCTCTGGTAAACCAACAGTGCCATGGAAAATGACCCTTTGAACAGGTAAATCCGGTAAATCATCTATAAAGGGGCGATGGTTTCCATAGCTATGCCAGTTTACCAGAGGGTAGATTAGATGGTGCCATTTGTCGCGTGGGGCACAAGGTCAATGCCCTTTGGGCTAGCGGTTGCCATGAGAGCAAGGCTCTATCCTGCGAGGATCTGGGGCAGGCGTGGCACCTGAAAGATGTCAGGGTTCAGCCCTCAGAAACCATGGTGATCATGGTGTAAACCCATCCTCCTGATAAACATATCCTAGATGGTACCAAAATGTACCAAATATGTGCGTGCCCCTTACTAAATTCATGGTTTCTGGCTGGTGCTGAATATATTGGGAAAGGGATTAACAATGATGAACATCACATATTTGGGAAACGTAGAAAAGGGGTGTTGGATGTGAACAGTGGGCTAGTTTGGGGGGTTGACATATTTATTGTTGTTCAACAACGTTCAACCATATTTGGGATGGTTGGTTGAGATTGTTAATATGTTTGGGATGGTTAAGCATGTGAAAACCACCAGCCAGTGAAGATGTTGGGATCCACAACTCCCCATTTTTTATATTAATAATAATTAAAATAAACTGGTTTTGGGCAGCATAATTTTGAGCCAGACCCACTTACAATACATCTATTTGCTGTTGTTGGAGACTCAGTGGAACATGCTGGGAGAACATGGCTTCATGGCCAGGCAATGGAAGTCGACTACGTGCGGGTTCACGAGCTGAAGGCGAGGGCGACAAGGGCTGGAGCGGAGATCCTTTTTTGGTAGTGCCAAGCACAGGGTTCACATAAGATCATCCAATATGACCCAATCTATAGATCTCACCAAAAGTGATGTCTCAGGAAATAGTCCCAAGAATCAAAGATCCCAAAAACCTGTTGCTTCCCAGATCCTTGCTGGAAGACCCTTGAAATTGTGACAGGATACGACCAGCTGATGAGGCATTCAGGGAAAAAAGGGCTGTCCTGTTGCGATAGATTTTCTTGTTCAGGTGATTTTTCATGATGTTGATAGTTAAGTTTGATCCCATTTGATGATGTTTGATTCATTGTTTATTCCCAGGGTTGCCAAGGTGCCAAGGACATCCCTGTTTTGACCTACAGACTCCAGGCTTGGAGAAAACCATCTGACGAACTGTTGCTATCTGTTGCTGGGGGGCCCAACATGCCCCAACAACCTCCGAAGATTGGCCAATAAAACTATCATGTTTAGAAAATTGAAGCCATTAGGCCAAATCAGCCGGTTACCCGATTTGCTCTTGATATGTTTGGTTGGTCAGAGCCCGGCTGGATTTCATCCGTCCACATGTGGACGCTAGGTCACTTTTTAGGCTTTAGTTGGAAGAGGCTCCGCACCAATTTTGCGTCGCAAAGTTCAGCAAGCTTGGCGTGGTACAGTCTTCCATTGCCAGGACCATAGCAGGTCCGGCTATGCTATCTCAAGCTGAGTTTTGTTTGTTCACAGTCATGTACGTATAGTCAATTTATTGGTGCTACACGATTTAGTAACCATTTGATCACCACTAGTGAATTCAGGTGACATGCACTGGCCAAAATGGTCACAGACAAAAGATTCAGAAGCTACACAGCATGCGAAGACGGAGCAAAAGGGTGGTGCTTGTTGTGATTTCCTGCTGCTACACAAGTGCAACTTGCCCGCATTTTACATCATTTTACCTGTACCTCTTATCGTGTTGCTGGTGGTTACTCGCATGTTTTAGAACCATTCCAATATGACTCGTCCTCCCAAAAATGGCGGGAAGCGGCGAGCTGGCACCGGTGGCAGGAGAAGTACCAGAAGGATTGCCCCAGCAAGTGCATCTTTCCGGATTGTCCAAGCCAGAGACTCAACTGGGCTCGGCCCGTGGTGTGTACCCCATCCCGACCCCCGAAATCCACATGATCCCAGCGGCCGTGGCCCAGACAACAACGTGAAGCAACGAACCCTCTTCGGCCGAAGCTACTGAGCGTAGTCAAGGTCTTGCTTGGACACTGACATGAAGAGAAATGACATTGCACAATTGTTTTCCATTGTTTTCCTATGTTTTCCTAGGGTTGGCTTATGGAAATCTTTGATAATCTTTGCAGGAAACCCTGATTTTTGATGGTTTTTGCCATTCAAATGACAACTAACTTCTTGCATTTTTTCCCTTAATCCTATGTCGGGATAGTTTGACTTGCTGGCTACCACGATCCTGAAATGTTGCAATTGCACAAAAGACCTTGCTTATATGACAGAATCAATCTGATCCAAGCTCGATTTGAGCGAAATGATTCCGCCGAAACAACTATGTCAGTTATGCCAGTTATGTTGGAGGCAGTGGAGTCGACGTTTCATCGCTCCGGATCCCTCACTGACTCACTCGTCTCACCTTATTCGTCATGCCCCGTGCCGCGGAAATGACGACACGTCGCTCCGGCAGCGACCCAACAGCGATGAACGTGACGGCGCAAAGTCGGTGCGAGTGCTTGTACAGTCCGCCATTCAAGCATGGTGAGACACCGTGTGTTGATTCCTGGGTATGGGTGACATGTGGTGACATGATGACATTGATTCTATCCCTTTACAGCATGACATGTTTGGAGATACGTATCGACAGCCAGCCTGATGTGCATTTGGTCGCCCATGTCTGGAATACCCTCTGGTAATCGAATGTGGCAATTAGAACTCCTCTGCAACCATTGAAATCCCATGGGATTTCGCCGTGCTGATGAAATCCGTGGGATTTCACCAAAAAAGTTGCCATGTTTGATTGCTGAAGGGTGGATGGTGAAACGAGACCCTCCCTGAGGATAGACTTCTCTCCTCAGATGTGTGCAGCAGGTCTCAAAAAGTGCTTGTAGAATCTTGTGGAAGGGATGAGTTGCAAACATTTGTGCTGATAGCATGGGGTGAATGGGCCGAATGGGCCGAATGGGGTTTAGTAACTAATTAGAAAAGAAATCGGCAATCATGAGAGTGGAACCCAAGAATGGTGGGTGTACTTGATACATATACTGTAGATAGATAGCTAGATTAGATTAGATTAGATTAGATTAGATTGACAGATAGATGGATAGATAGATATATAGCTGCTGGTCATGGGGTTACGGTTACGCTGGTGCAAGAATTGTTTGGTCATCTGGTTGGTGTCCGGCACATGTTGGATTGGACAAGATGGGCATATCTGGGCTGTCATCCATTCCACCTGAAGCCATTTGGAGGCCCATAGATGTCCTTCCAACCCACTCGTTGGTTGAGGAACATCCCTAAATGAACAACCAGTAGGTCAGTAGGTTTATAATTGTGACAAATTAGATGATGGATGTCTATCATTAGAGTTTGCTATGTTTGTTTTTTTTAATAAGCCAGCCCTCTGTTTGTCATTAGTTTAGTGTGTGCAAGTGCGGCCATGGACTTGTTAGACGTGGATGGCGATTGCATCCAGTTTCTAATCGACCCCAAGGGCAGGCTGCGAGAGAGCCTTGGCCGCAAATGGTGAAATCCCCAAGCCTGGTCCTGCAAAGTAGGCCTGGTGGTGGGACATGTTTTCACCTCTGGTAATTTAAAAGAGCTATATATGGAAAACGAACCATTTATAGATGACTTACCAATTTTTTAGATTTTTTTAGATATTCGAAGATGGTGATTTACCATAGCTATATTAAAGAACAAAAGGTAAGGAATTTCACAGGAAATTCTGGGGTCACCAGTGGAATCTGCTCATTTCATGAGTGGTGGAAGCTGCGGGTGTGCCATGGTGCCCAGGTGCAGGTAAGTATTCTACTTGGGATGCATTCCTGGCGGTTCAGGAACCACTCTTAAAACCCATAGAATAATTAATCACACAGACACACACACACATATTTATATATATATATATTATATAATAATAAGTTGCATATATAAAGTCATCAAGTATCGTGACATATTTATGTATACCCCTAATTTTCATCAACCGGGGTGTACTCGTCCGAAATTGACATATCAATGACATGCAGACTTGTCATTGTCAAAAGTTGGACGGATGATGTTCGGATTCCCAACATAGGATGGATGACCAATGATGACCAATGATGACCACAATGTAACTATCCAAAATGACTGAATATTTTAGGTGAGTGAATTATGATACCCTCTGGTTACTTAACATAGCTATGGAAAATGGTCAATTTACAGATGATTTATGAATATTTATGATGATTTACCATTTAAAGATTGTTATTTTTCAATGGCTACGGCTATGAGCAATTTATCCAGATCCATATATACCCTCCGGTAAACGTTCACATAACTATGGAAAATCACCATGCTATCAATGGGAAAATCCACTATTTCTATGGCCATTTTCAATAGCTATTTTGACATAACCAGAGAGTACCATTTTTGACTATGGCACATTAACATCATTAAGTGAGCGACTTCTCCCCAGGGATCTCCAGGTATGTGAACGGCAAACTGGAGATGGAGAACGTGCGTTGGTTGCGGCAACTCTGAAATGGAGCTGTAGATTTTTTTTGTGATTTTTTGGGACTTGACATGGATGGTGATCATTTGGTGATGACATGTGATGACCCAATGGCTATAGAAAATCACCCTTTTTCCTCTAGCTTTAAATCGGTAAATAGAATTAAATGTGATGATATAAGTAGATCATTTGTTTATGGGCCATACTCCATAGCTATGTTAAAGTACTGGAGTGTATATAATATAGTGTAAAGGAACCCGAGTTTTGGTGATTTTTGTAGTTTCCACATTGTTTCCATCAGGGTTTACTGGTTTCGATTGAGGGGGTAAACCGATGCTATACCCAGGAATTACCACTTTATCACCTTGATGTGCTAAATGTGACATCAGATGGTCTGAAAGTTCATTACCTCACGATCGTTGGCAATGCTTACTGCAAACTGGTACCAAGCATCTGGACTTCTGGACCCAAGTTGAGACCCGGTAAAACGAGACTTGACTTGGGATTTGGACACCTGAATTTTGGTCCGGGACAAAACAATCACAGTATGGATTGAAGACCGGTTATTTACTGGTGATGTTAGTTCAGAAGCAGCCGCTGGCGAGGGCAAGTGTGGAAAGATGGCTTGGTTGGGCCACAGGGGGTCAAACTTCTGCCGGGGGGGTCACACAGCACCGGCTGTTGAGGTATGATGCTTCTAGAGCAATGCTGACAGATGAGAAGGGGGAGATCACGCTTCAAGAGAAAGATCGCGCATCTTGGTACCACAGCCATGGAGGAAAAGCCGGTGAGGCTATTGACACGCAGGATCCAGCATTCCAAATGTGACAAGACATATAAAAAACATATGTAAGTAAGTGCATTCTTTCATGCTGTTGCTGGCTGCTGTTCAAGTCTTTTCACCGCTTTTCACAATTTTGCCGCGTTATTTCACCAAAATTTGTGGTGGGGAAGCCTATGTTTGACCTCGTAAAATATCGTAAAATGCAAACATCATGAAACATCACGAAAGATCATGGCACATCAATAAACATTCAGATAGGTACATTTCAGCAACATACACACATTTTAGTAATTAAATGATGGTGAATGTTTCGAGAACATTTGCCCAGAAGTTCTAGAAGTATTGTGGCGCCACACCCCAAGTGATGCATTCCTGGAGGCTGGAATCCATTGAAGTGTGTCTGACAGTGGGGTATATACCCTTAAAACAACCATTTAATGGAACGCTGATTTAAAAAATGATGATTTACGTCATGAATGTTTGGGTTAGGCTATATATTTAATGGTATTTAGACATCCCGATTTAATTCCATCCACTGAAATTCATTAACCGCTGCGCGGCTAACATCACTGACTTTTTGGGAGGGACTGAACGAACACAAGCTTTTTGCCTTGTGTTGTGGGCTTTAGCTGATACCAATGCGCCTTCTTGATTAATCAATGCTTCATTGTCTATGCAGCCGCACTACTACCGGGTACTCGTTCACAAACATGACCATGAGTGGGCTACTGACATTACTTCCGTTTCTGCTACTACACGAACACACATCCCCAAGCTCCTCGGACACACACACACACAGCAGCTTTCACAACATACAGCTGGCATTATCACTTGCCTATCGCTCTTGATTGTGCACAAATTCAGCACCTCAACAATGCTTTTGCATCCCCATAAATCTCACGCATGTATATAAGAGACTTTTTGGGGGGGAATTGAATGGCTTGGGATGGTTTGTAATGTCATCTCATAATATAACGATGGAATATACACACCCTCTAGTAATCAGAACATGGCCGGCTGGAAAATCACCCATTTAGTTAGTTGATTGTCGTAGCTATAAACCACCATTGATAGTGGATTTCTCACTGGAGGGCAGGATCCATCAACAGAGATAGTGTTTGGGAATGAGATGGAATGAGAAGAGTCTTGGGAATATCATCCCATCATTTCCAATGATGTAAATTCATGGGGTATGATTCCCTATGAACTCCCAATGGCTCAGGTGGAGAAGGCTTTGGGCGTCCACTGTTTGGCCATGCGTGCGGGCATCCAGTGGCTAGGTGACCCGCCCGCACCTGCGCGCACGTTGCTGGTGGAGGACACAGATGGCGACAGGTGGGGACCGGACTTCTGAGAGGTCACAGATCCTCAGTGCAAATGGGGAGAAACATGATAAAACTCTACTAGAACTACACCAAAACTATACCAAACTAGACCAAAACTAGGGTTTCCATGAATGTTGTTAACATGTTTCAATTGGTTTTTAACTTAAACCAACCAAGATATACCAAAATGGTGAAATGACCCTATGATATCCTAGGATCATTAGATATACCTTCAATGAAGGCTGTTGCAATAAGATCCATTGCTTTTGAAGCCCAAAACCATAAACCATCCCCAATGTTTCCTGACATGGATGGTATGGACTGATTACTCGTTGCCAAATGGGCCAAGAATGAACACAAGTATAATATATATATATATACATCAACATATATATAAATATATGTATATATATATGCGTATATAAATATATGTATATATACATATATATATATATGTACAGTGGCGACGGGAAATATAGAAATTTCACCAGCAGTGTGGCGGCAAGGACATGATTGCAGTACGTGGGATAACCCCGGCTACAGTGATATTCCTGTGTTGAGCGTTGCCGTTCCGCTAGAGGCTGGAGTTTTTGGTGAATGAAGACATGAAGCTTCAGGACCAGCCTCCAACCTTCCGAGATTTCAGCAACACCGTTTGTAGTGACGTGAGAGTATGTTGAGATATGATGAAAACATGATGAGTACCCTCTGGTAAACTAACATAGCTATTGAAAATGGTGATTTATAGTGGATTTTCCCATTAAAAATTGTGATTTTCCATAGTTACGTTAGTTTACCAAAGGGTACATGATGTACAGTAACATATGGCAAGGGACTTTGCTGCTTCCCCCCGCGGTCTGGATCCCCGTGACATTATGTCAGGCCGACTCAGCCATTTTAGGAGTTCAACAACGGTGAGTTGGAGCTGGAAGCGGTGAACAGCATTTGTTTCAAATTTGCGGATGGTTCCATCACTGATGACACAGGTAGCCCCATGGGCTGGTGTGAAGCCGAACAAAAATCCGTTTTTTTTGTTTGGGAGGCTGAAAGAT